ATCTAGTGCTAGGCTCTTCTACGGAGGTAGGTTATAGCAAACAAGGTTTTCTTATTAGCCTTAATCGGAGTGAACTAAAAGTAGATGTCCATCTAAGTAAGCTAGTCGTTAAGAGCCTAGCGGTCTCTATAGTAGAGATCGGGCTTAGCGACTTTACTATCGTCTTAGGAGGTAGTAGTGCGGGTTCTACTAACCTCGCTAGGTGTACCTCTTAGGGTGCTACTTAATTAACTCATTCTAAGGGCGTTTAAAGTTGTTATGGCTAACTATTCTAGGGAGAATAACTAGTTACGGGGTTGTACTCGTAAAGAGGAGTGTTAAGCGTAGTGAAGTAGATGTAAGTAGTAGTGTATACTAAAGGGACTGTTAGAATAACTAATTAAGTTAAACGTAGGACCTCCTAGTGAGTTCCTACCTACCTATATACTTAATAGATAATAAGTGTATGCACGTTGCTCTATATGCTCTATTATGCTCCGTAGAGTAGAGTAGCAGAGCAGATGGCGTGTTTATGTAGAGTGCTCTATTCCGCTAAGACGCGGGGAATAATAGAGTAGGCTGTACGACCCTGTTATTAGCAGGATCGTAATAGATAGGTCCTTTCTATAAAGCACTCTATAGTAGGCGGCTACCTAATATACTTTACTCTCTTTAATTTCTTACTTTCTCTAATTCTATTAGAGTAGATAGAGTAATAGAGCATATAGAGTAACATGCATATACTTATTATCTATTAAGTATATAGGTAGGTAGAAACTTACTAGAAGGTCCTACGTTTAACTTAATTAGTTATTCTAATAGTCCCTTTAGTATATACTACTACTTATACCTACTTTACTTTACTTAATACTTCTCTTTATAAGTCTAACCCTATAACCTATTATCTTATCTAAGATAGTTAGCTATAACAATACTATAGTATTAATACCTTATACTATATATCTTACTACTTAATTAACTAGCTACTTAGAGCGCTAAATTCTATAGTATTAAGATATTAGATACTAGCTACTAATATGCTTTATTACTAACTAATAATAAGTACCTATTATAACATTGATACTAATAACTATTATTACTTTCTTTTATAAACCGTATAAGTTCTAAGGGTAAGACCTATAGTAAGCTTATAAAAGCGTAACTATATACTAATATAACTTAATCGGTACTTTTAAAAAAGCTTCCGCCCTACTATGTGTCTTCTAAAGATTAAACAAGTTGTTAGGGGCAGACTCTCGTCCTATAGTGTCCTCTCTAAACTCCACGAATCTATGTTTCTTGCCAAGTGCGTATGGCCAAGATCGAAGCATTTTCCTGGAACCGAGCTTTACTGACTCGGTATAGGAACAAAGCTGGAAGAAAAGTAGTACTAAAAGCAGTGCAAGGTCACTGGAAATTGCAAAACGAAGCAGAAATCCTCAAACGCTTTCAACACCGTACGGCGTGGATCCGACCTCTACTTGACGAGATTCAAGAGCCGAGTGACGTTCCCACTATTTGTTTGGCATATCTTGACAACGATCTTCGCAGCGAAACAAAAAGCCGGAGACTGACCAGGCCTGAGATCAAACAAGTCGCAAGATGTGTTCTGGAAGCGCTACAAGCGCTGCATGAACAAGACTTTGTGCACACCGGTAGTGACCGTTTGGGCGTTTCTCGTCACGGAATCGTGTTCGCTGACAATTGTGCTGAAGATGTCAAGTCGGACAATGTTCTCATTAACCATGGACGCTCTGATACTCGTTTTCAAGACGTGCGGCTAGCAGATTTCGGTGGCACAGTCGCTGCGGACTCGACATATGCAAAAGAGGGACACACTGTTGGAGCGCCAATCTGGCGGAGTCCGGAGGTCTTGCTCGGCATCCCCTGGGGAACACCCACAGACATCTGGTCGTTTGGTACAATGGTCAGTTGGTTCTTGATGAACAAAATCCTCTCAAAGCTCATCATCATCATCAATAAACCACAGATCATCAGTCTCATCATCGGAAACGACCACCACATTTTCGATCCTGGAAACGACGGTGTCTCTTTCGGAGACCCGACGTTCGAGTTTGAGATTCTGATGAAGCATCTCCAGTTCTTTGGTCCTCTCAACGAGACGTATGGCGAGATAGCAGACGAGGACGCTATGAGCATCGTTGCATATGCAATGGAAACGATACCTCGAGAACGCATAAAGCCATGGTGGCAAATTGAGCGCGGTGAAATATGCCGCGAGGATGCTGACTTTTTGCAGAAGATCATGAGACTAGACGCCCGAGAGAGGCCTACGGCGCAAGAACTTTTGGTTGACAAATGGTTCGATGGGTACTTGTAATGCTTCGGTATCGGCAAATTTCAAACGTAAAAGGGTATACTGACATGAAAACGATATCCTCAACAGATGCAGATTCGAACATGTGCAAATCTCACATGCCTCTAAACACATTACCAGAAGCACTTCTCCTCTCCTTGCCTCTGGGAATCTTTCTACCGGTTCCATCATCGGCGTCACCACCAAAGCCTTCTCTCGGCCTTTGAGGTCTCTTCTGCACCTTTTGCGGTGCAAATGTAACTTCCTTTTCACCAACGACACCACCTTGTCTAATGCTACTCTTAGGCTGATCCCTGAGATTCTGGGCGAGAGAACCAAAGGAACGATCCCGACGGTTGGCATTGGCATTCTTGTTCTTGGGCTGCGATGATGAGACGGACATTTGCGGTTGCTTTGACTTGTGGCCGGATTTACGGTAGTTGGTCGACGAGATGCGGTTCTTGTCGACAGTATTGTCATCGCCACGGTCGTTGCGGCGTTGAACACCACGTTGTTGTCGTTCTGCTGCTGCATCGTCGATCTCGCTTTCTGAATCGTCATCCGAGGAGCCATGTGCTGACTGGTTGGCTTCTTCTTCGACGGCTGTGAGACCACGCTTGCGCTCGGCATCTTTGGCGACTGGGACGGTCGAGGGGTTGTGCAGCTGGAACTCGCGCGACTGCTCGTCAATCTCGAAATCCTCGTCTTGGAACAGCGAGGCGAAACGCTCATCGCCGAGAACACCTCTGGCTGGCTTGTCTGCGTCTTCCTCCTCCTCTTCTCCTTCTGCCTGTGCTTGAGGCTCGTCTCCTCCCTGGCGCAAGACACGTCTGGCCTTGCGACGCTCGTTCGCCTCCTCTCTTGCCGCCATCTTCTCTGCCAATCTCCTGTTGACCTTGACCTTTGCAGCCTTGTTGCCACGAATGCGAGACTCGCGCTCCTTGTTGATCTTTTCGGCAATGGACTTGGCGCGTTGTTCTTCAAACATGTCGGGGTTGCTGATGAGGCGAGCCTGTTCGTACAGCTTTTGGGCGACAAAGTAACCGTGCATGTAAGGGCGGAGGAGGGAGGTGGTGCCGACGAGGTGGTCAAGATTGAGTTCGCGCAATTGCTGGGTCGACAAGAACTTGTAGTTGTCATAGACGGCGCCCGTCTCTTGTGCGCCAGCGTTGAAGGCGGATGGATCCTGGGCGTCTTCGGCCATTTCTTCAACGAGGTTGTCCAGGAAGGAGCACCACTTGGGAGCAGGGCCCAACTGAGGGATGAAGAAGGAGTGTTGCTGGCGGCCCTCGTTGGCGGTGAGGAGCATTCCGCTGTCCTTGCACCACTCGACGTGATTGAGATCAACGGCGGGTTCGACGCTGGTCCAGGGGTCACCATTGGAGGCCTCCCAGATCTTGATGATGCGCTTGTCGGCCGACATGAGCTTCTCGCTCTGGACTTGGGTCGAGGTGGGCGACATGTACTTGAGCGTCTGGATGGCGTAGCCGTAGCCCTGGTCTTTTGTGAGGAGCGGCATGGGCGAGCGCAAGTCGTAGACGTGGACGATGCCGTCAGAGTCGCCGGTTGCGAGGTTGAGGCCGGAGCGGTGGAACTCGAGAGCGGTGACTTGAGGGCGCTGGTCTTGGGATTGGGTGGGCGACTGGAGGAGGCCGACGCGGCTGCGTGAGCGCGAGTCCCAGAACTCGACGGTGCCGATGCTCGTGCCAAAGGCGAGGAGGTTGTGCGAGTCTTCGGCAATGGCGGCCGTGTTGACGCAGCCCGTGTTGATCCCACCCTGCAGAGCACCAGCGCCCGAGCTGGTCCAGTCGTCGCCGCCGACATCGACCTCGTAGCCCTTCATGTAACGTCCCAGCTCGAGGTTCAGACGATAGACTTCGCCCATGCCATCTTGGTTAACACCCGAGGCGGGAATCAGAGCTTCGGCGGCGCGCTTGTTGTACTTGAGGTCGCGGCCGTAGCGAGGGATGCGGGTGCGGTAGTGCATGCCGCCGGGCGTGTGGAACTCGAGCGTGCGGTCGGTCTGCAGATGCAGCGACTTGGAGTAGTCGGACGAGAGAAGGAGGAAGGTCTGGTTGAGCGAGTCGGTGTGGCGGGCGTACGACAGCGACAGATGCGGCAGGTAGTGGACGTGTTGTTGCGGCTTGTATGTGCNCTGCCTTGAGTTAGCGTCTTTCGCTCCTTCCTTCCTTTCAAGAAAACAGAGAAATCGAGAGGCCGCTCCTTCCTTGTTGTCTGACTGTGTCATACCTGTGCTCATGACCCATTCACCATCGTCGCTGACCCTCACGCACTGCGAGGCCTCTTCAAACTCAAAGTCTTGCAGCAGCTCGACTCTGTTTGCCCACTCCGGGTCTTGCTTCAGACTGCGCTTTCTCTGTCGCGCGAGCCATTCCGGGAGAGGGCGGGCTGTCGCTGATCCGGAAATGGTGTAGACGGGCACCGCCGAAGGATTCGTCAACTTCATGTCTGCTTTGGGTTGTTGGTGTCGATGTCGAGGAAGGCGCGACTTGCCGCTGACATTTTTTCCAAACCCTCGCGCTTTCCCCGCATTCTCTGCGCGTCGCGGTCCGTCGACGCCGAGGGCTGTCCCGCAGAGCCTCACAACTCTTGGCACGCTCACCTTTGCAGCCGTCGCTCCTTCGACTTCGCCAGAGCTACCGACATCCGCCTACCGCCATCCGCCAACCATCCCTGACTCAGCATGCCAAAGCCCATCGAGGGTCTTGAGGCTCGCAAAGAAGACCTCCGAAAGTGGATCTGCGAGGATGACATGACCATCAAACAAGCCATCGAGAAGCTCAAGACTGAACACAATGTAGTCTGCCAGAAGCGCACACTCGAGCGCAACCTCCGCCTCTGGGACATTTCCAGACGCAAGAAGCTTAACAAGGAGGCTCTCCAACAAGAACTGACGAGACTTTTTCGTGGTCCCCGACTGACAGACGAAACCATTGCTAAAATCCTGACTGACGCTGGCCATGTCATCAACCAGCGTACCGTCATGGAGACCAGGAAGAAGTTGGGCCTGCACAAGCGCATTCGTCCAGAAACCAACGAGCAAGACTTGCAAAACACCATCAAAGAATTGCTTGTCGACGAGTACAAGAATGATCAAGTACTCAAAATGCATCGCGGCGAGCTGTACACATATCTGCGCGAAAAGTATCCACACCTCAACATTGTCGGAAGGGATCGCGTTTACAACATTGCACGTGAAATGAACCCCCAGTTGAGACGACGCTATGCCAAGGGTCACCCTCTGTATCAAAATCGTCCTTACAAACTGTCCGGCAAAAGACTGGCCGCAAAACTCGCCAAAGATGTTGCCGCTGCAGAAATCGACCCTCCAATTGACCAACCCCACGACTCGTCTGCGCCACCCAAGGAGCACTGTGATTCTCCACCCACTCACACCTATCAGCTTCCTCAACCTCATGATGCTACCTCTGATGATCCTATCGTTGGTCAAGACCATCAACCCGCCCCTGCACACCCACCTCCTGCTACCACCCACCAAACTTTGCATCCGACCCTCAGACTCGAGTCGCTTGAGAAGGAAAACGATGCCTTACACCAGAGACTGCAGCAGCAAGATGCAGAAATCCAATACATGCGTCAAGCATACCATGACCTTGTGCAGAAACTTGGCTCAGGTCCTGCCGCCAATCCCTTCCCATCTTGAAAGCATTTCACCCAATCACCATTCTTCCATTCAAGAAAGGTCGCCTAGTTTGACGAAGCATCGTTCCAGCCATCATGTGTTCTGCCAATAAAGGCAGTCGCGCACCAAGGAACAGCGAAAACAGGCTTTCAGGGACAGAGCGGCAGCACAGCCTGCACACGAAGTCTGACTGCACAGTTCAGCTCGTCGTGCTCGTGTGCCGGTATTACGCCCACTACCATCACCCTGGCGACCCCTACTTCAAGCACGACGATAACTCAGATTGTCAGCACGACCAACACAGCCACATCAATCATCACCACCTCACTCACCGTGACTATCACCATGGCCAACGTGCAGACTCTAACCATTACTCAAACAAGCACTCTCGCGGCTACGCCTGCAATCACGACAACCTTTACCCAGACTCAGACGAGCACTGTGTCCATTTCGTAAGCTCCGCATTTTCCATCTAGCTCTAGACAACGGTCCACTGATATTCATTTCCTGCACCAGTGCTCCTAGCTGCGGTCCCTCCTCCGACCCTTACACGACCGGAGCTGGAGGATGCAGCTCAAACTGCTTCTGTAACACGCGCTACTACCAGGGGACCACCAACATGGCCGTGTGCCAGACCAGCAATGTATGTGGGCAACGCTGTGCCAAGGATGGCGATTGCCTCATCGGCGAGGTGTGTATCGAGGATGAAACCACTTCGATATGTGGCGGACCGATCTGTTCTTCCTTCATTGGTTGCACTTCCTCATTCAATATTCAGAAGAGGGCCAAGATGGTGGATGCCGGTCACATCGCTTCTACAAGCCCTGCTGCAGATGGTGTCATCTTACGTAGACCTTCGACTTGAGCGCGATCATCGATGCTGAACAAGAGTCTATACTGCAGGGGGCTACGTATTACTCTTTTCCAAACAAAGTATCAAAGGCGGCCTTTCTCCTCTATCAGGCCTTCAAAAGAGAGTCTGTAATCTACCGTTTGTTTGGTTGGTTGTAAGCTGTGGACCTGATGTTTTCAATCGTTTGATACTCCCGCAGACCTAGACAAGCACTCGGCTGAGGATCTTGGATTCTCTGAATTTGTGCATGTCCTGACAAACGATCCTATGTTTCGCCATGTGCCAATCTATCCAACTCTGCAAGCGCCTCTCCCGGGCTGACCCTCTTCTCTACTTTCATCTCCGGCATGATCACAAGCACCTTCTCACGATCGCGAGTTTGGCCTTCGTAAGAGCTCATGTCGTACTCATATCCGCCGAGATCACCATCCCACTCGGCCTTACAGATTGCAATCGCGTCAGGCTCATTGCCATCCTTCTCCACCACAAGAAAGAAGAACCGATGCAGCTCGGGTTGCTGGAGGCAGCGAAAAGGGAACTCGCGTCTGATCTCGTGCCAGGGATCAGGAGCGTCAAACCAGCCGCCTGCTCTGTGAAGTCGAGATTCTCCTTCATCCATGTCAATCCAACCTGGCTCTAGCAATTCATGGATTGGCCCACNCTGTGCATTGTCAGTGGCTACTCGAGGGTCTGAGTGGAACAAAGGCATACTCATCTCAACATTGCTGTACCATGCATAGTGCTGTTTACCCAAAGGCAAAGCCGACAAATTTGTTTCTTTGCTAAAGTATCGCTTATTCTCGTACGGATCATCGCCACCCCAAAGACTTTGCTCTTCCTCCTTGTAGTCGATAAAGTCCATGTTTCCGATGTCGAGGTTGGCACAGTACATGTCTGCGTCGTTGGATCCACAGCGCAAGACCCCAACGACGTTTTGAGAAGTGTCTGTCATGACTTGCAGATCGACTACAAGGACGCCTTTTTCCTGGTAGTCTCTTTGATCCACCACGATAAAGAGAGTGGGATGAACCTCATTGTTATCGTTGCGAAGTTGGATGTGGTGGTCATAGGTGTCACGGAGGGCGCGGTCCGAGAAGTTGGGTGTGGTGACTAGGACAGAGTTGCTGGTACTGTCTTCGGCATTGTTGATGTCGCTTTCGAGTTGCTTGAGATCTTGGTCTGAGAATGCGACCAAAGAATAGATTGGCCATTGCTTGTTCAAAGTGTCGCCAGAAAGATCTTGATTATGATCGTGTAGTGGCAGTGTGTCTTCCAGCTGCTTAGTAGACGCCATACTGCAGGATGGCTTCTGATTATGTGAGTGCTTTGACTGTTGTTAGAAGAGTTCAAGTATCGTCATGGAAAAGACGTCGGGTAATGCCAAGAGCTACCAGTACATCAATTTCCATATCCGGTCGAGCAACGGACGGGTACGTGTATTGTACTAAACCAGCCCGTTACGGGATTCTTGACTCGTGTCTACAGCGATCACCTCAAGGGAAGGTATATCTTCTGCTTCCGTTTGACCATGATCTTTGAGATTGAAATTCACGCTACTGTCACGCGAGACGTCTCAAAGAATTTTCCGTATCGAATAGCTTGGTGAAAATGATCTGTAATTCAACGACTCTAAAACTTCTTAGCCAACAAAAGTCGACCCAAACCAAAAAGAACTCCTTGTAAATTACTCAAAACCCCAATGTCTATTGACCTCATACCGAATCATCCAAAATCGTCTTCAAAAAGAAGTGTAGAGAAAAAAAGTCTATTTACAGAAAATCAATTGACATGGTTAGTTGACAGTCCTCTTGTAGAGCGACAGCCGGGAACCACCACCACACAGCTGGCCTGGCATACCAGCACATGCCATGTTGCAGTCTGTTGCAGTAGCGTTGGCAGTGCCGGCGGCGAGAGTGTTGCCCATCCAGCACTCGCGACCGTATTCGGTACCGAACCAGAGATATCCTCCAGCGGTAGCGAGCTTCTGGCAAGCATCGACAGACATGGTATCGCTTGCCGCAGTAACACTCAGAGCGCGAGTGTTGTCCTTGACGCAAGAGTAGTACGAGTAAGCGCCAGTGGTGTTCAGATTCATGGGGTCCGTGGATGCTTTGGTCGAGTTGCTGCTGTAGTACATGTTGAGTCTGTTGCCAGCACCACAGTGTGCAGTCTTGTCTCCAGGGCACAGCATGTTGCAGGTGCTGTTGTCAGATTGCAATGCACTTCCCACGCGAGGGTAGGGTCCACAGTAACATTCTTGTCCATACTCGACACCGAACCAGGCGTAAGCCGAGCAGAAGGAGGCACACATGGAGGGAGTCATGCCGGTGGCGTTGACCATGGAGCGAGATGTCAGTGCACGGCCATTGGAGGCTTCGCTGTAACAGCCCTGAGCTGCGTAGCCTGAGACGGTAGGGATTATCGTAGGCGAGGTCACGGTCGAAGATGAGGAGGTAGTCGAGGCTGAAGTTGAAGACGAAGCACTGCTCGTTATGGTTGAGCTTGCATCAGCCGACGAAGATGATAAGGACGACGACAATGAGGCTGACGAGGACGAAGCCGAAGATGACGAAGCCGACGAGGACGAAGCCGACGAGGACGAAGCCGACAAGGATGATGTTGACAAGGATGATGTTGACGACGATGAAGCCGACGAGGATGTATCAGCCGACGAAGATGCCGAAGACGATGAGACCGATGTCGAGCTTGTGGACAAGATACTGGAACTGCTCGATGACGAAGTTGCAGAATCACTTGCACTCACGCTGGACGAGCTGGTCGACGAAACGCTTGAGCTGCTTGCAGTTGAACTCGTGCCAGACGAACTTGACTGGCTCGATGTAGGATCCGAAGACGACACTACCGTGCTACTCGAGGAGCTGCTTACGGATGAGCTTGAAATCGAGGCGCTCGTCGTCGATGTACTGCTGGAAGAGACTGTGCTGGATGATTGAGTTGATGACAGGCTGGATTGACTCGACGAAGTAGAGATCAAGCTGCCGGAGGATGCGATGGTTGAGTCGTACTTGTACAAGCTCAGCCCATTAGGTCCGCCGCAGTATTCGAACTTGTCTGCGGAACACAGCATGTTGCAGCGCCCATCGGTGGCGGGACCAGAAAGCGAGCTGACAGCATTGGAGCAGTAACATTCGGAAGAATACTCCGTTGCAAAGTAAGTGTAGCCGGCACAGAACTTGGCACAGAATTCCAGGCTGTTGGAGCTGTTGGAGAATGACTTGCCTTGCAAAGCACGACCGCCAATCTCTTTCCAACATCCTTGGTAGACGTAGCTGCCTACAGTAGGCTTGGCGACAGGTCCTGTCGGTGTCACGGATGTCGATGAACTACTGCTAGAAGTTGTGGAAACGCTGCTGGAGGTCGTGGAAGAACCAACCGAAGAAGTCGATGACACAACTGACGAAGTCGTAGAGCCACTGGAGGTCGACGACAAACTTGTAGTCGAGCTGGAAGAAGCGGCAGATCTGTCTTGAACGGTAGCAAATGTTGTTCCAACCACAGTGACTTTGCTGTTGGAGTCAATGGAGCTGTAGTATGAGCAGATAGAACCATCAAATGCCGTACCGACACAGACTGCGCTATTCGCACAGGTGGTCATGCATGAATTGAGGTCGGAAACTGCTCGTTTTCTGCTGAGGTTGCTGATGACGGTGCCAGAATACTTTGTGTCCTTCTCAACGGCGAAAGAGACACCAGCAACGACAGAAGGTACTGCAGAGGCCGATACCGAAGTCGATACAGTACTAGAGGCGCTCACGCTGTTCGACGAAGAAGCCGTGGTCGAGCTTACCGAAGCGCTTGTAGAACTTCCGGAGCTTGTCACAGTAGATGTGCTTGCAACGCTCGAGGTGGCTGAAGAGCTCGAAATGGTCGAAGAGCTTGAGATAGAAGAGCTCGAGGAGCTCGAGACCTTCTGGTACATGTTCAGACCATTAGCACCACCACAAATCTGAGTGGAGTTTGCAGCGCAAGTCATCTTGCAGCGCCCATCGGTAGTAGGTCCAGATCCAGTCTGGATGACATTTCCACAGTAGCATTCATTGCCGTACTCGACTCCAAAGTAGTTGTACGCAGAGCAGTACGAAGCACAGAAGTCAACGCTCACAGAGGAATTGGCCTTGTTCAAGCTAGTCAAAGCTCGGCCGGTGGTAGCCTCTGTGTAGCATCCCATGTATGAATAGCTGCCAATAGACTGGACGATGACAGGTCCGGTCGGAGTGCTCGAAGCACTGCTCGTTGTGGTACTGGTCGTCGATGATGTGACGTTGGTGTAGTATATGTTCANAAAGTCAGCACCGCCACACTTTTGCGACGAGTTGGCGGCACAAGCCACACTGCAGCCGGTCTCATCGCTTTGAAGGATAGAGTTGGCATAGATGGCTGCGCCACAATAGCATTCTGCTCCATATTCGACACCAAAGTAGGCATATCCAGAACAGAAAGTGGCACAAGACTCCAGAGAGTTGGTAGACCCGGAGCGACTATTTCCATTGAGAGCGCGACGATCATGTGTCTCATTGTAACATCCCATGTAGGTGTAGTTGCTCAAAACGGACGTTGGTAACGTGGTAGTTGACGAGATGACCGAAGAGCTTGTGACGCTGATAGAGGCCGAAGTCGAGGTTCCAGAGCTCGAGGACGTGCTCGAAGAACTAATCATGCTCGAGGAGCTTGCAGAGGCTGCGTTCCGACCGTAAAGCATCATCAAGGATCCAGCACCACAGAATTCCGCGTTGCTTCCTTTACAAGTCATACTGCATTTGCTGTCGACTGTAACCGTTGAAGAGGCGGCGATGGTATTACCGCAGTAACATTCTTGGGCGTACTCGACACCAAACAAGGAGTAGCCTTTGCCGATGCAGTAAGCTCCACACTTCTCAATAGTCATGTCATTGGTGTTCAAGCTCGCAGCGTTGATGGTTCGGCCACCCGTCTCAGCGTAACAGCCCATGTAGTTGTAGCCGTTGTATGAGGGAACGATAGACGTAGCTAGTGTCGAGGTGTTACCATCAAAGCGCGTAGAGTCAGCGAAGAGCGACATGTGAGACCCAGGGTTGGTGTAACCACTACCACCACAAGTTTGGTTCTCGTTGCCGCCGCAGTTGAAGTTGCAGTCGGTGTTCAGGTCCATCTGAAGCGGGCGTGCATTTCCACACCAACATTCTTGCATGTACTGAGTAGCAGAGAACAGGTATCCCAGGGAGGCACACTTGGTGAGACACATCTCGTTGGTCATGTTTTTACTGGTCAGCGGATTCACTGCCAATTGTCTTCCTGGGTTATTCTCTTTGAAGCAGCCGACATAGCTGTATTGTGCAGTACCATTTGCAAGAAGGGGGCCAACTTGCTCAGCGACAGCATTACAAGCGAACTGGATTATTTGCTTGCCCATGTTGGGATCACCCGTGTTGATGGTCCAAGTAGCATTGCCATAGTAGCTAGGGATGTTGACCTGAGATTTTGGGACGGAACAGTAAAGCGTGGCGGTTTGGCTCTCGTTTGCTTGAAGAAGCGTTCCTTCGGCAAGATCAATAGTGTTGACTGCTTGAATGATACCAGGAACTCCGTAGGGAGGCTTCGAGACAGTCAATGATAGAGGTACTGCCGAACCTGTGCCATTGTTCGTGACGCGCATCTTCAGATTGCGAGTCTGGCCTTCCAGGACATTTCCGAAGTTGAACGGCACACCAGGCTGATAAGTCACCCAGTCAGAGCCATCCGCAGTTTGAAACTCTATTAATGCGGATGGATTGCTTCCGGCACGACCGACAACATCAAGCAAGCTGGATCCACCATCCGTGTTGACCTTGACGTAGACGGCGTGGTTACCAGTCGTGCCAGGGTTGTAATTGATGTTGACAGTAGCGACACTGTTTGGATCGATGGTAGTAGGAAGGTTTGAGAATGTGAAGAAACCGACTTGAACGTCGCCACTGTCACTGATGTTGGGCTGGATCCAGGGCCCAGTCTCACTGGTGACAGACCAAGTGATGTTGTTAACTGTCAGTTGGCCATCTCCGCGGTTGCTGAAGAGCGAGGATTGAGTGGTGCCGCCGATTTGTCCGCCAGCGATAACGTTGAACGAGACAGTGTTGGGTGCAATGGCCAGCAGCGGCTTCTTGGAGTTTGCAGTACCCTTCAAAGTGACGGGCACAGAACTAGAGTATTTTGCGACACTGTTTGTAGTATTGACTAGAATGTCACTGGACAGCAGACCGACCTGTGTAGGCGCAAAAGTGGCATTGAGGCTGAATGTCTGACCAGCAGTGAGAGTGAGAGGCGTGGCCACACTGCCAATCTTGAAGTTGGCGTTGCCAGTCAATGACACACTGTTCACAGTGAGACCGATGTTCGCTTTGCAAGTAATGGTGATAGGGTCGGAGACATTGCCGATTGCCGTGTTTGGCAGTGTGTATGGTGAGGAGCAGTTGAGAGGGAGGTTGACAGGAGAGCCAAAAGCATAGAGATAGCCTTGAGTGGTTCCAACATAGGCGATACCGTTTCCAAACACGGGGCGAGAGAACTTGGTAACACCAGGAATGTTGAAAGACTTGATGAGCTGCAAGTTACCACCGTCCGATGGAGGGATTGCATTGTAAATTCTCAAGTTGAGGCCCTCAACATCTGTGGTCCAAAGAAGACCAGTGCCTTCTTGGCCATTCAATGAAGTAGTCGTACCATGACCAACACCCAGAATGTAAGCGTTCTTCTCAGGAGTGTTCGAGACGAGTGTGAACTGAGGATCGCCGCTAGCCGAGCAACTGAACTTGAAGACATGGGTCTGGTACTGAATGACGTTGATGTAGATGTATCCACCACCGAGTGGCATGACACCTGCACCAGCGTACACTGAGTTCTCGTTCTGTGTGACTTGGACTGCAGCATCGAGCTTGTTGGGTCCCATCTGGTAACCTCCAAGATTGTCGAGGTTCAGCCAGTAGGTCTTTCCAGACTTGCCAGTTACGACGCCCATTCGAGCCACGTTCTTGCACTTGAAGACGTCTGTGGGCAAGAGCTCAAGAGGACTGGTTCCCAGATCCTTGTCAGCACCATCGAGCTGTGTCTTTTCCCAGGGCATGAAGAAATCGACAGGCGTAAGCTTGCCATCCGAACCAATAGCAAAGTTGACAGCCGCCTCTTCCAGAGAAGTAGGAGGCTGACGGCNCGGAAGGGAGTTTCCAGTTGCGCTAAGTTGCGATGCATAACCGTTGCCCGAAGCAAGGAACATGCTGCCCTTGCCGTCGTATGCAAGACCACCACCAGACATCCAAACACCGGCACCAGGGATTGTGTTTGCCTCAGGGCCACCTTCCATGGCAAAAGATTCGACAATGGCACCAGTCGTACGGTGGAAACCGATGACGGCTCCAGTGAAGTTCCACTTGACACAGTGAGACGCCCATCCTGTGTAGATGAAGTCTCCAACCTGAAGCATACCAGGACGAGCGTGCTGGTTACCACCAATGAACATACGATTGGGGTTGTTACGGAACTGAAGACCATCGATCAGTTTTGGGAAGCCGCTGACTTCGGACAAGTCGGCGGTGTTGATGGCGTGGAAGTAGTAGCGACCGTTGAGACGACCCGGTGGACTGGACTTCGAGAACGCGCCGTTTTGGAAGGCGTCACTGTAGGTTTTTGCAGTGAGGTACCAGATGCCAGTATCAGGGTCAATCACGCCAGTCGCCGTCACACCGACCGTGGGATTGATGTCAACACAACCATCAAGATCAGCAGTCAAGAATGGTACATGCATGTTTCTGGAAGCAATGATATCTCCAGTTTTCGCATTGATCTTGTAGAGATTGTTCTGAGTAGTGGCAATGTAAACATATTGGATGCCATCGCTCAAAGTGTAGACGAGAGGTTGAGAGAAGATTTGTTCGGCGCCGATGCCTTGGAAGTTGCCTGGCAGTGCCGCTCTCCAGAGTTGACCGAAGGAGTCGCTTCCGACAACCGAGGGGTCCATGTTGTGGTNTACTGCAGAGCGTTAGCACATGTCGGTATCGATTTCCGAGTGTGTTCGTGGAGACGATACTGACGTTTGATAACCTGAGCGGCTGTTGTCACCACCCCAGGTGATGGTATCCGTACTTGCAAGAGATTCGACATTGCTGACGAACAGAGACGCGAATAAGATCGCCACAAGTCCTTTGAACGACAGCATCTTGACGTGAGCAATAAGCGTCCGATCGTACTTGCATCAAAGGCCTATGGTCATGCCTATATAACCTCCAATCGAGAGCCCGAGCCCTAACACCCATACTTTGTGCATGCTGAGCTGAAGTCTCCTCGATCAAGCTGAAAGCTGGAAATGTCTAGGCGAAGGCATGAAGCAAAAACGCCACAGCTTAAAGCAGACCGTTGGCGATATGGAAGCGGGTTTAGCTTGGTGGAAGCGGGAGAACGTAATTGTGTTCTCAGCCCATTGTCTCGGGTGATGGTCTAGATGGCTTGAACATCTTGCGTGATTGGAATGAGCATGAGCTGCACGAGCCGGTACCTGTCAGTTTGGGTCTGAGACCTGGTCCCGGAAGTTTTTAGACTCCAGACATTAGTCGAGCCTACCTGACTTGCCATACGATCTAAACGAGTCTGTGTGAATGGTTCCCACAACTTCTGGCAGGATGGAGCCGAGGACGTTGCCCGATTGAGGGGCACGTGGGGGAATTATCAACGGCCCGCGCTTGGTAGGTTCAGGATTTCGCTACTTCCTGCATGCAATATAGGTCTTTTTCAGGAACAGGTTTCACCACATTCAGCTGTGAGCGACGCTCGCCAAGAACAAAGGAGCTTGCCAAGTACTTGGCTAAACGGCGGGTGCCTGATTTTGTACCTGCGGGTGGCAACCTTCTCCAAAATTCTCCGCTGTCTCGTTTGCTTTCAAGCGTTCTAGACAATCCCTTTCCTTGCAAATCGCCACGTGGAACTATCCAGCGACAGTAGTGTCTTCTCGATAATATCCAGTGACCGGTCAGCTCCCGGTAACACGCATCAATTTCCTTGGACAAACCTGCTGCCATGAGTAGCTTAGGTTCTACCTTCGGTATCCTCGTTAGCTTTGCCCAGGATTGTATGGCGTTGGAGTCTTTCATGAAGCTTGGTATAGCGCCGTGGCGCTTTGGATAGTCATATGCCACGGCTTCGCCGAAGGATTGTAAGCTCCCGACATCTGCGCTACCGCCCGTGAGTCGCGCATCCCTTTGGTCTTTATCTCTGGCGATACTTGTACATGCCAAAGGCCGGCCTGATTTAGAATATTGCTGAATCACGTAATGACACCGTGCGCCGACGCGCCCAGTTCTAGACAATTGCTTGAGAGGTCTTCCGTGGCCGGGCGCATTCTTTCCACGTCGACGACATCACTTGCAATGATGTTTTCTGTCTTTGACGGTCACTTGAGATCTCGCATGTCCTGTGGACCACTTGACCTATCGCACTTGTACTCCCTGAAGTGCTATTACAGATGTTCCGCGTCACTGGACCTCTGGATGATTGGATGGATCGTATCAATGCATCGACTACTTCGTGTCACCCCGACTCCTTGCGAACATTTCAAGAGTACCAGTAGTGATAGACCCCTTTAGGTCTCCCGCTTCTGCTTGACAGCTTAAAGGTGGACTCACCTTGGCAGCTTCCAGACAAGACTCTCTGGGGCTGAACAACGGGCGGAACCGCCCAACGTCTGTCGAGATGGGGTTATGGGGTCCCTGACTGAGCATCTTGCAGTTTATCCTTAAACTATGGATCATTGTTCGATTTCTGCATTCCTGATAAGCTATCTCACAGCCCTACGTTATCTGCCAGCATAGCTTCTAACATGGAATGTACGCTCAGCCCCGTCTCACAGGCCAGCTGGACAGCGCCGTCGAAGCATCGATCTTGCATCGTTGTGCCTCCGTCTTGACATCTGGAACTCGCGAGTAGACTCGTTCGCCACTTTCAAGCCTTGGTATAGACGCATCATGACATGGTCAAAACCAACAAACGTGATATACAAAGCCGCAAGATCCCGCAGCCTCGTAGGGTTTTAAAACCTAAAACCCTAAAACCCAAAGACTTTGACAGTCGGAAGGCGACCATTGGGATTGAGATCCAGATATTCGGATTCCTTGGCCTCGTCAAACTCAAGCAGGCTAACCTCGTACGAAACCTCGAGTTCATGTAGTACCATTCGGACCTTCCTAAACACTTTTGCTTTAGTACCATGAGTGGGAAATCGTGTAGCCCAGCCTTCCTACCATCGTTTCGGCCCTCTCCATGGTGTCCAAGCGCGGACTGGCTGACTGAATTGAAATTAGAGACTTGATTGCATCGCACGAGTCCTACCCTGACTGCAACAAAAAGTTCAAAGGAAAAGCTTTAAATTATTGTGCCCTGTACCAATGCGCTGAGTTACGAAGACTCGCCTTACTGGGCTTCAAGAGCTCGAGTGTCCTAGTAGGTGTATACCATCTCTTGACCGATGAGGTTATGTAGAGGCACACCCTGACCAGAGCGTGGCGCCACGGCCCGCCGCGGGTGATCGCCTGTGCAGCCGAGATCACCCCGCACACTCTCCGCACTGAAATTTTTCTGACCCCAGACTGCGAGCATAACAAGACATCCTCAAACTGTCCAAGAGTTTGTCGATTGCTTCTGGCTACCAATGCTCTAGCGCAGTGTCCAATGACAGTCAAGCGGAGAATTGACAGGCCTAGGGCCGCGACAATGCCATCCTCGAGTGGACACGTCTCTGAGAAAGCCACGGACCTTGAGAGAGTCACATCTGTCAAAAGCAATAGGCATCGCTATGCTTCATCAAATGTGCTATTCAGCTCTGGGACTAGCACGCCTATTCGTCGCCAGCCATTTGATTTTGACACTCAACTTCCACAATCACTGCTACCAACCGTTCTGCAAGAAACAGCGGACCCGAGCCGAATGGGTGAGCGCGAGCTCTACCTTCTCAAAGTGTGCCGTGCCCTGATGGCGTATGGCGCTCCGACTCACCGACTCGAAGAGTACATGTACATGACAGCAGAAGTCATCGGTCTCCAGCTGGAATCTTTCTACCTCCCAGGTATCATGATCATCTCTTTCAACAATAAGATCTGGCGAAGCACAGAGGTACACATTGTCAAGACACCGCAGACTCTCAATCTGTCCAAGCTGTACGACTCACATGAGGTGTACAAGAACGTCATCCATGACAAGATGACCATCGAAGATGCGATTTCGCGACTGAACGAGATCATGGACAGCAAAGACAAATATCCTCGTTGGCTATGCGTCATCATGTTTGGTCTTGCTTCGGCATGCATTGGACCAGTATCTTATGGTGCAAGGCCTGTGGATTTGCCCGTAATTTTTGTCTTCGGATGCTTGCTTGGGTTCATGCAGCTCGTCATGGCTGAGAATTCCGAACTGTACGCTCATATCTATGAGGTTTCGGCAGCTATCCTGATGACCTTCCTGTCTCGCGCCATTGGTTCCATCAATCATGGCGACGGTCGCTTATTCTGTTTCTCTGCTATCTCGCAAGCATCTCTGGTTCTGATCTTGCCTGGATTTATCATCACAAACAGCGCGTTGGAACTGCAGTCGAAGAATATCATCTCTGGAGCCGTTCGAATGGTATACGGCATCATATTTGTCCTCTTTCTGGCATTTGGGTTCACTGTTGGAAGCACATTGTATGGTGCGCTCGACGACAATGCGACTTCTGCGACGACCTGTGAAGCACCATGGCCTTTCTGGTGGCAAGTCACTTTTGTGATTCCATTTACGTTCTGCTACATCGTTATCAACCAAGGCAAGTGGAAGAAACTCCCAGCAATGTTGATACTATCCATGATTGGTTGGCTTGTCAACTACTATGCCGCTCAAGGGTTTTCCAAAAGNACCCGCACATCCAAAGGCTTCGGCTCAAACATCCAGATGGCTCAAATGTTGGGAGCTCTTGCCATTGGAATTGTGGCCAATCTCTATTCACGTCTGGGCCAAGGACTTGCTGTCGCGTTACTGCATCCTGCAATCTTCATCCAAGTGCCTGGAAGTTTTGCTGCATCGGGCAGCCTTATTAATGCAGTCGCAAATGCTGATCTTCTCACGAAGCACAACTCTGGCACTGGGACATCAGATGACGGGCAGAACAATGGTCTGTTGACCAATGCTGGTCTCGCTATGATTGAGATCGCCATTGGCATTACTGTGGGCATATCCATCAGCGCGCTGCTAGTTTACCCTATACGTAAGAAGAAGAGAAGTGGTCTGTTCAGCTTCTGATGTATCACGACTGAGATGTATCTGAGCTCAGGCATGCTTTGGGGTCTACCAAATCCCGATGCTCCGAATTTGTGGTTAGAATGAGGATGTGTTAGGGTCGTTCCCAGACACTCGTGCGGCAGATGGTTTCCAACCATGATGGACGATAGCAAGAAGCTAACAGATCATATTGGTCGGATTAATGTAGGGCTGTACACAAAGTGTGTCACTGGGCTTCGTAACCTCCGTAGATGCGGCAAGGCTCGGAAGTATCTGCGTGTGTATGATCGTTGAGACCAGCATCACTACTATCAGTCAGAGTCGGTGATTACTGATGTCAATGATGGAGAGAACGAACATGGACTCAGAATTGTCTTGGGAGATGACCGAAAGGTCGAGAAGTCTTGATGATCAAGGTGCTGCTGCTCTTGGCTTCCAGAGGATTCGATTTAGGTGCACGCTACTCATCGTTTGATTTCAACAGAACCGATCTGGGCAAACATCGATAAAGGTTTATGGCGATGTTCAAAACAATAGTGGTTCGAGCAAAATGCGTTGCGCACTTGTAAGAAATGTCTCGAGCGATGAGACCACTCGTGTTCGAAAGCTGCTTCGAGGTACAACCACTAGGTGATTCAACGGACGTGGATGTGACAATGATTCGAAAGAGGGTAACGCGCGCGGTCGTGAAGGTTGTATGCGTAGGAAGTAATGTTGCAGCTCTCAAGTCGGAGAGTTTCGGTCAGCGACATTGTATCATTGCCGTCTGGTAGTATGCTTCCCTCGTTCATCGAGTATCCCTTATAGATGAGTTTTACGTTTCTCGTTGTTCCAATTTTCGATCGTCATTTGGCTAACAATCATGATGATTGTATCTATTGCTCTGATGAAACCATCTTGCGTGCGAATGCTTGCTACTCCTCGTCAAGTTTGAAGTATAGCACTTTGGAGGCATGAAGTCAACATTGAAGCCAAAATTGCATTGGACATGCGCCATATCATATGATGAGAGATAGTCACCCTTTCACTACATTGGTCCAAAACTTCGACAACCGTCATTTCCATGTTACCCCGACATAAACCATTAAAATCAACACACCATCGAAATCAGCGGAGCCATCAGAACCATCCTCTTTTTCTTTGATTAACCAGTTCCTCCTCTTGCTCTGAAAGGCTCACCAATTTAGGTCGATTCTCAAGGATACTCAGCACGCAGCGAGCGCCGGCTTCCATACCGTCACAGCGCTCGACGTGCGTCCCGAGATCCGTCATATTCTTCCAGTACTTGTTGCGCAACTCGCTCTCACGTTGCATTTCACGCTGCTCTCCGTCCCACGTGGGTAAGCGAAGCCATTTTGTCGTTGCCAGCACAACCTGTTCATAGTTCTCGTGTCCGCACAGCTTTTCGAATAGTTGGACATGCTTTTTCCTGTGTCAACATCTTGTCTGGTTTTAGGATCGAAACAGTGTGAACAAGACACTTACCCGCGACTCTAGGCCACCCAAACGTGTTTGGCTGATGTCGTGCATGTACACCAATTCCTTGATCAAGTTCGTGCCATCGANATCCGAGAATTTGAAGAATAGCTGACGCATGATTTTCTCGTCACTCATGTTTGGGCGATTGTCGTCAAAACCTGGTGTATCCAGAATGCAGCTATTCTGGCCATTGAGGTTCACCTTGAAGTACTCAATTGTACCCGTNNATCTATCCCTTTGTCAATCATTCGGTGATCTCAATATCTGGGCGACCAGAAGCTTACATGATTCCATGCTGTGGCATACTATGGCTTCATGGCCGTGGCTGTTGTTTCCTCCCAGTGCCTTTATGAAGCTGCTTTTGCCTACGCCGGTTTTGCCGATCAGAGCGTAGATGGGTAGGGCATGGCATTCTTGCTCAGGTGTGCTGTGGCGAGAACGGATGTATGCCGGATTCTGGAGAATGGTGAAGACAAGGCCCGCGACACAGGCTGGCATCAAGAAACCTTGCTTGTTCAAGGATGGTTTCGGTCCCCGTCTCTGACGCTTTTGATGACGCGATGCAAAGTGTCTTGATAATTTGGTTGGGTATCGTTTCTCTCGTTCTGAATATCTTGTCGGAGTAAGCATGGCACAGTGGTCGATGGCTTTTTCTTTGTTTTGTTGCTCCAACGTAAGAAGAGCCGAGGTCGTGAATTTGAGCTGTTGCGGTTTCGGCTTCTGTATCCCGTTGGCCATTTGGATTATGATGGTTTCGCTTTCTCCCGTTGATCGTGGTGGTTTTTCGGATGTCCATGTGCTATTGCTCTCATTTTACCATGTCTGATAAGTTGTGGGATAGCGTCGTTCGTAGATGAGATTGCGGGTATCTCGCAGTACTCGGTTGGTCTCTCATCACCCAATTGCTCATCTTGTTTGCGGAATGTTGCAGTGCAAATAGTGTCTCTTGGAAGTTCCATTGTTTCGCCGTATGGTCCCGTGGTTCGACCTGGCAACATCAGCAATATCTATCGCATACACAGCAGTATCAAGGACGAAAAAATCGTCGATGCTTCTGGAAGACTTTAGAACCAAAAGAAGAAGCACTTCAAGGGACTTGACAATGTCAACTTCTGATAAGACAGACTCGTCAGTGGTGCATTTGGTTCAGGTTTGGAGGAGCAAATCAAGGAAGTTTTCGCTTACTGTTGCCAACATGTCTCTGATCCTGAGGATGAGATGTACTTCTTCGGCTTTAGTCGTGGTGCTTTTGCTGTCAGAGCAGTCGCCAACCTCCTGTCGTACATGCGAATCCTCACTGAACTACCAGGTTCGGATCATTTTGACAGGCTCTATGCGGAAGCTCTCCGTCTCTACAAAGATGTTCGACAAGGTACATACCTTATGAAAGGTTCCATTCACGAGTACATATCAAGACACGACTACCTCCTCGTATCATATTCTTCGGTGTTTTCGATACGGTCAAAGCTTTTAGTGACGACGGTCTCTATAACATTGAGGCCATCGCTTCGCTGGAACACTGTCGGCAAACTCTTGCTTTGAACCAGAAGGGAACAGCATTCGCACAGGAGCTTTGGAAAGTTGACGAACATACCCCGAACAACTACTTGGAACAGCCTGGCTGTGAGCACAACGTCAAACAGGCATGGTTCAGTGGCACGCACGCAGATATTGGTGGCGGCGAAGCTCAACCGCTTATCCTTATACCCACTCCAAGGGATCATCTCTGAGGCCATACAGAAAAGTCTGGTCTTTGGCTTCACACAGATATACCGAGCGACGACAATACTACGCAATCAAGTCGCGCTTGCGAATCCTCTCCAGCTGATATTTCTTGAGGTTCAGGAGACAGACTCACAATTTTCACCTACAACCGGTTCAGTGCGTTTGGCCAATGGACCTACTCTCAGGATGTGGGACCTACGCCCAATCCACGAAGATCCTTCATACTCGATCAAGCTTGATTCGAGCGGGATCAACAGGTGGATCTACAAGACTGCACCTCGCACAATCTTCGAGCAAGGTCAACTAGTGGGCCACGCAGGTACCGGTCAGTAAAATTGATAATCGCTCTTCCAACCTAAGCTGAATTTGGTGCAGATAACTTCATTACGTTCGCTCACCCGTCTATCTACCTTCTGCAAGACAGAGACCCTGAGATCACCGATATCCTGGAAGGTTGGCCGTTCCAAACGGACTTGTTGACGTACCGAGACAACAATCTCGATGTGGATCAAGTCTTCTGGGTATCCACACCAACAAATCTAGGGGAGGTCGACAGTGACCATCTGAAAGTGGCGCGCATCTTGGCCTGCGGGTCTGCAGGTGTTGGCAGAATAACACTGATATCCAGGGTGCTTAAGGTCGACGGTGAGGGGAGCAAAAACGAACACAGTATCCATGACATTGAGCTTGGTATCCCATCCCAGGACGGAAAGTGTATAATCCACGACTCTCGTGGATTCCAGGGTGGCACTTTGGAGGAGATCAAGATTCTCGAAGCTTTCCTCCGGAAAACATCCACATATCCGAATCTCATGGATCGCTTACATGTTATTTGGTACGCGTCGTGCTTACACTCGTCACGATCGCTGACGGCATGTAGGTACTGCGTAGCTTCTACGCGTTTGCGTATGATTGAACAAGCGGACAGTACCTTGTTCTAGACTCTGGCTGCATGTGATCACAAAATTCCGATCATAATAGTCCGTACACGGTACGACGACCTTCGACACAAAGTGGAAGGAGACGTGCAAGATATATACCTGAAAGACCACGACATAGCTCGGCCAAAATATCTCGGTACCGATGATTGGGACGCCATCGACCTGACTGTGGAAACACAGATTGAGGAGATCAAACGAGCCTTGATGGACGGTTTGAGACAAACAGTTCCAGGCCAGCCTTAGATTGGTCCTGTGTTCACATCCAAAAGTTCGTCTTTCACTTCTTTCTTTGAGTCCTACTAATGCGTATCACAGATGATGCCAACTCCATAAACAGACTAGTAAGCGAGACCGCTCCCTCTCTCTCAAGTCCGATTATCCGTGCCCTCTTCGTCGGAGCGCAGATGGCGAGCTTGCAGAGCAAGATCGATGAAGCCATCAGAGAAAGCTTGCGCCTTTACGGGCATGCCGTACGAACCGCCGCGGTACCCATCATGTTTTCCGGACTCGCAGCCTCGACGACAGTAGGCGCCCTGATTGCAACCAGCATCACGAAGAAATTCAACTTCGGATCCGTCAGCTCGGATCTTGCTGGGCAGACCATATACAACGCTCTGTTTGCCAACTACGAGGCAACCGGATTGCAACTCTTCGGCCAGGCCCTGCAGTGTAGCGGAGTCGAGTATCACAAGAAGGACAAGGTCGATCAAGTACATGCAGAGGTCAAGAAGAGTCTTCCGGTCTGGGGTATCTTGAGTGCTTATAGGTACGAGGAGTTGAGAGTGAGGCTGGAGAACATTGTTCGAGTTCATCGTTTTAAGAAGGACCCTTGAAGAACGTATAGACGGAAAGTGACTCTGGAATCTATAGCTATACAGAACCATCAGTCACAATCTTGCAAGTTTTTCATATTCATCGCTATGGTTTGAACAAGACAGGTTCGGGCAAAGTGTTGGCCGGATGACTAAGCCAAGACCCACAAATCGTACCATCTCCGACGCTCTTCCAACTGTGTCAACATCTTTGTGGCAACGTGATAGTATTACACAGACGAGTTGTCGAGACACACTGTTTCCACAGCCATGTTCGCAGAGATAGCTAATTATGCAAATGATGCCGGTAAGTGGTTTTTCTGTTATCCTTGTTTTTTCTTGTTTCGCCGCCGTTGCTCGGGGGAGTGCTTCCCCAGGTGAGGCTTTTGCTACGTACAGAACCATGGGTCCGAGAGCTGCAGGAGTAAAGCAAGAGATGGAATGTCAGGAGGAAAAATCTGGAGCATGATATACTCTATACTCCAGAGGACTGTCTGCGGAAAGTCGCTTCCTCCGTCGTACTTCGAGGCTCGATTGCCCACTCCTCCAGCACCATTCTCGAATCTCTGACCATCTCTGTTATCGCTCTTTTCTTATCCTCTTTGACTTCCGTTTTTCAAAAGCTCTTTCTGGCAACGCGGTCATCAGACGACTGAGTTCTGTTGACTGGAAAAGAAACTGACATGTCGTGATGAACAGCCGCGGTAGAAAAGTCTTTGAGGCTGTTGCAAGCGCTTGTACAGATAGCAGCGGGGACCACATCATCAGCACAAGATGCGAAGATGTGGAGTATTGCGAGGGGTCACTTCGCTCTAGGTCAGTCTGTTCTTTGTTGTGATCATGATCTTGTGTACCCCTACCCAAGCATAGATTTCTGCATCAAGACAAGAATCTTGCTTCATCTCAAGCAATCTAAACGACCGAACGATGGGATTCGAAGAGAATGTGGCTGACATCAACACATATCCTTACANGCGCGCCGCTATCTTCGCCTTTTCAAGTGGATAGATTTCGGCCAACTTACTCTCCAGTCTTGGAGTTCTGAATCTGATCCCTCACGCCGCTTACTCAAGATTGCAAAGAACGCTCTTCTGGCACTATACTTCTTCATGGAAATGTTTTGCATAGTAAGCTTGCTCCCATTCGTCAAAAGACTGCAATAACTAACACAAGATGAAAACAGACTNAATGCCATGGCCATCACCACCTCTCCCTTCATCACCTCGCTACAATACCACGCACTCCAGACTTGGTTTATCGCCATCAGTGTCTCTCTGCTCTTGACGTTGTACGACATGCTCGGCTTCTCTTACTCCTCGCCTACGAAAACTGCTTTGTACACCGCTCTCATCTGCGACCTTTGCGACATCACCATTCCTGGTTCTGCAGTCGGCTGGATCCCTGTGTCTTCTGTGACTGTGGGTATAGCAAGCAGTATCTCCAGCGTTCTTGTCGGAAAAGACATTTGGGAGAGGGTGCAGCAGGAAGCAAAGCAAAAGGAACAGAGAAAAAGGGAAAAGGCAGCGAGAAAAGTCAGATTCGATGCTGGAACAAAAGCTGGAGAGAATGAAAAGGATGCAGTGGATGCAGACAAGAAAAGCAATGGTGTTGTGAATGGGGGTGTCAAGGCTTTGGTCAATGTTGTCGGAGATGGAAACGGGAGTGTCAAGAAGAGGGCACAGAAAGCATAAAGAGAGTCAGTCGTCCATGCTATCATAAACATAAACATCAAGTCTCTTGGAGATCATCCTTGAGGGTTTCCTGCACGTCCCCTCTGAGTGTTTATGCGTGTCGAGTTGTTGCAACACTCTGTCTGATTTATCGAAAACAAAACGCGTCAACTCCCAAGAGCTTTTTGCATCTTGGATTTTGTGCTTGTGCTGATTCATAGCACAGTACTCAGACTTTCGTAATGTGACTTCGAGCCTTCGACTTACCTTGAAATTGAGTGGGCGACAGGTGTAGCGCAGAGAGTTATTCAGAAGCAACACTTCCGGATGTGTTGTCAATCCATGGCCAACACTCTCTCATTCGAAACGTTTCAAACTTTTTACGTCCTCGTCATGGCCAACACCTATGGCCACCTCCCCTTACCCCTCCGGAAGTCTCTCAGGCCGCGCAACGCCTCAATCGATCACACACTCACAATCGTCGTAAGCATATATTCAACCCCTAAGAATAGGAGGTTGCTTTGTCGCAAAGTACATTCGCAATTGCACTGCAAGCCCCATTGTTTCAGATTCCAAAAGAGGCTTGCTTGCAATGAACCCGAACCCCTTGTCTGAGCGTCTCTCTGGAGGCTCGAGACAACTCTTGCACGTTGAAGGAGTTCCTTACCTCGGTACCCTCGTCACAGAAAAACGGGTGTGTCAAGAAGAACAAAGGAGGTTTCCTATTTCACCAAAACAACAACAGCGGCTCTTTTGAAACGTATGAATCTAAGCTTTTCTCGAATAAACTCGTGCAGATTTGGAAGGACATTATCGGGAAATCGATATTGTGCAGATTTGGAAAAAGCGGCACCAAGATGAACGTACTTGTTGCAATCAATTGTGGCTGCGCGTTGTTGTAGTGATTAGGGACGTGATTGCGAATGTTCTGGAGATTCATTCGATACAGGGGAAATGAGACAACCGCTTGCATGGCGTTCGCGAAAACGTTTGCAACGACTGATCAGAGGCTTAGCAATGAAGCTTCAGGGGTCGGAGGCTTTCGATACATGGATACAACGATCAAAACAATGTCATCACATGCGACTGTTACGACGAAGGACGGTGAAATGGAAGATTAAGTTGAGTATAGGAAGAAAGGTTCAAATTGTGTTTGTTCGAAGAGTGATATCCAGAGAAGCGAAACAAAAGGGTGGTATATACATGAAGCTCTGTAAAGAAGAAAATGGTCGTTTTGGTTTGTGTTGTGGTTCGGATCATAGATCCATGTCATAAAATGGTGTGGTTGCTTGTCAAGGCACTCTATGAGAAGGTGGTGCGGACGAAGTTGTTGTTCTGACCAACGAAGCAGCCACCGCTGGCAGCACCGGCGTACATGCCAGACTGAGCACCGGGCTGGGAAGAGCAGTTCTCAAGGGTGTAGCCGAATTCGCAAGAGTCGCCAGAGTCGCAGGTGAAGACGCACTGCTCCATGTCCGAGACACACTGGGCGCCCTCAATGCTCATGTTGCGGCCGTTCATGTTGACAAGGCGGGAGACGTCGACGGTGGAGTACTGGCCGTTGTAGGTGAATTCACCCCAGGTGTTGCTGACCTGTCCGTTGATCATCTTGGTGTCCTCGTAGAGGGCGGCCCAGCCGCCGGAGGTGCCAGTGGCGGTGGAAACGTTAACGGCGCTGCCGTTGGCAATTTGGTAGGTGATCAGGGGAGCCTGGACGTTGACCCAGGAACCGACGGGGCCCCACATGACGAGAACGAGGTCCTCGCCGGACTCGTTGTTGAACTCGGTGACATAGTCGCCGTCGTTACCGATCCAGGAGGCGTGGCCAGCAGAGGCAGACTTGGCGTTCTGACCAGTCAGGCAGCCGAGAGTCTGGAGGAGGGAACCGAGAAGACCGCGCTCTTCGACGACGGGCTTGGGGATGGCGGCAGCACTGCTGAGGGCCAGGTTGGCGAGAAGAACGGTGGGGAGGTTGAAACGCATTTTGATGGTTGATTGGTTATTTTGTGTGTGTGGTGGTGGGAAAAAGGGTTGTTGTTTGGAAGGTTTATTGTTTGATAGTGGTGTTAAGTGAATGTGTGGCCGCGATGGCGTCGACTGGAATACAACCAAAAGAAGGAAAAAGAGAGTGACTTGATGGAGGAGGAGAGTGAGGATGGGATGGGCTTACCGTTCTTTTATGAATCTGAGCGTCTTCCACACTGTGTATTGATCAGTGTTTAATCAAGCCGTTGCCGCCATGCAGGGCCCGTCCTTTCGTGGGCCCCCCCCCCCCCTCCCAGTGGACGTAATCAAGCCGTTTCCCATCATTTGGCGCCTCGTCAAAGCGCCAGAATGGAGACAAAGATCCATGCTTTGTTGGCTTTGTTGGCTTTGTTGCCTTTGTTGCCTTTGTTGCCTTTGTGGGAGAGCTGTGCTTTGCACACGCTTTGGGACCGCATGGGCCGGATGCTCCAATTTTCTTTTAGCCCCACGAGCCAATGGGAATTGAGAACAAAGTCCGAATATTCATCGTCTAGATGTTCGGAACACTTGTCGCTCTGCTGGCATCTGAACTCCAGTCTAGAACCCGCTAATTGAGAGTGAAAAGGGGAAAGCGTCGACCGTTGCTCTGCCGCGTACACAGCTCGTGGCTTTGGCAGCATTCGGCTAGTTGGACGGGAGTACCTGACGGTATCCAGATATTTCAATGGTTGTTTTGACTCGCGACGACGAGATGTCAGAGCGCTTCGAGTTCTGAACGTGAAGAAAGCGCTGTGCTATGGTATTCCACGTCACCATCCTTGCCTGCTGCGGCCAGGTCCACCCTTGCCGCTACGTACCCGGGTTGATTAGCCATGGGCAAGGCCCGCAGTTGAGCTGCGCGCGCGGCAGCCTTGCCGCCGTGGACTCGGTGAATCGAAGAGGGATCGGGTCAGGAACTCCGCGCGCCGGCGGCCGTCAACAGACAACAGACATGCGCCATGTACAGAGGGCGTCCGAATTCTCAGGTACGGGCGTCGCGTATTTTCAGGAACCAACGATGTCGCAGAATACGCTTTGGCTGGTGTCCAGGTACCAAACCTTGTTTCTCGGCCCTCTGTTGCACACCCGTCGTTGACCCGTCCCATCTACCACACCACCACTTCTGTGGCCTTCTTCGGTTGTTTCTACGCGCCCTGCATCGGACAATTAACAGAAGAGAAGAGTCTGCTGGTGTGTGTGGGCCCTTCTGTCACCAATAAGTGCCGACAGTACAATTGTCCATGGATCATTGGAGCAGCCGCGCGTTGTTGAATCTTGGGCAAATTATGACAGTCGAGTACCTTGTAGTTTTTTTGACGAGGTCAGAAGTTGTGGTGGGATGAAAACTGCAAGCCTTGCAAGGTCATGACGGATCGGCCACCATATGCAAGTCGCAAGCCAGCGCTTACATGCAGTCGCACCTTCCACACGTGGTTACAATGATAGTAGATCGACAGATGGTCAGCTTGGAGACATGGATGTCGTGTGAGGTGTGGGTGAGTGGTCAAGTTCAATAGACTGCTATCTTATCGACCTCAATCATCAAATCTACCAGTCTAGTCTCACAGATCTTAAAGTCTGGCTACCCTGCTCGAAGGATCAATAGAGCGATCGAATAGTCTTTGATGTCTCGGCTGAACAAATATCTTTTGTGTTCAACGGCGTGACACCAATTCGACTGACAACGAGCTGCATCTTCAACTGACAATGAGACTTTGCAACGGAAGCATCCCACATCGAGCCGCAAGTGTTACATGCATGCCTTTCCGCTGGCATCCTCAACTGCAGCGTTTTTGGCTTTCGGATACCGACTCGTAGCGAAGCGGCTGTTCTGCAAGGACGGGACATGACAACAGAGAGATCCTCGATCCATGTGCACACCAAACGAAAAGTACAGCGCACGCGACATGGAGCAGCACATCTTCAACCCTTTTAGGCCATGCCGCAGAAGAGCTTAGCCTCCATCAACAAGAGCAGTGTCTTCGCCAACGCTTTACCGAAAGATGGAGTGGGCACATCCTCCACTTTTCTCCATCACCGACAAGACTATCCACTGAAACCCCGTTGTGTGTGCTTTTCGCTTGTGTGTCTTCACATGCATTTCTGCCTAGAGCTCGAGTCGTGTCCTCAGGCTATGTTGCGCAACTTGGAGCAGAGTCGCATGTATCCACTGTTCCATCGCCATCCCGCAGTTGACCCAACAAGTCGGTACAGCCGACGGGACGGTGAAAGTGCGCGGGCAACGTGGTGCGATTGTTCTTTTGGGACACCAAATGCACCATTGACCGGCGGCAGTTCGTCGTCTTTACTGCGCCCACCTGCTATTGATCTCTTATCCACTATCTGTCCTATCGATAGATCCAAAGTCTTTCTCTACAAGAGACTTCACGTGCCTGGTGTCCTTTTTGGTATCACTTTGCCTATTCTGTGGTTAGACTAGGGCTTGGCTCAACTTGGGGCTTTTGTCCAGCAACCCAAAAAGTGTGAACGAAGTCTATCTTGTATGGTTACCACGATTCGTTCAGGTGGCAGAGTTCGAGGCTGCAGGGTCAGCTTTTCCCTTTGGCGCGGCTTACGGTCGCGGATGAACGCAAGCATAAGCCCTGAGATTTACAAGGATCAAGGGTATATCAAGGTTGAACCATCGGGTAAGACAATCAGTGTGTTAAAGTCGAGAGCAGCAGAGTACAAGACACGCACAAGAAGGTTGCAGCTGAGGGTCTTGAGGACACAGTTGTCCGACAAGGGTCCGGCCGCCGAAAAGCCACTCCAGAAGGCTACAGCGAAAACACACTTTCCAAAAGTCCGCCAATGGAAACCTTGAAGGGGGATGGAAAAAAGTTCTTCTTCAGCCGCGGGTGGACCGCCGAACCACAAGTCGCTCTTTACACAGCTCGGCTGCTCTTGCAAGCCTCACAGGACTGCTGACTACTAGCACCTACAATACCTCATAGCTTGGCCTTGGCAGCTTGCTCGTCTCTGTTGGTCTGCGCCATCTTCAACAACGCGTACAATGTCTGCAGCCGCGGCATCTCGTAGCCCTTCTCCCTGGCAATGCGTATGGGATTGCCGAGTATGACTTCCAGCTCCATCTTCTTGCCCGCCTCCCAATCAAGCCACATGCTGGGTCTGCTGCCCGAAGTATTCTTTCTCGTGCTGGCGAGCAGCTTGTCGGCAGATGCGAATTCGGGGGGGAAGTCTTGGCCGATGATCTTGGGCGCGGTGGTCAGGATCTCGAGCATGGTTGCGTGCAGATGGCGGGACAGCTCTGAGTCTTTGGCCATTGCTGCGTTTGTGCTGCCGTTGGAGAGCACGCTGGATGGGTTCATCGAGGCGTTGATGGCGAGTTTGTGCCAGCGCACGAGTTGGAGCTTTGCGTGTGTGTAGGCTTCTGCATCTTTGACACCGCCTTGCTGCAACAGATGTGCAAACTTGTTGTTTTGTTGTTCGGCGTGGGACAAGGATGAGGAGGGGTCTGCAAGGTAAGGACCAATGTTGATGCGAGTCCAGCGGTTGTGCTTGATCTCGCCGTGTTGTTCTTGAGCTGCAGAGACGACCGTGACGGCGCTGAGGATGCTTGCCGAAGGGAAGCGTTTCGCATATGCCTCTTCAACCCCCAAGCCATTCTGTATCAGCACGACCGCCGTCCCCTCATGCACGAGTCCCTCCAGCGATTTGGAGTCGTCGCTGACATCCGGCAACGCTTTCGTACTGACCACGATATACTCCCACTTGACACCACTCTGCTCGGCTTCTTTCGGACTGGCAAACACACGCGTAGGCATCCACTTGTAGTCGCCATACTGCGGCGAGCTCACTGCAAAGCCATCGCTAGAGACGGCCTTGTAGTTTGAGCGACACACACACGAGACCTTGACGTTTGGCGCTTGAGCGAGTCTGGAACCGTAGAAAGCTCCCACGGCGCCGGCGCCGAAGATGAGCACTTCAATTGGCGAGCTTGACATGGTTGAGATCTGCTGGAGTGTGATCTTGCTTGTCTGTGGACTTCGAGTGCTTTGCTCATCGTCATGGTTTCCCCCACGCAAAGATGGACCTCGGCAGAACAACTTGGCCGCGTCATTATTCTTCTATCATTTATTCTTTTTTTTTCTCCTGGAAGGTAACACGAGTCGGCCATGCGGTCTTCACACTTGATGTCCTTCTACAGCGAATGATCATCTAAGCTTCAGTGACACCTCTCCTGTCGCCAGGCCGCCTGTTCCACCTGTTCAAAGTTCTCTTGTAATGTTCGGCTTGTTCCTGTGACAACTACCGTGTCTGTTGCAGCATTCTGCCCGAAGCACCGCCGATAACATGTCATAGCTGCAGGATCCATCTCTATCCGTTGATGACTGTCGACCATCATCATATGCATCATTCATCCAGCGTTGAAAGAGCTTACAAGAGTGGACAAATCAATGGGTGAGTTCGGCCGACAGATGTCCAGCAAGTAGCACGGGAGAACACTTGACGCTTTCGCTGAACTTGTATTCGCTTGTATGTTTCCTGCGACCGATATCACTACGGGATCTATACAATTATTTCCCGTTGAATTTGTAGTCTATTCATTCCCTTTATGGTTCTACGGTGTAGTTGATCGTTATCTACTGTAGCTCATAGCGCGGGCGCAGCCATTGCTCTTATAGGTGTGCCTGTACTAGTCTTGTATGGTGCGAGATGAGAAGGCTCTTTTCGAAATCTTCTGGTGACTACCTTACTAGCAATGATCTTTTACCTCATTCATGAAAGCCACAAGGTCTTGCCGTCAAAACCCAGTCGATTTGATCAATGTCTATGTTCGATCAGAAGATTGGGTAGATGTTGCCGACTAACGAGTGGAGCTTTCTGAAAAGTAGAGCTTGAAAAGTGGAATTGACATTTTGCGACGACAACAAACAAGTGCAACTTTTAGCTTATCACATAGCATACCTAAGCCAACAAGAATGCTTCCAAGCACTGTGAGCAGTACATGATATCAGTGGTGGTCGAGCAATGTGGTCGGCAACATGCAAAGGGCTTGCTGACAGTAGCACCCTGACCAGAAGTGCCAGGTTAAGAACGAGGTAATCAGGCCAGCGTTCCGAACACTGTGAAGTTGGATGTTCGAGACAAGCTGGAATGCACAAAATGTGTTCAACAGTTCTAAACACGAATGGAGAGCTATTGGCACGCGTCCAAAAAATGTACATTGGAATGTAAAAACGAGGGTATGTATAGCAAAAAGACAGCTGATCCAGCCAGAATACCGCAGCTGGATCTCCCAAGAGCACAAGCAGCAATTATGCCGTCTCCTCCAACTCCCCAAAATAAAGTTGTCAACGCCCCAGATGTCATGATCATTTCGTGTCCCCGAGCCCAAGATTGTGTTTGTTTTCTCATGTGCTCTTTCTTTTCTCATCGTAGCGCAATACCAGTGCCGTTCTTCGTCCAGCGGTATAGTGCGAGTACGGTGTGTCGTCGGTATTGTGTTTCTTTCTGTGGTACGTAACGGCCTCGTGCTTGTGTGACTGCGGAGCGAAGGATTTGGCGGTAATTGCGCTATGGGAAGAACAGTCAGTACTGATATTACAGAGCAAGAGATGGAGTAGATGTTACCTGATACTCCGTGTCCAGAGTCGATACACAAGCCTCGGTCGCTCGAATGATGACTTCGCATGCATTTATTATCTTCGGATCCGTTTCTGTCTGCAGTCGATCTACGATCAAGAGAAGAGGGAGACTGCCTTGCAACAGTTGAATTCCGAGGAAGTAGGGTACGAAACCGAGATCCGGATCAACATCCAGAATATGCGAGACGTTGTCGGCAGCTGCAATGGCATTTGCGATGGTTGTGGTGAACGAAGGCGTAGCCATGAAGAGATCTCGGTCGTCGAACAAAGACATAGGGTCCCACTTTCCTGCTAGTAGGACCCGCGAAACTTGAATGACGAGATTGGCGTATGCGACGACGGTTTTTGTGTGATGGATATCCTGGTAGTCGAGTGCCGATGCTTGTTGCTCGAATCGAACAAGACTTTGCGCGTAGTTGTCGAGTTGCAGCAAGACCTGAGATTGCACGCGCTGACCATCTGTGTAGAGCTTGCCAAGGGTGTGGTGATTCTTCAAATGGTTGTAATCGAGTATTGTGCCGACAATTGTCATCAGCGGCAGGAACCAGCCGTAGATATTGTGACCAGTGCATTCGAAAGAAGGGAATTGTGGGCGTTGCGTGAGTGATGAGAAAGTGCCAGACTGCCACGATGCTTCGTCCAGGGGTAATAGGAGATCTTCGCACTCAGCATCCAGCAAGGCATTTTGTCGATTGTAGCAGAGAGCCAGATGACGATCTTGAATGTACAGCAACCACCAAGTTCTTCTCCGCTCTTCCAGCGTCTCTTGATCCACTTCGGGCTGTGCGGTATCTGCAGCGTCCATGTATTGTGCAAGACCATTGTCGAAGTCAAACGAGTTTAGTCCCAGCCAGGGGTCGCTCTCGAATTCGATCATGCTCTGGTTGTTGGCTGTTGGTGATACACCTGGAATGGATGAACCGGAGATGGGCTCCTTGTTCAAACCAAGTTCTCGCGCAAGAGCGAAAGCTGCGTGCCACCATCTCATGCTCATGGCTTTTTCCTCGCTAGCAGATGTGATGGCAGCGATATGGATATATGTTATGACATCGTCGAGCGTGCCCGAACTTGATTCTTGTAGTTTTCTGGTGGGACCGTCGGTCAACTCGTGGACACAGCCAATATCCGAGTGAACCAAGGGGTGGAGCAAGCGAATTGTAACCAGTCGCAGTTTCCTGCAAATGTTGATGCGTTTGGAGTGTGACCAGGACAGAGTTTCCGGGCCTCCTGTTTCGGCCGCTGCCCATAGCATACTTGCGAGGAGCGCCGGACTACAACTTCGAGGATTCTCCTTGCTCATTACCGAAGCTTTTCGGAAAACAAAGGCATGTATATGGCGACACACGGGGTGCATGAATGTGTTGAATTGGCTGGTGAAGTATAGTTCGAGCAGACTCGCAGCCTGAGCCTCGGTCAAAATGGACGCGACATATGGCAAGAGCGGCACGAGGACAGGATATTTGGGATGTCCAGCACCTCCCGAGTTTGTCTCCGAGGCACCGTCTTCAGCACCGAAAACCGGGGCCGACATGGATGCATTGAAAGCAGCAGTTCCCAGGTCAATCGAATATCGGCCATTCCACATGTTTGTGTTGCTGTCCAAGGTGACGGTCGAAGCGTGGCGTTCTCCCAGGCTCGGGCGATGCATGAATGATTGCATGCCATGGTCGGTGCCAAAGGAGCTGTGTCGGGCATATGCCGAAGACTGTTGCGTCTGGTCTGCGATGGCCGGGTTGGCAGTGANTGGCTACGGTGGGCGGGGGCGGAGGTTGCGTGTGTTGTTGTTGCTGCGCCGGGGCAGGGGCAGGGGCAGGCACGGGGGTGCGGGCGCGGCTTCCTGCTTGTGTCCGTTCTGTCGCTCCAGCAGGGCCGAACGACTGGGTTTCCCCCGCTTGTAGACTGCTCTCTGGTATTCGCACACGTCGTGTCCTGCACACCTCGAACATGGCTGCTGTCCGTCGCACTTGACTCGTCGTTTGTTGCACAAGTCGCAGGCTCGAGTGATGCGCCGCTTCTTGCTCCTCTCGGCCTCGTCGTCTAGCGGGCCGTCTCGCTTGCAGCNCCCCGGCGATGTCGACTCTTCTCCAGGACTGTGGCTCACGTCGTGCCTGTGTGTTGTCGTGTCGGGCGGCGTCGGCATCTTGAAGGGCTCGTCGTGGGTCATCATTTTGTGAGAGGATTGGTTGGAAAAACACAGCATCTGGAAAAATGATTCAAGATCACGTCTTCTCTGTCTCTGTCTCTCTCCCTCTTCCCCCGGCCCCGCCCCGCAATGACCTGGTCTAACTTCTGGACCGCCTCGAACTCTCCTTGTACACGAGCTGCGGGGCAGAGGCAAGCCACATGAGCTGTGCGTCCCTCCATCTGGAGATTGCTACCGAGGTTGCTTGCTCAGATGACCCATCCCAAACCAACCAGCGAGCAACATTTAACTGTTGCATTTGTTTCAAGCCGCCTAAACACAGACCTGCACTGTTGCAAGTTTCTCTTCTTCGACGACCTTCATGTCCATGAGGGATGACTCGTCTGCCATGCAATTCACGTGAACTGCCTTCGCCAAAAGGCCGAACTGCTTGGCTTGCTGTTCGGTGCCGACCGACCACGCGACCGTCCCGTACGTTCCTTGGGCTTCTCGCTCGTCTCATAAGAACCGCTTCACCTCGAGCCCTAAACACGCCCTAACTAACTCCAATACTCTACCATCAGAAACGTGACACCTGTTTCTAGCAAGTCTCGCATGATAACGTCGACACCGCCGACATGCCACCGACTCCATACTGTACTCATACGGAGGCCCCGGAAGTGCCCCGCCTCGCGTCCTTCTTTAGTCGCTCGATTAGAGAGAAGGTCCTTTTCCTAACCTTGTATTAAGCACTCCGAAAATCTCTCCATTAGTGTTGCCATCTTTGCACTCTCTACGACAGAAAGGATGCATAAAGAAGATCTACAAAGATCCCGTTGGCAAACTCATGGATGCTTTGCTAATCTCGGATTCACGAGAAGGTTAATCCCAAGAATTGCAACATAGCCATCAGATTTGTCCCTTGTCGTTGGACTCGTGCAGACAAGAGTCTTTCGAGAAAAGACTCTCTCGGTTCTGCCTGTTCACGAGACCGCGACTGCAACTCACCGCCTTGCTTCGCGTGCAGTCGCAAAGCACATCTCGCTGCGTTGGCGAAGGTGGCACTTGCACGGTTCCCACCACCCCGCTCCCCTCCGCCGCTTCGGCTACGCAGCCGTTTGGATTCGCACAAAAGCCAAAAAAAAAGCGAGCATGTGAAATTGCGAAACCAGCGGTGCAGCCACAGAAAATATTTGTGTTTGATTCTACGACGCCCAAGAATATGCTCGCAGCGCAACACACTCTATATATCATACGAGGGGCAGGTTGTCCATCAATCACATCAATTGATCAGGTCTCGTGGTCTAGCGGTATGATACTCGCTTAGGGAGGCGCTTCACAGCACCTTGAAAACTCTAAGCCAATTGCGAGTGGTCCCGGGTTCGATTCCCGGCGAGACCCTGTTTTTTCATATGCTCATAAGAGGCATTCTTTTTCGATGCAGAAAGTGCAGGATGTTTTGTTAGGTGTGCGAGTGAATCCTGCTTTTGGTGGGAAAAGAAATAAAGCTGGGTGCTTGTGTGCTTTTGCGTTTTGCATCTAGCGGTGTTGAGAGTAACTAGAAAGAGTCTTGTCGCCCTTGTTTTGTCTATCCAGGAGATCTATTTTGAGACGAGGAGGAAGGAAAAAGAAGCAGGAAGCGGTAAGGCTTTTTTCTCCATTTCGGAGATGTAAAAGTTGCGAGCATGAGCAGAGCCTCAATCAAGGGTAATCGAAGAACAACAGAAGAGCTTAAAGGGTGTTCCTTGTGTTTAGTGTCAAAGCAAGAAAAAGACACGGTAAAACTCGATTTTGACATACAGTTTTATATTGTAAACCCGTTCCTTTTCGAAAACTGTTCTGTCAAAGCAGCTTCCTTCATGTGTACTACTGGCAGGTTTTGACAATGGTAGACACCGGAAGGTTCTCTGTTGTTTGACTGATTTGTTTCCACTTCCTGGTGACCATGAATCATGGTTGTTGAAAATCATGGTCATTCTGATAACGCAGTGATTCGACCTTGAGACTTTTGACATTGTTGTGAATTGGCGGTCATCTCTGGAGGATCTTCTGATTGAACATCCCGTTCTGCCTCCTCTTCTTATATCACTTGTCGTAGTTCACATGTCCTTTTTCCTGGTGTCGTGTTTGAAGAAAGGTTTACCAAGTGTCTTGCTTCACCCTTTCGTTGGCATAGTCGTGGTAGAGTCGGGTTTGCGATTGTAGACGATGTCGACGATTGCCGTAGACATGAGGTAGGAGGCCATCCACAGGCAGCGTGGAGAATGTTCGACAGAAAAGGAAGACTCAAGTCTTTCGTGCACAGCCCCAGACTGTACTAATGCCGCGAGGCCATGGCTGTAATCGAAAGCCGTAGAGCGACTGCAAGAGCTGTAGGAAGATGGCGGAAACAGATTTTTTATGTCAGTGTACCACAAGTGGCAAGCAAGACAGCATGGGAAGGAGATCTATTGCTGTCTAGTAGTATCTGCAACGAATGTCAAGGTAGTGATCGTATCCAGCTCAGCTAAAGTCTTTTGGTGGGAAGGAGATCAAGAATATGGATCGTAGGTCTAGTAAAAGCTTGTATGCCTATAGCGCGTCAGCTGAGTATTTGAATTGGAGGTGGGCCTAGCAGTATCAGAAGAGACAGAGCGTGCAATCAAGGGTAGAGATTGGAGGAACATGCGATCATCACCATGTCGGAATAGTATTCCTCACAGGCAGCCTGATGGATAAGGACGATATCCAAGGCAGGTTCCTCAGATGGCATGGGGAAAGCTGTATGACCACACGCAGCCATGTGTCGCTGCTGCAGAGGATGGCGAGAGATTTGTGAATATGATGGATGTTGACCTCTGCTTCCAAGGGAAAAACTCAATCCATGAGAAGGAAGGTATCTCACTCAGATGGCGACATAATACCTGACCAGGAATCGAGAACCCACAAAGGTCAAGAGACCCGAATTCGAACTCTTCCCAATGTTTGATCTCGTGTAAAAGCAATCCCAATGCCTCGAAGACGGCCTCCCTCGGAAGTCATCGCTCGGTGAGAGATCAAAAATCCAGGGAGTAAAAGACGATATCGAAGCAGAACCCGTCGCAAGCCTCAAGCCTCAAGCATCAAGCATCACCTGTCCACTATCTTTGCATCTTGCAGAGTCGGATAATCTATCGTGGCTCTGATCAATCATTCGACTGTATACAATTAATTGCACGGGCAAGACATTGCCGTTTCTGGTCCGTCAACGCGAGGATACCAAACCAGCCGCCCGAAGCATGTCCGAGACCACGACAGTATGGGAAACGCCAAAAAGATACTTGTTGACGTTCATATCTTAGCACTGCGAGTCGAAATGGTTGCATGTTCTTCTTCACACATGGCGGCTCTGCAATACAGCCATAGCCCCATACAGGCAACGTAGATTGTCAACATGCTCGTAGGACTACCCGATACGTAATGAACGCAGTGAGAAATACCTGCAAGCCGTCCTTGCAGGCCTCTGTCGCAGATTCAAAGCCACAGCGCAGCATTCAAATGGCCACCACAGCCATAGTTCCAGATTAGGTGCTATCATTCCGACCAGATGTGCTTGATTCTCCGAGTTTGCAGCGAGAGGGATTGTGGATGAACAAGCGCCTCAACTGCGCCCGAGAAGATAGAGGAGCGTGGCCTGATGTTATCGCAATGGGTCAGAATGTCGTTGTTCGACAAGAGATAGCTCAATGCATCGCCTCTCCTCAAGACTAGAAAGTCTGGCATTGTCAATCTCGTTGTGAGTGCAAGGAATCTTCTGGAAGACAGGCAGAGTACTTTTTCACGGGATCATGCTGCACATTTCTCCTGAATTCTTCAGCATGGCATATCCCGCTCGCACAGCTCTCAAGCAAGATCTCGAACGGGGAATAACAGAAGCAATCATCCCCAAAACCGGCTCATGCTCGCAGGACCCTAATCCTAGCCAATGGCTGCCTCCCCGACAACGCCGTAGTCTGCAGGAACGGCTGCAATCGTTCCCAGTCTGATCACTGCTTCACAGGCTCTAGACCATCGCAACCTTCCGCAACCTCCTCCGGCATTGGAGGATGTATCTCTCCTTGTCTAGCTGAATGTGGCATAGATGGCTTGGTGCCCTATCAAACCAGTGTGGTGCCGTGAAATACGTGTACGTAACGTGTCGAATGTGAGCCTCAAGAAGCAATATTGTTCCGTAATGATTTCTTGCAGGTCCCTCGGAGAGTCGTGATACGGTCAGTTGATCAGCTTTCTTGTGTTTCCTGTGGAGTCTGGCCGTGATAAATGCTCTTGGGATAGCCTCGTCAGATAACATCTAGGGCCGAGTTCATGCACGAAGAATTTCGAGACCGTTTGAAGCTACTCATGCAAGGGTGATGTTCCAGTGGAGGACATAGTCTCGATATCGTGATGTAAAGAGGATAGTCATTTTCAGACCATGTTTGATAACCATAGTTCCACGACGCGTGAGCCAATGCGAAGTTTGTCACTGAGATAGTGCGATATTCCCAGATGCTCAGAGCCGCCCACCAAAGAGCTTCAGATATCCACTCTGTCCCTTCAAGGACTGGTGCGAAAGTTGCCTATGTTGCAACAAACATTCGAATTCCAACATCTCAGAAGCGAAATGACAAAAGATGTGGAGTTTTGCGAAAGATGCAAGTCCGTATCTTACAAGACAGATGACTTGCTAATAAGCGGTTGAGTACGGACGAGTTAGTATGAGTAGAAGTACAGATGGATTGCAATTGGATCAAGATGCGAGGAGATATCAACGAGATTCGGCTTTTGCCTGTCGCGCGAATGTTAGACACTTATCTTGTCGCTCATCAGTAGTTTCGTGCTCAAGATGTTGATGATTAGCGCGACATTCTCATGGCAGAGAAGACAAAGGCATTTGGATTGTGCGCTGAGCAGCAAGTTGGCCATGACGAAATGAGTTGACGAATGTCGCTTCGGTGCATCGACAACAATTGACTGCTTGGGCGTGGCTTTGATGGTCTGCCGTTGGTCGCAACACGGACGTTCCGGCGGTGTCCTGGGTTTCGCAACGACGCCGCCATGTTTCGATGTGAGAGTCGAGTCGTGTCAACTTGAGAGACGGTCATGTTTGCTGTTGTTTGCAGAAGTGATTGTGTTGTCATGTTCTAGGGGTAACAAGGGCCGATCCCGCGGCCGGGGAATATTCCTTTGATATCCAGCAAATTTTTGCAAATTTTCTCTTCCATCTCGACCGCTCCAGATGACCTTATTGCAGTGATCTCCAACCTCTATTTCATCAGATCGGTCATCCGAATTTGCACCACTGGCCAATGAATACGATTACATCGGGGATCTCCGTGGAGAGTGGTTCACCCATGTCAACATTGATCCGCCCAGCCTCCCCCCGACCAGTTTGACGTCGGCGGCTGCCGTCAAACTGTTGGGCCAAGCCGCATCCTGAACATTTCTGGAGCCCCGCACCTGCCAGCACGTAAGGGTGGAGGTACCCAAGACAAGTGTGCTCTTCTCGAGGCTGGATCTTGTTGCCTCTTGCAGCTCCGGTTTCAACTGCGCATTGAGCTGACAAGACTGTGGGCATGAGATGCCTTCGAACCACGGCCGTCGAGAGAGGTCGTGGATGATGTGTGTGGAGGCGGCCGTGCGCTACATTTGCACCGCAATGTCGCACATACCGAAGTAAACGGTACGCCCTTCCGGGCTTAGCGGCCAACAGCGTATCTAAAGGGCGTGTTGAATCGAAGCAATCTCATTCCCACCAGCCGTGTGTGGTCCACTTCAATGGGGCGAATAGACATTTTGTTGGATGCTGTATCGTCAGTATTACTGCAAAAATGAAATAGGTGTCAAAGGGCTGGATTTGGCTGATAGCCATCTACATGAGGTAAGGGTTTCCTCTGGCTTATCACCGACCACTGATAACAGCCAATGCCCCGGCGTAACAGACCGAATCCTTCATGCAAACTGCCATGGAGCAATTTGGGTTTACCAAGGTTCGGTAAAACATACGCACCGCAGGCAAGCTACTGAGCTAGCAAAACCAAGCCATCCAGAACTGGCAGAACTGGGTTTCTTCGCCCCATCAAGTAGCGTTTTTACGAGTTTGAATCCTTGCATCCAAGTAGCCAAGCGCCACGCCTGGATCAGTAGAGGCCCCGTCTGTATTTTTCTACCGGCTTGTCTTTTGGAGTTCTTATATATGTATCGTGTGCCTGCCCGACTTTTGAGAAGCTCTCTGCTCGGATTTGCCAACAAATTTACTTCTCTACAGGTTTTCTATCAATTCGCTCATCATGCCGTTCTGGGACAAGAACGAGAAGACGAGCGATGTCATCTCGCAAGCACCATCCGACCCGGCTTTCTATCGTAGCGAGTCTCATGCCGAGGGTGTCGTTCACAGCAGTACCGATCACCTTCAGCGCCGTCTGGGTAACAGACAGATTCAATTGATCGCTATCGGAGGTTCCATCGGTACGGCTTTGTTCGTATCCATCGGTGGTGGTCTCGAAAAAGGTGGACCCGCATCGCTCTTCCTGGCCTATACCATCTATTCGTGCTTCCTTGGGTATGGCCCAGATTCATTGTTTCCATTGGCTGTACCCGACTGACATCCTTCTCGATTGATCAACAACTGTATAGCCGAGATGACGATCCTCTATCCAGTAGAGGGCGGTTTCATTCGTCTTGCTGGCAAGTTTGTGGACGAAGCCTTTGGTTTTATGGCCGGCTGGAACTTCTTTCTTTATGAGTACGCTTCCTTGTTATGCTTTGTGGGCAGGAAGTCAAGCTGACATGTTGTTACAGAGCCCTTCTTATTCCATTTGAGATTACCGCTTTGACTACCGTGCTCGGATTTTGGTCGGATAACGTGCCTCCGTGGTCGGTGCCGATCGCGTGTATCGTCGGTGGATTCCAGGTCTCTTTTCTGTATCTCGAAGGCTGACTACTTTTTTAGATCCTCTATGGGTAAGCATTCCTATGCGACAAGATCACTCCTTGCGACCTCCCCCGATTCTCATTCCCTTGCGACTTCTTGCCGAGCGCCGTTTTTCTTCCTGGAGAATACCCTCGGACCCGTTTCTTTGCCTTGCACCTCATTTCCTTGCGCCCAAGAAAGACCGGTTTCTGACCGCCCTTGCGACTTTTCATACCGTGAACTCTCCTTGTTTCCCTCGCGACTCGCGCCCAAAGCAACAATCAGCGCTGGAGCCTGTTCGGGCTCTCCAAAAGTTTCTAGCTGACATGTTCCTCTAGTCTCCTTAACGTCCTGGCTGTAAAAGCCTACGGTGAAGCTGAGTTCTGGCTGTCTGGCGGAAAGGTCATCCTAATTTTCTTGCTCTTCTCCTTTACATTCGTCACCATGGTCGGTGGAAACCCTTCACACGACGCCTACGGATTTAGAAACTGGAAGCATGGCGAAGCATTCCAAGAGTACAGATCCAAAGGTTCTCTCGGCCAGTTCGAAGGATTCCTTGCTGCTCTCTGGTCTGCATCTTTCTGTGTCGTCGGACCAGAGTACATCTCCATGGTCTCCGCCGAAGCCAAGCGCCCTCGTATCTACATCAAGACCGCATTCAAGACCGTCTACTACCGTTTCGGTATCTTCTTTATTGGGGGAGCTCTCGCTGCTGGTATCGTTGTTGCTTCCAAGGACCCCGAGCTTGTCGCCATTGTCACTGGAACTAAGTCTGGAGGTGGTACTGCTGCTGCATCGCCATATGTCATCGCCATGAAGAACATGGCAATTACTGGACTCCCCGACTTGGTCAATGCACTATTGGTCACCTCAATTTTCTCCGCTGGTAACACCTACACCTACTGCGCCACTCGCTCTCTTCACGGTATGGCTGTCGAAGGCCGCGCTCCCGGAATCTTCAAAAAGACCACCAAGAATGGTGTCCCGGTTTACTGTTTTGCTTTCGTCATGCTGTTCCCTTGCTTGTCCTTCCTCCAGGTTAGCAGTGGCTCGAACAAGGTTTTGACATGGTTGGTCAACCTGATCACTGCAGGTGGTAAGTTACTCCACAAACTATAAACACTACAGTTATTGTCGGCCTCGCAAATGCTCAAGTCGATCACATTTCGACGTCGCAGAGTGGGGGCGTCCGCAGAGTTGTGGTGTTCTCACCACTTCGCAAAGCCAACTTCCACCCCAAGCAACCATCACCTAAGATTCAACCTTGCTAATTCTTATTCATAGGCATTATCAACTACATTGTTATGACTGTCACCTACATCTTCTTCTGGCGTGCTATGAAGGCCCAGGGCGTTGACAGAAAGCTGCTGCCATACTGTGGTTGGTTCCAACCTTACTCCGCCTATATCGGACTTGCCTGGATGATTATGATTGTCACCTGCTACGGATACACCAGCTTCGCACCGTGGTCTACTGACAATTTTTTCATCTACTACACTATTTATGCCTCCCAAATTCAAGTTTGTTGGTCTATAAGCTAATATTGTTACAGGGTTTTGTTGGCACCCGTGCTGTTTATATTCTGGAAGGTCTTGAAGAGGACCAAGCTTCAAAAGCCCATGACTACCGACCTCGTCTGGGAGCGTCCTGCCATCGATGCCTACGAGGCTACCTTCCTCGACCCTCCCAACAGCTTTGTAAGTTTTGCCCATTCATTTATTACTTCCATATCGAACCATACCCTGTTCACCTACTACTACGGCCATTCTAACACAAACCAGTGGAACGAAATGCTTGGCCCTCTCAGAAGAAACAAGGGCAGCGATCGCCAGTACAGCGACTCTGGCAACCACTCCGGTATGGAATAAAGAAATCACGATTGATACCAGGCATATCTGTATATTATGATCAAATGAAGGAAAAAGTGTGCTTACATGCATATCCTGCACAACATCAACATTTTGTATCGTCCCGTTTCTATGTGTATGGTTGTTCTTGTGATATGAGTATGGTGAGTAAGTGTCAAGGGGCTGACGCCGATTTCTTGTATGTCCACCCAGCGCCAACATGAACATATTTCGACTTCAGGTATTGGACCTTCACGCAGCACATCATGATTTCAGTCAATTCATAACCTGTTTTGATGCGTACTCGATATCCGTTACCCTCGGTTCATCGCTTTTCCACGCTTTCGCACGACTTCCAGATTAGCAAAAACTGGACCGCCGCAATTCATCGTTCTATCCTGGGCGACCATGAAGTCGTTTTCTTTTTCCTTTCGCTCCGTTTTTTCCTTGCTACAATGGACGAAAAAAAAAACGATCAGCTGATTATTCTCCGTCTCTTTCTGTCGGGTTCTCATGTTTGTTCGCGGTTGCTTCTTTTAACACGCCCGACTTCTCTACCGACTAGAAGCTACCACATTCTTACTACATGCTTACCACAAAATCATCTTTACAGATCGGATGCATGTCTTTGACAAGACACAAATCAAGCCAGCTTTGCACCCGGGTCTGTGGACAACTTCTTTATTATTACACAATGGCAAGTACACAGGGTTAATGCGAGAGAGTGGTTGATCGAAAGCTAACATTTCCCCCCCTCCCTAGGGCTGGCGCCCTGGACGTGACATTCGCTTTCTTTTGTTTGTGATAGTTATGCAGAAGAATAACCTTGGTGCCATAATCAAGAAGGCACGACAGTATATCTTGCGAGGAATTATCGGAGCATTAAGGAGGTCGTGCCGCCGAGCGTGATGGGAAGCATCTGCTAACCAACAAACCAGAATAGGGCACTGGTGGCCAAGCCTCTCTTTCAAAAACTTGGGAAGCACGTCAACAATATGGAAAAACGCTACTCTGTTGCTATCAAGGTCTTACTCTTTGCTTGCTCCCCCTCACTTCCGCTCTGCAGTCAAATACACCGACGACGCTATCTTGAAAGTGCCCGCACCAACAGTGCCAATCTCATCTCCATCGCCTTGTCCGTTTTTCAATCTACTCCGCCAACGGTTATGCAGCAAATCAGCTCCATACGCAGACTTAGAGCGATTTCGACACTCCGTCCGCCGCATGTTTCCTCCCCCCTTTTGCAGGTTCATTCTATCAAGTTTGTGGACTGCATCTGCCCGCTACCTACCTTTCTGCGCAAAACAAGCCAGTACACCCGGGTTGAATCCCCTCATGACCGCAAGAGGGCCCCTCAAGGTCGCAAATATGGACACTGTTGTTCAGACCGATTGTCCATCTCGACGAAACACTGACCTGGATCCTTCCAAGTCGGTCTGACAAGGGGATGCGCGTGAATGACCTTCGCTTCGATCAGTGAGAGTGACTCTCGAGACAATGGTATAGAGATACTGCCTGCAGCATACGCTCAAGGGTGTTTGGATTGTACAGGGTCTATCTCTTCCAGAGTCAGCTGAAGAACTTGCACTATTAGACGACGTAACTTGTTGGGTCGGTTGGTAACGTGCATCGAAACAAGATTGTCAAGATTGGAAGTCGCTGCGACTCGTGAGGGGATCGAGCGTTTCATGACCACAGCAAGTAACTATTTCGATGGTCTCACTGGGCCTCTGCCGCATCTGAACACAACTGTGCATTTTCATAGTCTTATTGTTTGCTCTGTGTATTTCAGAGAGATTGAATGAGGCGTTGAACAAGATTCGGGGCACAAAGAAAGATCAGACCATCCCCGTGCCTGAATGTTTGTTACAGAAGCAGCTGTAGAAATGCATGGTGCTTTTACAGTCTAAAATTGCCACCACGGAGAGCAAATCGCAGCGACTCTCTCCGGACTTGCCTCAGATTGCGGAACTTATTGTGGGTTTCTATAGCTTTGTTATTGTGCAAGCGAGGAGGTGAGATCTTTGTCTTAAGGGCTTCTAGGATATCACAATTGCTCTCCTCTCAAGATGATAGGGAAAAGATGCCTTGTAAAAATGCACAGTAGTGTCCAGAATCGAGCCAGGTTCACTGAAGATCGTTCATATCAGACCCTGGCGGTCTCGATACCGGAAGAAAAAAGATTCGAGTGTCTAGATGGCTATATGATTGGCATATCTGCCAGCTTCTGCATAATCAAAGCATTGTCAACTACGGTTGAATATCCATCTTGGGCGCTTGAATTGCTCCAGCGACCCATCATCGCAGAGATTCCAGGTATCATGTTTGTCACAACTGATTCGGACTTTTCGATGTCGACCATGTCAGCAATGCCATCAATGCCACCCACCCCTTTTCCAAGACCTCTACCAGACCCAAGACACGGCAGAGTCTTGCAGACGAACTTCTTCTGGGAGACTGGTCAGTATCAGAATGTATACGAGAACGGCACCCCATCACAGCTATCAGCCCCCTACCACAGTACTCACGCCCTACCTTGCCGACGTTCGCCTACCAATCTCCTACTTTCCAACAACCTGGTCCGTAACGCTCGTTTACTGCGATAAGTAACACATATCTATTGTCCAGTACTATGGCGCTAATACACAGGACAGGCACGAGACAAGCATTCCCGACCTCGTAAGCCTACAACTCGCTACTCGGAAGATTCGAAGCTGCCCAGGATGAGCAGTAGTCGCGCAAGAGATCACGCCTTAATGAGCCTTAAAGCTGTTGCCATAGACAGTACATTCAGTGGATACAACTGGTTATCCTGGTTCGCTTCCCACTTTCGCACATTCATCTTTGTCTACTCATTGCCACTGTTGTTTTGTTGCTTCAGTCTTTTCCATATTAATGTAAATGCGTTTCTTCTAGCATTCATAGTTGTAGTACAGATGTTCCCATAATGGTCTCTCTACTCGTCGACCCCTGGTTTCTTGGTTTGGAAAGTGTTGTCTTTTCCACTTTATTTCGAACATAGACAACATCTGGTCAAACAAAGAAGATGATGACAATGAGAATCGCATCTGCAAAGGAAAGAACATGTCTCTGTTTGTGTCAAGGTTCAAGGAAATTGACTTTCGAACCTCCCTCTGGCGTTCTCGTTTTGTCTTTGCTAGGGTTTTTCGTCGCAAATGTATTCTCTACCTCTTAGTCAACATGACTCCTCTGTTGGCTATATCAAACTGAAGCAAGAGTGTGAAACAATCTGATGATCCCCATCGCACATCCCGCAGCAACACCACCGACAAACATCATCTGAACACCTCCAACCACACCCTGCCACACCCTTCCCCTCCATCCAACGACAAAGGCTGTCTTTGCGTACCCAAAAGCGAACAAGCAACTCAACATGACACCAAACGACCAATATAAAGCCGACACCACTTCACCCCTAGGAACAAAGAAATAAGGGATCAAAGGAACAAGCCCACCGATGAGGTATCCAAGAGCAATGGTAATGGCACAGGTGATTGCTCGCGAGCTAGCTGGCTCTGGTTGCATGTGTTCGAAACGCATGAGGAAGTCGAGTAGATGTGGTGATTTGGTAAGATGAGATCTGAGTTCGTTCACGAGGTATTCCGGCAACTCGAAGGACTCAAGGATAGTTGAGACAGAGCTTGCAGCAGCGGAGGGAGTTTCTTCGACTCGCGCGCGGGTGGAAGACAAAGTTGCTCGATAAGATTCNNTCTGCGATAGACATCAGCCTGTACAAGAGTATGAAGAGGAAAGGACTCACTCTTCACTCTTCGCACCCATGTAGCCTCCGAGTCCCATGGAGATGGAGCCGGCGATCAACTCAGCGACACCACCGAGAATCACCACTCTTGAGTCTCCCAGTGCAGATAATCCCCTAGGTGCCATGATGAGTCAGTTTCATGGACTGTTTACGAGTAGACAAAAGCATTCATACGCTGTCAAGGCAAAAGGCACAGTCATCCCATCAGACAGACCAATGATGGCATCCGAGATAACTCGAGCGTCAATCATGGTCTTGCGCTCGGGTTGTTCAGTGTCGAGTAGACTGTTGCCTTGTGTCGAAGCAAGCGACTCGACATCCGAAGATGTTCTTACTTGTGCATATGGCTTTTCAGAAAAGGCATCCGGAGATGATAAGAGGTTCTTGACCCATGTCAAAGACATGCTTGATGGAGGCAGGTGAAGGATGACTTCTAGGAAGGTTGCTTGGAAGAAAGCTTGCGAAGGCTCTGTCTGGCTTTGCTGGCTAACAGGAACCAGCACTCGTTCTTGTAGAGATAGTGCGGTGTTCTTGATTGTTCACGCGGACAAACATTCCTTTTGATTTCTTTGTGTTTGTGTAGAGCCATCTTGATCAGGATGTATTGTTTCTCCACGGCCATTCCAACTCGTTGAGGTTTGCGCAGCTTCATGGAAGCAGTCGCTGACCTATCAGACCATCAACGTGCCACCACGCTCTGGTATATCCTTCGACAAGCATGCGGCATGTCCGAAACTTTTTGACGATCATCAAGGTAGACACATGCAGGGTCTGAGCTTGTTCAAAGGCTTGCCGAACTTGCCGTTCAGGCACGGGTCTCGGCACATGGGGCGCTTAAGGGACTGGCCTATCGTTCGCGAGTTTATTTCCCACCTTCCGGAACAGTCGTGTCGCCGCTGAAGATGTTGCCCCACCTCAGGGCTGCTTATAGGACTTACATGGGGGTGCGGTATACAGGGCAACATTGTCAACACGTTCGTGCTGCTCTCACGTCTCACTACTGGTCCACAAGATTTTGCCCTGCCAATACTTCCGTGTTCACCGCTACCTTTCGTGTCTAGACAGTGTCTGCTCTTGTGGACCAATATGCTCAACGATCTGCAACTCCACTCAACACGGCAGGGAGAGCTCATGTCCGCAAGGCTCAGTTCGTGATGGCGACCAGACTGACACACGTGGGAAATTTCTGGAAGGCAGTCTGCTGTGCATGCCACGGAGCTTGTAGTATAAGATGAATGTCAAAGATGCTTCGACAATGGCTTCAACTAAAAACTGACTCAAATCTTCAAACACACTGCAATGAAGCCAACTACAGTATTGGTCGTTGCCTCTTCCCTTACGGGCCTTGCCTCTGCATTACCCTATATGGGTCCTGGTCCATTGAAAATGAGACAGCAGATGACCTCCGATAACTCAACATGGACTGATCTGAGAGGAAAGGTCAGCATTTCTATTGAGCAAGAAGCTTGGCTTATGGAAGCTGACGTCCTACAGATCAAGCACGTCGTGTATCTCATGATGGAGAACCACAGCTTCGACAACATCGCGGGCTATTGGGACTTCAATGATATCGATAATCTCCGTAACATCACCTACTGCAACCAATACACCAACCCAAACTGTATTTTGATCATGCTGACGTAAGAGTGAACATTGGACTCACTAGTCGTATANGGGACCGTATGGAATGAACCCATTGACATCTGCGCCGGCCCCTACGAAGACGAAGTACCCCTCAAGGACCCCGACCACAATTTCGCCGGCACCTCGTACGAAATCTACCGCACCTGGTACCCTTCCAAGAACGACACACCCAACATGGGAGGCTTCATTGAGCGCCAATCGGAGAAGTACAGCGAAACTCCTGGAGATGCTTCCTTTGTCATCAAAGCCTACTCTCAAGAGAAGTCTCACGTCCTTGCGACGCTGGCACAAAACTATGGTTTCTGGGATTCGTACCATGCCGAGCATCCCGGTCCTACCAACCCCAACAGACAATTTGCAACCTCCGGCTCGACGTGTGGTATGGTGGACAACACTGACCAGGCTTCTGGTTGGTTCGCCAATGTCACTGGAACTACCTGTGCCAAGTCAATCTTTGAGTCCTTGTCCGATAAGAATATCACCTGGAAGAACTACTATGAGACTGATATCATCGATGCCTGGATGTACAAGTGGGTCCAAGACAACGCAATGGATAACCTTGTTCACGCCGATCAGTTCTATACCGATCTCGAGGAGGGCACTCTACCTGAGTTCTCGTACATCAATCCTGAGTGCTGTACTATTGACTCCATGCACCCATCGAGCAACATGGCAGCCGGTGAGCAGCTCATCAAGCATCTGTACGACGCTGTGAGAAAGTCTCAGTACTGGAACGACACGTCAGTGATCACCTCACCTTCCAAGACCAACAACTTATTGAACATCGAACAGNNATTGATCATCATCAACTTTGACGAACACGGTGGTTTCGCCGACCACGTCGGTCCACCAGTCGATATCCCAGCTCCTGAGGATGGCATGACTTTCAGCGGCAAGAGCGACGCCCACAACGTGACTTACGACTTTACTCGCCTCGGAGTCCGGTAAGCACCGCCCTTTCCACCCCATCACACATGCCTCTCACTGACACCTCCACAGNNTGTCCCAGCCTTCGTCATCTCCNNCCCCTGGATAGCCCCAAACACACTCATCCATGACCAAGGCACCGCGTATGCAAGCAACTCGGCCTACACCCACACCTCCTTCCTGCACTTCCTTCAAAACCTGTGGGAGTTGGAAGGGCTCAACAACCGTGTGCAATGGGCAAAGACGTTCGAGTATGTCTTCCAGAATGAGATGAGGACTGATACGCTCGAAGAATTGCCTACTCCGGTGTGGATTGGTGGGGCTGGGCAGACCGAGCCCGAGGCNTTTTACAAACTTAACCAGCCTTATAGCTATTATGCCGAGCTGGAGGACTGAGTGATGCGAGATTTGAGAGGTCGAGACTATGTTCAGAAAGACGGTTTCGATGAGCTGTGCTACTCACGCTCGTTTATGGTTATGACATAGATGAAAACCTTGAGGAAACAATGCATTCTCCCAACTTGACCGCGTGACAGTGCGGTACAGGCGGTTTCAACTAGCGAGAGTCAAGATCTCTTGTGCTTTGTTCTGGCAAGAATCGAGCTCTCACTCCATATAGACCAAGAGCGCAGTTGTCTTTGAAGCTTCCATGTATATTGCCAACCAAGCCGACCCAGCTTTTTCTTCAGGAGACCCCTTGCTCTTTCAATCGTGACAGGACATGGCCGGGCACCCCGCAATACCTGAGCTCTTATGAAAAAGACAATCACCTCGACAGTCGAAGACCTCATGTCGTGGAGGCGCAAATGCGCAGGATCGGGCGTGGTTCAAGGCGCTCTTTGCTGGTCGTCGATGTCGGGCGAGCCCCTTGGCCCTTGGTGGGTTGTGGTTCACTTGGCGAACGTACCGCCTAGTCAATTACAAGTCAGCTCCAGAGGAAGTCTCGTTTTCACTCGAAAGGATCCCCTGCAACCACAATGGTTACGACGTGTTCGAGGACGAAGTGATTGGGTCGGTTCAGAGGCAGAATCGCTCTGAAATCGCCAAGCCCCAGTGCCCCACGCTTTCGCATCCCACCAAATGGAAGCTTCTCTTCCTTCTGGAATCTGGAGTGTTCTTGACTCCTGTTCGCTCTTCATGTCCGCAAGATGTTCTTGTGACTTTCGCAGTCTGGCATGAATCTTGGAGTCTCGTCTTGTATCGTCCGAGTTCTGACTAGAACTCTAGCCAGGGGTTTGCGCCGCGGAATAAAACGTCCACCGGTGCTAAGACATGTTGGCCGGACGAATCATTGTTAAGTCCGCCGATGATCTAATGCGAGGCGGAGCTTGAGGGTTAGCTACAGCTGTTACCTCCGGACCTTGATGGTATAAATGTCAGAAGCTTCCCCTGCTGGCTGACCCAGGAACTTCTGTCACCACATCTCTGCCAATCCTCCAAAAAGATACATCATCATGTCTTTCTTCGAACCCGCTCCTGAGCCAGCCACCGAGCTCGGCAGACTGCGCATCCTGTCGTCGACTGCTGGTGTCCGTGTTTCCCCTCTGCAACTCGGTGCCATGTCGATTGGAGATGCTTGGTCCAGCTTCATGGGCAGCATGGACAAGAAGCAATCTTTTGAGCTTCTTGATGCCTTTGTTGCAGCTGGAGGTAACTTTATCGATACTGCCAACAACTACCAGAACGAACAGTCTGAGCAATGGCTCGGCGAGTGGATGCAAGAGCGTGGAAACCGTGACCAGATGGTCATTGCCACAAAGTTTACTGTATGTTGAGACACTCTTCTGTTTCTGGCGAACCATCCTGACTCGTCCCGTCTANNGACCGACTACAAGGGATACGCTCTGGGCAAGGGCAAGGCAGCCAACCATTGCGGCAACCACAAGCGCAGTCTGTTTATGAGCGTGCGCGACTCGCTCAAGAAGCTCCAAACCGACTTTATGGACGTCCTCTACCTGCACTGGTGGGACCACACCACCTCGATTGAAGAGATCATGGACAGCCTACACATCCTCGTCGAGCAAGGAAAGGTCATGTACCTCGGCATCAGCGACTCGCCTGCCTGGGTCGTCTCGGCCGCAAATTACTACGCCAAAGCCCACGGCAAGACTCCCTTCTCCATCTACCAGGGCCGCTGGAACATTATGCTCCGCGACTTTGAGCGTGAGATTATTCCTATGGCAAGGCATTTTGGAATGGCCTTAGCACCATGGGATGTCCTCGGTGGTGGTAAGTTCCAATCAAAGGCCGCCATCGAGGAGCGCAAGAAGAAGAACGAAGGCCTGCGCAACATGATGGGAAACAGCGAACAAACCGAAGACGAAGTCAAGATCAGCGCTGCCCTCGAAGAAGTCGCCAACGAACACAACGTCACCGTTACCGCTGTCGCTCTCGCCTACGTCATGTCCAAGACCACCAATGTCTTCCCTCTTGTCGGAGGCCGCAAGGTCGAGCACCTCCACGACAACATCAAGGCTTTGACCATCAAGTTATCTGATGCGCAGATCAAGAAGTTGGAGGATGTTAGGTCTTTCGATATTGGCTTCCCTAACAACTTTATTGGAGAGAATCCTGCCATCTCTGGTCAGGGCAACTTCTTGCTTGCTGCTTCTGCTTCCATTGCGTGGCAGAAGTTGGCCAAGCCTATCGGCCACGAGTAGGTGGTGAAAAGTAAACAATATCTTTAATGAAAGCACGACGACTTCTTTTCAGCACAAAACCCCTTATTTAAGCTTCGTGAATATCGTGGTTGTAAGGCAACTCCTAACTACCCTCGAGACTTTTACCATGCCTCGAACCTCGTGTATCCAATTCGAGTTGAGAGCAGTTTCCGATTGAGCACCCACTCGTGTACCCTACAGATCATGTATCAACTGATGTTTCAGGAACGACTTTGCAGATGTGCCAAAATGCAAGACAGGGTTGGATCCATCGCAACCAAACCGGTTCAAAACAGTCAATACCACCCAAACTCCAAGCCTTTCGAAGATGACTATATTTTGCACAAATTCTAGAGCTGACTAAAGCGCATTCGAGTGCTAATCAGATTCACAGTTTTTATTCCCACAAGAAAGGAAATACCTTGCTTTGCTGCCAAAACGATGTGGCGTGTTTCGAATCGCAAATGCTCAATTTCCCCCAGCCGGAAACCGCGGTCCCCGTGGCTTTTCCTTCCAGAGACCATCACAAACCTTCTCCTTTACCTTATAAGGTGACCTTTCTTCAAAGATGATTTTTGCAGTGATTGAGTTTGTTTTTGGACTCGCTGGTATTGCTGTTCTGTCGGTATTGTGTTTACATCATGGCCGACACATCTTCACACAGGTATGTTTCTGCCCGATCATCTCTTTGCAATTCTGAAGTGTGGTTTCTGACGAAGAGATAGCATTGGTCAGGACGGATTGAGTAAACCAGTTCGTGATGAACGTAGCCCTTTGGTCTCTGTGGCCGACACTCCAGAGCAACATGAAGACCACCGGGTCGACGCCAGCGGCGAACGGGAATTTGGTGGTGCGGTGGGAGTAAGTTGTATGATGATCGGCTTCCCTCTTCTCATGTACTACATGTGGATTGGCGCGACTTTCTACTCTGGACACTTGCCTTCGCGCTCTCCTGAACAATCTTGGAGTGCTTTCTTCCATCATCTCTGGACTCTGTGCTATGAGCACGCTTTCCCTCATGCCAAAGCCTGGACCATCTACTGGACTTTTCTGATATTCGAGGGAGCTTGTTATCTGTATATGCCTGGTGTCTATGGCAAAGGCAAAAGATTGCCGAGCTTGAACGGCAAGCAATTGGAATACTATTGCTCTGCTGTGTGGAGTTGGTACACGACCATCATTCTTGCGATCATCCTCCACGTCTCTGGTCTCTTCCCCCTGTACACAATCATTGATGAGTTTGGCTCCATCATGAGTGTAGCCATCATTTTCGGTTTCTTGGTCTCCATCATTGCATATTGGTCTGCTTTGGCTAGAGGAGCCCAACACCGTATGACAGGCTCCCCCATCTATGACTTCTTCATGGGTGCAGAGTTGAATCCCAGACTATTCACCTGGTTGGACTTTAAGATGTTCTTCGAGGTCAGGATTCCTTGGTATATTCTCTTCTTGACTACACTTGGTGCTTGCGCGAGACAATACGAAAACTATGGCTATGTGTCTGGGGAGGCTTGGTTCTTGCTGATGGCGCATTTCTTGTATGCGAATGCGTGTTCCAAAGGCGAGGAGTTGATCATCACAAGTTGGTAAGTTATCCTTTCCTTAGACCTACGGATACGAAGTTTTAAGACGCTAATGAGATGTCTTTCTCACAGGGACATGTATTTTGAGAAATGGGGCTTCATGCTCATCTTCTGGAACCTCGCTGGCGTACCTTTATCCTACTGTCACTGCACTTTATATATCGCTAACCACGACCCATCCGAGTACCACTGGAACCCTTATCTCTTGACTCTGCTATTTGTTACTTATCTCTTTGTGTACTGGATCTGGGATACCGCCAATTCACAAAAGAACATGTTCAGAGCGCAAGAAAGAGGCGTTGCACTGAACAGAAAAACGTTCCCGCAGTTGCCCTGGAAAGCAGTCGAAAATCCTGTGAGCATCAAGACGAGGACAGGTGATTCAATCCTGTGTGACGGGTGGTGTAAGCATTCTCTTCTGCCTCTTTCCTCCTTGCAGTCAGACTAACACTCAGCAGATGGCAAAGCTCGCAAGATCCATTACACCTGCGATCTCTTNTTTGCTCTTTCGTGGGGCGCCATTACGGGTTTCAATTCGCCGTTCCCTTGGTTCTACCCCGTCTTCTTTGCTTGCATGATTGTGCACAGAGCAATCAGAGATATACAAAAGTGCAGGGCAAAGTATGGGGATGCATGGTCGGAATATGAGAAGAGGGTTCCTTGGCTGTTCATCCCGTACGTCGTTTGAGTCGTCGCATGCAGCATAGATGATGAGAACGACGGGAGATGATAAAGTAGACATGGAAGTGCTCTTGCTGAAACTTGTAAGCAAGGCAGTCTCAGAGAACACGTAGCATCGCTAGATAGCTGGCCGCTTGTAAACATGTTTGTAATTAATTATTCCGTGTCCGAAAGCGGGGATCCTTGACAGCTGACTTGGAACCACAGTGTCGGGAACTGGAGCGGTAGACACCCGACCGCTTTTTTTCCCTACTCGTACATTCAACATTCTCTCTCACACTTATTCACTCTCACACTTGTTCAGTGACGCTTTTCATTCCATCCAGCGCTCCACTCATCATGTCAGACTCAGTAAATAATCCACAAATCGTCCTACGGGAAGCCAGGGACGCAATGATGGACTTCTACATTCTTCTCGGTCGAATGCCTCATATGAAGCCAGAGTGTTTGCGGGTCCCTCCTGCGCAAGGCTGGTCTGGCAGTTATGCTGAAGATATGAAGAAACAAGGCTGGTCAGATGAAGCTGCAGAATTCACTCGCCATCTCCCTTTCTTGGCGCCTGGATTGTATGGTGCCGAACATGCTTGGATTGTGAGTTTGGCGATTTCGTTGCGGGTTCCCGACATTGAGTTGTCTGTTTCAAAAGAGAATCTGCCACCTTTTGCTCCACCTCGCAAACATCTTTGTCTAAGACGAAGTCACTGACATTGATGTCTCCAGACCTCGAGTTCGACCGCAGTGCCTTTCAATCAACCAATAAATGACTTTTATCTCTCACGCACTTCAGACGCAGATCAACCAAAGCCGCCCTATCTACCACCCCACGTCATCTACATAGGTCAAGGCTACAACGCAGCAACGCACTACCTCTTACTAGACACACAGCTGGGGAACATCACTAGCTACCCCAACTACGGCGGCGACTTCCCACCGCCAAACTTGACCTTTGAGGAATACGAAGCCCTTGGGCCAGAGCAGAAATGGAAAGCTCATCCCACTTTGCCAGTCAAGGCGTTTTTCGAAAAAGAGGCTGTTCGTTTGAGGTGTTTGGTGTACATGCCTATGCCTTGCCGTGGCAGAGACCCCAGTTTTCACTTTCGCGCTGAATGGCCTGTGGAGGAAGAAGCATTGCTTGCAGTCGAAGATGAATTCGATGCTGATCATGAAGTCGATGACGACTACCTGGAAAACCAAAACGACAATGAGCAGGATGCAATGGACTTGGAAGACTTGAGATTAAGCGATGACGAGGGCATGGAGGAAGACGCGGCGGAAGACGAAATCCCCGCCGACGAGATGGAATGGCTGCGCCACGATGCAGAGAAAGCCGAGTATCAGCCCGCTCCGCCTCTGAAGAGGCCAGAACTCAAGCCATTGCCAGAAAAGACACAGGTAAACATCCAATCATGGCCTCCGTTGTCATTCGCTGACGCACAATACAGAAAGTCTATGAAGTGTACAAGCGAAATGGATGGCCACACGATCATTTCACTGTCGAAAAGTGTCGAACAGAGCTTACAGCGCTGCAAGACGAATGGGACAGAGCGCAAAAGGCAGAATCAGACGCAAAAAGTCAGAAGAAGAAAGAGGACTTCATGAAGAGATTGACCCCAGAGCAACTCAAGATGATCGAGGAAAGGAAGAGATTGGCCGAACAGCAGAGCTAGGAGAATAAATAGATTGTCTCCAAATACACAGCGGCGAACAAGTACTGGACCATCCATCACGAAATGACTGACACTCATGATCATGTAGGAATCAAGATTGAACATCAGCAAGCGATTAGCTGCTCACAGCCACACAATATCCAACTCCAGCCTGGAACTCTTTGCTACAATTGGCACCATCAGACCCAAGAACAGGGTTCCAGGTGTAGAGTTGCGCCGTAGTGATACCTGCAAATCTGTTAGCTGCAGTCAAACAAGAGTGGAGAGGGAAATCTACCATTATTCTGTGCAAACTCATAGCAATAGTCTCCACTCTTCGCTTCCACAACTTTGATGCAATTAGAAGCCAAACCACTCTGAGTGGGTATAGGCGTGGAAGTTGGTTTCGTGGCTGTCGGAGTCTTTGACGTTGTTTTCGAGGTGGTTGATGTCGACGAGACGCCCACCTGTTTTGTAAAAGTCAACAATCTGGAATCCTACAGCTTACTTGACAGTTGCTTACACAATAATCAACACCAGCCTGGAATTGAGCGGAGCAATCGACGCCGTTTGGTCCTAGGATTTGGTTCCATGCATACAGTTCGTCAGTCGTGATGTTATGCTCTTGAGCGAAAATATAGCAGTAGTCTCCTGCCACTGCTTCGGCGAACTTGTTGCATGACGATGTGATGCCGCTTTGGGTTGGGTATGGTAGTGATGTCACCGCTTTGGTGCTTGTTGTCTGGCTGGAAGTGGATGTAGTGGTAGTACTTGATCCATTCACTTGGACACCTGATTGTGCCGTTAGCGACTCATCGATCCGATCGTTGAGGACAACGTACAATAGTCATAGCCACTCCAGAACTTGATCGTGCAGTTCGACCCGTCAGGGTATCCCAAGACTGGATTCCACGATGTAAACTCCTTCATCGTGATGCCAAAGTCGACTGTAAAGTCATAGCAAGTGTCGTCTGCGCCAGATTATCGTTAGCGCATGCCTTGAGACAGTTGCCTGGGTAAACGTACTCGTAGAAGCGTAAGCGAATAGTGTGCAATTCGAGTTGATGCCATCCTGTGTCGGAGCTTGTGACGTGCTGTTCACAGTAGGGCCTGCGGCGCCAAGAGGGCCATCAGGATTGGCTCCACTACCTTGACCACCACGTTGCTGGCCGGCTGCCGTAGTATCGCCGCCGATTGGTGCTGGCAAATCATAGGTACCTCCTGGTGGTCTAGTAGACTTATGTCAGCCATGGTGAGCACTGCACAAGATCGATCATGTTCACCCTGTGCAAATGTATTGTTCTTCAGTCAGCAAATCGCAGAGGCCTTGGATATTCGGATTCCATGACAGAAGTAGAGCATCGGTGACATTGAGCGTGCTTGTTAATAGGCCGGCCGCCAGCGAATCACTGGCCCATTAGTTTCGAACCTCACGTACATCGACTGGACACTTACCAAGATGCATTACTTTCGACCTGAGACAAAGTACATTTGTTCGGCACGCAGATACTGCCGGAAAAGGTACACGTGGTCGAGCCAGTGATCTGCTGAAGATCTCCAGTGGTAATCCCATAAGTGGTTGACAAAGTGTCACAAGAGCCACTGCCGGATGACAGCGTCTGTCCCATGCATGTGGAGGAGACTGGTGTCTCACTAGGAGATGTGCTACCTGGCAAAGTGAAGTTCGGCGTAACGCCAACAGAATAGCCTGGAGGACTAATTCGAAGGAGAGTATCTGAGACTGTGACGTTACAGATGTCCTGAATGTCTTGGAACTGGTCAACAAGATAGTCCGAATAGTCGCTATCCGGTAAGAACGGTGAGTTGATTCTCCACCAGAATACACTCAAATAGCACGGATCGCAAAGCTGCAGACATGTGAGCGTGATGGCCGATAGAGAGATCTGGCGATATACGCACAAAGGTGTTGTTGTAGTAATTGGCCTGGATGCAAGTCAGTTAAGAGATGACCAAGCATATCCGGCGTACTCACGATCCTCATGCCCTCTGTAGGGTCAGCACACAGGGAATTGTCCGGGTCGAGGTTGCAATCTGGAATGTCTACGCCCACCTATAACCCAAATCAGCCAGATGATACACAAGAGCATTCGGCAAGCATCTAACCCAGCTTTGCGACTGGTTGAAACAGAAGTTTGGCGAAGGAGAATAGTTGTACTCGTACGTGCCCTACGCGGATAGCACGATAGATCAGCTTGATGGCAATGCGGCTTTCTCAATGGTTCAGACTTGACCTACGTTCGTGTCAGTGCCCGGATCACCAGCTACTGCGGTTGTAGTGGCGAAAGCCGCAATTGACGTGGACTGGGCAATTGGCGAGGATGTGTCAGTATCGTTTCCTGGTAGATCTGGTGGTATGGTCGATGTGATGGTAATTTGTCTGTGCGAGGCATCAGCATCTAGATGTCTGGAACTGATCAAGGAGTGGTAAACGTACTGATCTGTCAGACATGCTAGGCCTAAGCCGTCTGTATAGCGAATAGCCACGGTATCAATCGGGACGAGGTTTGTGTCAATGTAGATTGTATCCGTGGGATCACAACTGTCGTAGACATCATTGATCCACGTCGTGGCAGAACTCATACCTGGAAGCATGTTAGCATTCTATGTACAGAAAGTAAGCGAATCAGCATAACGTACAATCCGCCGTGCACAATGTAGTGATGTTCTCGTTCTCCCAGAAGTAAAGATCGATCTGACCCGCCATACGAAAAGTCGTCGGGTCGCAACCAACTGTAGCATTCCTTCGAGATGTAAGTTCAAGTATCGAGAGGCGGATCGATTGACCCACAGAGCGGTGACACATGTTTCCGAGACATTCAGAGCATTTGCCATGAACACAGTGTCTACCAGAGGCCACAGATTGAATGTCTGTGCCATGGTCAATGATGGCAGTGCCGCTTGCCACAGCCAAAGCGATTTCATCGTGTCTAAGCTGGACTTGAGTCAATGGGTTGCAAGGAATGAGGGTGTAAGTCGCTGATGAAGGAGGCTCGCTATCGCCACAATAATCTGCACATGTTGTGATCTACGTCAAGCGGCAGTCAAGCATGCCTCTTGCATCAGTATGTCTAAGGCCTATCACCGTGCCCATAGTGACTGCTCGTGATTCTTAGGATCAGGCTATCTGGTCATGAGACGTCACAGGGGTGCTCTGCAAAGACCGAAGGATCAAGGCGCATCCATGGAGATTACTTCGTATGTGCACATAGTTTTGGCTTGCAGTCTTCACCGGTACGGGATACATTGAAGCCGTTTCGTGATTGGCTTGAATGAGGGCAGACGGCACGATCCTTCCTTGCGACCCGGTAAAGCTTGATCGAGCCAAGGCGGCAAGCTTACTACACATAAGCCTTCATTGCTTATGTATATTAAACCACAGCGCGACTTGTTTCAGTGTGACAGGGTTCGCTCACGACCTGCGTCGTCTCATGACATTTCCGACTGATATTCATGCAGTAAGCGATGCGACGTTAATTGCGCGGCAGCACCATATTCCCAAATCGACGTGGAGAATGAACGCCGGTGAGGCCTGATTGATTAACAAAGGCAAAGAACGACAATCTACCGCAAGCCGAGCATATCTAGTCTTTGAATATAGGGTCAGCTGCTATGATTGAAGGATCCCAGCCCTAGCCTCATCTCAACATAGACCTATCAGGACAGGCGCTTCTCGTTAAGAATCCATCCTGCAGGACCCCAGCTTGCATTGCTTTAGCCTTTCACTCGGAGTAATGTACACGGATTCACGCGATATCCTGCATGACATGTCACAAGGAGTTGGTAATCAGCGATGCTGGAAGGTTCAGAAGAAATTGGGAAGTACGCAGGAACCCGTCTTCAGTCACCTTGAAGTCGCCAGCTCTTTCCGCACTTTTAATGTGCCCCAGAGACCCTTTCGCGAATTCCATCGTCTTGTAGTAACCTTTGTCGTCTGCCAACGCTGATGCTTTGACTCAAGATGCATTTTCCACTGCTGTTGGGTCTTGTGAGTGCCGCTCTGGCACTCCCACGAGAGCCCCCAAACCTGAACCAGTCTCCCAATTCTGAAGCTGGACTCCGTACACTCCAGAGACGAGACTTGCCGATCGGCACTTGCAGCCCTTCGACCCCATGCCCGAACGGAGCGTGCTGTAAGTAAGATGTCTACCATGATTGATTGATCTAACAACGTCAAGGTGGAAGTAACGGCCTGTGTGGTTACTCACCTCTTGAATGTGGCACTGGCTGTGCGTCCAACTGCGACGCAAAAGCCGCATGCGGGCAGTATGGCACACCAGGTTCTCAGATCTGTCCTTTAAATGTCTGCTGTTCGAAGTTCGGGTGAGTCTCAGATCCCAGCTCCACTACTCGGAGAAGAAAGCTTGATATTCAACTTCTGACGCATCGAAGCTTCTGCGGCTCGACAGACGACTTCTGTGGTGATGGCTGTCAAGAAGGATTCGGTGGTTGCGGTCCGCCACCTACACCGCCATGTGGAGGATCGCAGGTTGGGAAGCGTAATATCGGCTACTACGAATCTTGGGCCAATACCCGTCAATGCCAACCGGTATGTTCAGACCTGGAATGACACTGAGAATAAGCTAATATCAGGATCACAGGTCAGCCCCGAGGATTTGAACTTGGCAGGCTTCTCCCATCTCAATTTTGCTTTTGCTTCTTTCGACCCGAACTCGTTCCAAATAACACCCATGGACGGAAATTCAGCTTCGCTTTACGGACGCACCACCGGCTTGAAGAATAAGTGGCCTGGCTTGGAGGTTTGGATCTCTGTTGGCGGCTGGTCTTTCACCGATCCAGGACCAACGCAAGAGGCATTCTCAAACATGGTTAGTACTAGTGTACAGCTTTCTCCGATGGCATGAGCTGACCAGTATAAACACAGGTAAGCACTTCAAGCAGTCGCCAGGCTTTTATCAATGGCCTCATTCAATTCATGAACACGTACAACTTCGATGGCGTCGACTTAGACTGGGAGTATCCTCAAGCCGATGATAGAGGCGGTCAGGAAGGTGATAAGGTAAACTATGTGACCTTTGCTAAGGAGCTGCGAAGCGCACTCGGAAACAGGGGGATCAGCTTGACCCTGCCGACCAGTTTTTGGTATCTGCAACATATCGATGTCAAAGGTCTGCAGGACTCGGTCGATTGGTTCAACTTCATGGCATATGATTGTGAGTGAAAGCCAGGAGCTAAGCTAGATAAAGATTGCGCGGACAACGGCTAACCTATTGATCTGCAGTGCATGGAACTTGGGACAAAGAATCCAAGTTTGTCGGACCCTACATTGCTCCACATACAAATCTTACCGAGATTGACTTGGGCCTTGATCTTCTTTGGCGTGCAGGGGTCTCGGCAGACAAAGTTGTTCTGGGTCAAGGATGGGTAAGTATACAACGACTGTTGCACTGGAGCCCGCACTTACTCGAGCTTTTAGTACGGTCGTTCATTCACCCTCACTGATCCTTCTTGCAATACTCCCAATGGTACGTCCCTCTCGCGAACGCCTTTCGTCCCACATGGAATCTAAAGTCTCGATTAGGTGTTTGCGAGTTCAGCGGAGGTGCCAATCCAGGACCTTGCTCCGCTACATCCGGCATCCTGGACGACCAGGAAATTCAGGACATTATCACAAAGAACAACTTACAGCCCGTATGGGACAAGACTGCAGGGGTCAAGTGGATCACCTGGGATAGCAACCAGTGGATTTCCTACGATGATGACGATACATTCAACCAAAAACGTGTAAGTGCTCACATGATCACCATGATACGGTGTCTGATCTCTGCTGCAGGAATTTGCCGAGAAGCGCTGTCTGGGCGGTCTCATGGTCTGGGCACTAGATCAGAAGGATCAGAGCAGCAGTGGGAATTTGAACAATGGCGTCTCCGCCGCTGATCAGTCAAATGCTCAGTCTCTCTCGCGCGATGCCGCCGCGAAGGCAGCCTGCTATGTCACCGATTGCAACCAGAAATGCAAAAGCGGCACCAACCAGGTCGCACAAATGAACGGGCAGCCAGGTCAGGTCTCAACGCGGTAAGGTGTTGATTGAGAGGTGAAGGTAGATGCATTACTGATAGGCCTGCAGTGACCGATGTCCAGCGAAGCAGTACCGCAGCTTGTGCTGTGCCGATGGTACTACCACGGGCAAATGTACATGGCGAGGGTTCCGAGGATCCAGCATGTCATGTATACAAGGGTGCTCAGATGGTGTGTGGTTCCAAACATCGAGCCTGGCGTACACAAAATTGCTGACAATATCCAGGCGAGACCGAACTCACTACTGACGTAAGCGGTATCGCTTTCAGAATAGCTCATAGCAGTTTATGCTAACTCCAGCAATGCAGACCAACAACCACGTCGGTAAGAAGGATCAGACTTGCAACGGAGGTCTCCAATCCTTCTGTTGCTCAAACTTCAAAGCTCCACCTTCATTGCAAAGTCTCGGCAAAGATGCAGCGGACGCTGCGAAAAGTGCGGCAGAAGCTGCAGCGCAGCAGCTTGCACTTGATGTGGCTGCAAAGGCATTCTGCCGCGTGGCGGTCCCTGCGCTTCTCGCACCTCTCGAGCTTCTTGAAGATCTCATCCCAATCTTCGGTATGATCCATGTTCCAGGAATGTGAAATTTCTGTGCTGACATTTATCCTTACAGGCGAAATTGCAGACCTCGCTGAGATAGCAGCCACGCCCGCACTGATAAAGCTATGCACGGACGAGCTTGAGAAGACCGGGAAAGCAGAATTCAAAGTCTTCGGCAAGAAGCATAGCCTCACCCTAGGTTTGTATTGATGTAACGTTGTTGTAGAATGTCACTGACAGGCACTCAGACGAGCCTCCACCAGTAACTAGCAGACTCTAATCATCAAAAACTCCATACTGACATGATCCTTATAGAAAGTTCCCGAGACAAGACCGCCCAAGTCGAGCCACGAGCCCGAACAGACGAGCTCGGCATGCAACAGTAAACGAGCGGATGGCGGCAGATGCATGCGCGCCATGACATCAACAGAGACGAATCAACCCGTCAGAACAGAGCGTATGCAATAAACACAAAGCTATAGCAAAAAGATCATCTGACAGAGAATTCTAGACCCCCATAACCCTCGCGGTCCCAAAGTCTGTGACGTTGGCGTGTATGGACAGGCTTGTCTTCACTACGCAAGCGTCATCGAAACACATGCAGCGTTTACTCCGGGTGTACATCCTCTGACTTGCGCCACGAGATATAACAACAATCCACCACACATCACTCAAAAATGGACGGACCAGCATAACCCAGGGTGGTGAGTGACCGTGCTGTGGACTATGAACGCTTTATGCTGATACATGCGAATCGATAGGTGGCAAGGCTATATCCAGAAGGCAGGTCAGAATTGTCAAAAGACGAATATCCACCAGCAGTCTTCTGGTGGGATCGCGACGACGACGACGTGATGATTCGCCTGATTCCTGGAACGCAGAACACCGGCGCTGGTAGCAGTCTGTTTGGTAACCAGGCTTTCGTCTGTGGCTACGGTAACAAGGATGGTCTGCCGCCCAGGTCGACGAGAAATCTGAGGTCCGACCGTGAATTCATCGTTGCCAATAGAAAGACCGTTGTCGAGACTCTGGACCTTACAGTCACCTTGAGTACTCTGGCACTTAGCTTCATCGGTACGGGGGCATATCCGGACTATGGAGTGACTGAGAATCCCTGCTGGCCCAAGACAGTCGTGGATGATCCGGGGTTCGCAATGCGAGCAGGTAAGATCTGCGACTAGATGGTTCCCAGTGTATGGAACAGATGCTAATCGATCTCTTGTGCCAAACAGATGACCCTTGGTATATTAGTGAGTACCTTTATCTCTTTTTGATCGCGACAATTGTGGCTGATACGAGGGCGCACAATTAGTCAATCCACAGTACACCACGTCGAGAGGTCTCTACTCCAAGCTCCCACCTGTAGCTGCAACTCAAGGCAAATATCGAGCTGGCTATCAGAAGCGTGACACAGACATCGTCTCACAGTACGGACGTGCTGCCTCTAGCCAAGGTGTCCCGAGCGGCGCGAAACCCTTCCGTCCAGAGAGTATTCTGCTCGACGACGGCAACAGCACTCGCCGCGCAACTGAGAACGATCTTGCAGAACATTTCAATCTGCGGAGATGCACTACTGCCGACTGCCGCGAGGAACTTGCACAGCACGACGTGGAAGCCGTACTACTTGATCCCAGCTTCGGCATACTAGGAGCCGGTTCTGCAACCAGCAGCAGCACCACGACTGCATATGTTGATGCTTGGGACAGTGGAAGTATTGTTACAGCAGTAGGAGAGACGACCGCTGTTTCCACACCAGCTGCAGCCAGTGAGAATGCGGCACATCTGACACTTTTGCTTCCAGCACCGACCGCAACATAATCAACGCAGTGGAGGGAAGTGTCTTTGGTGTTCGTCCTGGGGGTGGTATGTATGGAGAAGGATGAAGTTATCGTCGCATATAAACAGCGATGATGATGAGTAGAGAACTCAGAAGTAGTGACGGTAGTTGTTTGTCGTGATGGATACAACTCCATCATTAATACTGATGTACGAATCTACATTCGTTTTACCCTTTGGAGCAGCTGCATAAGCGAACACTCATAAATCGTACTTTTCTATTTCCACTGTCGAGTTGTTGTCCAACGCCTCTTTGATCGCACTGCAAACAACCAGAGTCGCCAATCCCGCCTGGGCCGAGCAGCTAGGTTTTTCCGCACCATGAACGACGTTAATAAAATGTTGCAGTTGGAGGTCAAATGGAACACCTTCAGCCACAGCAACAGTATCTTTGACCATCTCCGAATGCCACGACTTTGCGGTGCCTCGAAATGACCATATTGTCATGTCAGGCACACTGAGAGAAGCTTCTGAGCCAAACACACGGTAGAAGTCCATTCCAGACTGCGGTATCAGAGGGTTCTCGCCCGTACCGGCTTCAAAGTTGTAGGGCGATGGAGAGTTGTCGGATAGGATGAATGTGCCCACGACGCCGGATGTGAATCGCAGAGTCAATGCTGCACCCTCTTCAGCGTCAAATGTACGCCTCGAGATTGTTTTTTCGGCGTGCACGCGCGCGATAGGGCCGAACATGTGGTGTAGCAGGTCAATCTCGTGGACAAGATTGATCAACACCACACCACCTGTTTCACCACGCCGCCACTCGCCAGGAGCGTCAAAATATTCTAGCGGCTTGAAAGTAGTCCATAAACCATTGATAGCGACGATATCGCCTAGAGCCCCTGAAGCAATGATGTCTTTGGCAGTGACCATGTAAGGATTGAACCGGCGATGATGGCCAACCAAAGACCTTACACCTGAAGCCTCGAGGTGTGCCAGGAGTTCTTTGCCGCTCTGGATATCGGAGCTGAAAGGCTTCTCGATGAGTACATGAACACCTGCACTTGAGAGTTCTTTGGCAATGGCAACGTGTGTGTGGGTTGGCGTGCAAATGATAGCTGCTTCGGGTTTATGGACAGACGCAAGCATTTCCGAGATCGTTTCGAAGTGGTGAACATCTAGTTCTGTGGCTAGTGCTGCTCCGTGGGCAAGAGGATCGCAGATGGCCACCAGTGATGCACTGCTCGACTTTACAACGCTTTGAGCATGGCGAGGTCCGATTAGTCCAACTCCGATTATGGCAAATGTGATTGGATCCGCCAAAGGAGAGGCCATTGTTCGGATTGAAGATCTGGTAGACCAGAGATAGTTAATGAGGAGGAAAGAGTAGTGTACCGAGTATCAAGAGCTCCTGTGAACGAGACTAGTACAGCACGCATATACCTTCACGTTTCTAACGTAGAAGCTGCCACTCGCGCCAAGTGCTACTCGGAATAAGTCATTGCCGAACGCTCTTGCCGGTTTTCGGCCCGGGGCACCCCGCATGCGAAAACGAAGTTTGGCGTTCCAGAAACTCTGATCGCGTTGAGGTTAGTTCCACCGCATAAGTCCATTTACGTGGTACCAACCCTCTGAACGTTCACGATACCGAGCGCAAGCAGGCTGAGTAGGGGTATCTCGTGAGAATGGTTTAAAGCGGCTGGTGTGGCCTTTCGGCGTATCACAAAGATCCATTATGCAGATATCCCATGCGCAAAAGAACCAGAGAAAGGGCGCCAAATGTGGTCGATGTGATCACGTAAGGAACAGTGATCGGTTGACGATGGTCGACCAAATGTTGAACTCCAAGATGATTTGTATTGCTTATGGTCTGGGGCACATCTGCGATGTTCGTGAGAGATTCTCAGCGGGCCGAGATGATGGTGTGCTATGGGAAGACTCCCAAAGTGTGCGATCCATTGAGTCGAGGACGAGATCCGACGCCATGATTGGCTTGCAACAATCCGTCGAGTTCTGATCTATAGGGTTTGATGGTGAGACCGTAGATGCAATGTTTCTTTGTTCCGCGATGATCGACAGGTATGCCTTAGGCGTAAGACCCACCACGCGTTTGAAGCTCCGATGGAAATGGAACTTTGTCAAGCCGGCAAGCATAGCCATATCTTCCAGTGTAGGTAATGGCTGCTCAAGATTCAAGTTCTGTAGATATTGGCAGACTGCATCGATCTTGTCGCTTTCCGGAGAGTGCATGGGCAGCTCGGGTCTACAACGCTTGCAAGATCTATAACCAGCGCCTTCAGCCTCGAGGGACGTGGCATAGAACTCGACATTGGCTCTGCGGGCGAGCCGGGCTTTGCAGATGGGTCGACAGTAGATGCCTGTGGTGCGAACGCAATAGACAAAGGCACCGTCAGCTGTAGGTTCGCGAGTTATCAGAGCCTGCCAGCGAGAGGTAGACGTCTTGAACTCTTGCATAGCTAGGAGAAGTCTTAGCTACTGCGATGTTCGACTGTCTTGTTTGATCCTAGTCCGTTGATTGATGAGAGGGCTGGTTGAGATTCCTGGCTCAGCAGGACCCTGCCGAATTTTGTGGACAGATGTAAACTCCCGACGACCTGCGAAGTCTATATATTGTGGACATGCTGTATGTTTGATTCAGGAGCAATCGATGTCTGGCAAGTCGTGTTTACATCCGTCGTTGACAGCCGGGGGATCAAGGGGTCTGATTGGTCACATCCAGAGCAATTCCCCGCCACTCAAAAACTCGCTTCGTCAGCATCCTGTGACAGTCCCAGAACAGCAACGTCTTTCGTACCTTCAGGCTGTCCATGATTTACAACTTCTCGTGGACGTTGGAGTGCCGGAAGAGGATTCCGTGAGTTGACATCTAGTCGTATCTATCGACATAATAAGAGCAGTAGAGCCATTACGCTGCTATATTGGCTCCCTCCGTAAGAGGACAGTTCCATAATCACTCCAGACTTGCTGCCGAAAGGGTTCGAGAGTTTTGCCATAATGGCCAGACCAACTACATTGCGGTCGCATTCAAGTCCGCATCAACAAGAATCCACACCCCAAGGTCCCTTGAACCAAACTCCATCCCTAATCACCAAATGTCCTTCATCGCTGAACTCCACACCTTCCTCCTTCAACAAATCAAGTTTCTTGCTCTGATTAATCCCACTGGGAGCCTTTTTCCAATCTCCCATGAATCCACCGACAAATCCATTAGCTGCAATCACGCGATGGCAAGGTACACGCGGTGCAAAAGGATTATTTCGTAGTGCTCCTCCGATGGCGCGGGGAGATGTGTTTAGCTGTGCTGCGAGGATTGCGTAGGAGGTTACTGTGCCGGCAGGTATACAGAGGAGATGAGTATAGACGCGCTGATGTTGGATTCAGTATGAGAATCCAAAGTGAAGTTGGGAAAGATGGAGGGTCGCGCACTTTTTGGAATGCTGTAATTGAGGTCGAAGATAGCAAGGTGTCGATATCGGAATCCGGGGCATTCGTGGGTGCAAAGTATTTGCTGACGTGGGAGTCGGTTTGGATCATGTTTGATGCTGTTAGTTGGGGGAAAGATGGACAGGAGTTGACATCGGGTTCGATGTTCGAGATGTCAGATATATCATGTGAGAGTGGCTGGAAACAATGATGAGTCGAATTAGAGTTGAGCTCGGATAGAGTCGAACATGATTGGTGAGTTCGGAAGCAACGCAGGTACCGCACAGACATTGGATCAAACTATACCTTTGCAGAGATACTTCTGGCGTGAAACATATGCCACTCAGGTTTCTAGGCAGCTCTGTGAAGAACGAACCAATGTGTAGGAGGACGTCATACCAATAAGACGATAATGACTTTAAGCCCTTGAATGGCGAGATAGACAGTTCCAAACGCGAAATGGCTAGTCTTCAACATTAGCCGTCTGCCTCCACCAAAACTCACACTCTTTGCTCGCCCATGTGTCCTCGACAAGTTGAGCAACAGTGCCTACATGTCCACCACCAGCTCTTTCATCGTTGCCAGCGCCAAACAACATAGTCTTTTGCTCACCACCCCACACCTTCCAGACCGGTCTTCTCCATCTCCCTTCCACCGCGTTTGGGTCCCCTGTCAACACAAAACTGACAATGTAATCGTGAAACAGGCCTGCGGTATTTCGTTGCGTGTCTGAGATGCCAGTGACCGAAGGATCGAACGTTTCATACCACATTTGATCGCCGTGGTTTGCGCCTCCAAGTACTGTGCGATTGGTCGCCCAGTGATAGATATACACAGGCGGGTTCTCTGCCGAGGATGCGTGGACAGCGGTCTGCCGCACCGGGCACACGTATGCATAATGTCCATACGCAGCTTCCAGGCGTTTGTACTGCGCCCCCACATCCAAAGCCCTGGTCTCCGTATACGGCGAATCAGGAAACAAAGCAGGGTCAGGATATAGCGCATCTATCTCGTCCAAATCTGTTTCTGACAATTGCGGCAGCAGCGTCGACCAGAAGGAGCGGAAATCTGTTGATGTAGCGAGGCTTTTGGGGACGTACATGGTTCCTTCGTTGTGGTTGAAGCCGGTGAGGATGGGGACTTTGTTCCAGTTGTTGGAGATCCAGGCGTCTAGGGGTCTTCTGGGGATGAGTTGGCCATCGATGACAGGTTGCCATGCCCACCTCACTGAAGGGTTCCAGTGCGCAAACACGGTGTTGGAGGCTGAGACGATAGAAGCTTCGGAGACGTTGCGCAGACAGGGGAGGACTGAAGAGCTTGGGATATCGTTGCACCCAGTCTCTTTGAGCAGATGTTCGAATTGGGTCTCGTGAAGTGCTGAGTTGTAGGGGTGCAGTGCGCGAGAGGTTGGACCTCCCGATTCAATGACGGCTTTGTGGAAAAGAGGTTCTGGTGTTTTGATGTTCATGATGTGATGTCCAATNNCTACAGTCATGTCATCAGTCCGATACCTTGGGCAGCAGAGAAGGAAATAAGCACTTACCGAGTGCGCACCAGCACTCAATCCGACCAACGTCACATCCCCAGCATCACCACCAAACGCACCGATATTGTCTCTGACCCACTCAAGCAACACCACCTGATCCCATAATCCAAGATTGAGCAATCCCTCATTGTACGTTAATTCCGAATTTAGAAACCCGAGCGCGCCAATCCGATAGTTGAAGCTCACAGCCACGAGAGGCTGGGAAGCCCACCCTACCATACTAGCCGTGTTGTGCATCTTCGCAGTGCCACGATTGAAAGCTCCTCCATGGACGTACACCATAACAGGCACCTTCTCGCTCTTGGGCATATTGGCAGGTCGAAGAACATTCGCGGTCAAGCAATCTTCAGACCACACGTCTGGACCACCGCCTGGAGGNNGGAGAAGCTGTTTGCCAGGACATCTTGGACCGAACATATTGGCCAAGAAGCTCTCATTGCTGGGAGCCACAAGCTGCGGTCTCGCGAAACGGAGAGATCCAATTGGAGACTGAGCATACGGAACTCCCAGCCAGGCCTCCACAGAAACAGGAAAGTCTTCTTTGATAACGATGCCAGTAAGTGAAGCCTGTGAGATGGTAACAACGGGTAGCCTGGCAGTGTCGAAGCCAAGGATTCGTTGAACAGAGCCTAAGACTTGTTGCTGAACAGAAGCAAAGTTTGCTACTGCAAGTACCAGAGGTACGATTAAAGCAAAGGCAAAATGCCGTGATGGATTTGTATGAGACATGGCGAGTGTTATTCTGAACAGATGAATGGAGGTCGCAGGGTGTAACGAAGAAAGGGGTCTTTTTGTTGATTTTAGCAGATAGCTAGCACGACATCGGAGCTTACTCTCTGACCATGAACGTGGGTCAGTGGCAGAGCGGGCAACTCGGCTATGCTTTGAGATATTTTGCCAGTGGTCAAGTGCAGATAGAGGAGGATAGGGAGGGGTGATAGGTACTTCGATACTTTGTTATCGATAGGGCAGACGGCCTATCGCGGAGAAGCCTTCGGCCAGCGAAAAAGCAAAGTACGGCGGAGAGAAGGCCTGCTTGTCGATATAGATAAGATCTTCGGTTGAATCAAGGAAGACGCAAAGACTGACTCGAGAAAATACTGACTTCGATGAGATGATTGTCTCTTGAGGCTGAAGCACAAATCGTCGGAGTCAGTCTGCTGAACGCTGTCCATAGACCTTGAAACCGTTGTAGAAGTCAGACAAGCATCAAACACAGAGTCAAGGCATCGATACTCCCTCAATCGAAGTTTCTTGATAGGCCTGAGGAGTATATAAGTTATGCTCTAGCCCTAGTCTGTACAGAAAGAGGGGAAAGATAGCTTATCTCCTGACCACCACGTTCTCTTGGCGACGAAGGTATACAAAAGTCCACCGAGCAGATCTACACAGCTCAGTCCGTTCTCTCTCATGCCTCCAGTGTCTCTCGCAATCAGGCCGACTATGTCTTTCCCCACTCAAGAGGAAAAAATGTCGAAACAACCTCCTCGTGTCGACGACATGTCCATCAGGGAGAAATCTCTAGCCGCCCCAGAGGCCACAGAAATGGACCTCAAAGCCGGTGAAGTCATTGGAGACCTCGATGCAGCTGAGATCTTCCTCCGCGACAACAACCTATCCCACGCCTACTTGCACGAACTGCTTCAAGACGAGGCCGCTTGCAANAAGCTGGTCCGCAAGGTCAACTGGACGCTCATGCCACTCCTCTGTGGAACCTACATGCTCCAATACATCGACAAACAAGCATTGAGTTATGGTGCTGTGTTTGATCTGTTCACCTCCACAGGAACGACGTCGGCTGAGTATGGCTGGTTGACGAGTATATTTTACTTTGGGTATTTGCTCTCAGAATGGCCGAGTAGTTATCTGGCGCAACATTTCCCTACTGGAAAGGTGTTGAGTTGTTTTGTCGTCACATGGGGATCGGTCTTGATGTTGACGGCGGCGTGTTCGAACTTTACGGGTCTCGCTATTTGCAGATTTATTCTTGGCTGCCTCGAGGCTCCTATCGTGAGTGGTGTTGTGGTTCGCCGTTGTCCGGTTTGCTGACTTGCTGAACAGACGCCTTGCTTTATGCTGATCGTCGGCATGTGGTTCACACGAAAAGAACAACCCGCTCGTGCTGGCATTTTCTACTGCTTCAACGGGGTTGGCAGTATGGTCGGAGGCATCCTTTTCTATGGTGTCGGTCAACTGAACGGCTTCCCAGTCTGNGAGTATTTGGATCTTCTCTCGATCAAAATGCGAGCACGAAGCTAACGACTCTCAGGGGTCATCTTCTTGCTCTGTGGAGGCTTGACCATCATCTGGGGCATTGTTCTGTTCTTCCTCCTTCCCAGTAACATCATGACGGCCAAGTTCTTTTCGACAGAAGAAAAAGCGCTTCTCATCGCACGCAGCCAGACGAACCGAACTGGTGTATACAATAAGAAGATCAAGTTCTCACAGGTGAAAGAGGCGTTGCTAGATCCCCAGATCTGGATACTGTTCCTGTTCGTCCTGTGCAATGAAGGCATCAACGGAGGTATGGGATGACGTCCTTGTCTCTGCGAGCAGATGCTGACTTTGACAGGTTTCGCGAACTTCGGCAAGTTAATTGTTAAAGGCATTGCTCACGGCGATGCACTCAAGACAACGGCATATGGCATTCCCTCGGGAGCGTTTCAAGTCTTNTTTGTCTTTACTGGACCATTCTTGGCATCCAAGTTCAAGAACATTCAAACGTATATCATGGCGCTGTATCTCCTACCGACCATAATTGGAACGAGTCTTGTCTGGAAGCTGCCAAGAGACAACTCGAATGGTCTGCTAGTATCTTACTACTTGGTATGTGCGTAGGGTCAATGTTTGGTATGCAAAACTGACAATGACATANNGATCGGATCCTTTGTCGCATCTCTCGTCCTGGCGCTGCAGATGCCTGCCAACAATGTAGCGGGATATACCAAGAGAGTGACGTCGACAGCATTTGTGTTCCTAGCATATTGTATCGGCAACATTTGCGGACCTCATGCGTTCCTGGCATCGGAGGCACCTGTGTACCAAACAGGATGTCAATTCATCATCGCATGCGCAGCCATCCAGGTAGTGCTTGTGTTTGCGTTGCGTGCGCTGCTGATCCACCGCAACAAGAAGAGAGATGCAGAGTTTGGACCGGTGTCTGAGATTGACACGAGCGAGGAGGCGATTGAGGATTTGACAGACTTTGAGAACCCTCGATTCAGATATTCGTATTGAGGTTAGACTGATAGCAATTCTGAATTATCAAACAGCACGTTTCTCAGCCTTCTTGATGTCCTTGCGCAGCTTGCGGATTTCCATGTCAATGCGACGAAGAGCTTGTGCCGAATTGACAGCATCTATGACAGGGTCGTTGATGGCAGACAGAAAGGACTTTTGAGACGAGCGCAAAGAAGGAGGAACCAAGATGCCGTACCAGTGAAGTGGGTCGCNGAGGTTTCTTTGGTGTTGCTTCTTTGTCGTCTGCTGTCTCAGACTTTTCTTCGTCGTTGTGTTTTTCGGCCTCTTTCTCTTCAGACTCCCGCAGTGGTGTTGGCGGTGGTGTAGGCTGTTGACTGGGTATATCTTCTTGCTTTTCTCCGGACTTTTCATCCGACTTGTCAGTCGAGTCTTTGTGCGAATCCTTGGNNTCGTTGATGTCGTCTTTCTGATTTTCAGAGCGAGACATGGTTTGTCTTTGGCATCGACGGAAGCATGAAAGCGAGTGTTTGCCTGCATGCGGTCGTCGTAGCACTCCTGGCCATAGCGAACACGAGTCGTCGACTTGAAAGTGGCCTGAGCGAGATTGAAGAAGCCCGAGGAGAAGTGACGGGCTATTTGTTGTTGGGCTTGGAGGTATGAGTCCAAGAGGGTAAGGTGTTTCTCCCACAACGTATCTAGTTGGTCACGAAGCTCATCCACACTGGGTTCAGACGAAACCTCTTCCTCGTGTGTCATTGTGATGAATTCAGGGGGTGTTGATGGTATACGGAGAGAAACAGGACGACGGCCAATGACGGAGGAGACGCTGCGAGATGGAAGCTCCAGAGTCTTGGCATTTGGAGATCCGATGACGGAACTGTAAAATGGTGTTTGACCTTGGTTCAGTCAATAACAAGATGGTCTTGATATCGCGGCCGCCGTCGTTGCTACGGCCACTGCGACTCAAGCAACTGCCGTATCAGTCGTCGTTGCGACTCTTCACTCAAAACCACCCGCTCCTTCTCATCACACGCACATCGTCACCGCGACCGCAACTTCCATATCTGTCGCAACCTTCGCGGACCGCCTTCGTCCCGAGACAAACAGCACGTTTCTTGACGACTGAGAACAAAAATTATGTCAAAGAGCAGGTCTGGCTGGCTGCCAAATGGTCCGCAGTAGGATGGTCCTTCTTCTTCCTCGGGGTCGTAGCTCTCTACGGCATCAACCAGGAAGTGCTGGAACGAAAGACGCCTTCCCCTGACGAGTGGTCTTTCTTCTCGCGCAACCATTTCCGATGCGCCAATGCTGCCGTAAAGCCTGATCACGAATACACCGACTGGGCTCAAGTCGCCACGGAGTTCAGAAGATGCCTGGAAAGACTTGAGGATTCCGATATCGATGGCAAGGGCACCGCCCCTCTCGCCCCTGGACTGGACGACATCCGCGGAATTAACCCATCGGCTTTCGACATTTCAGACAAGTCATATGCTTGGAAGGAGGGCTATTTCCAGGTCGTTATGCAGTGCGCCCGTGCTTCGGAACACATCGACAACATGGTCCTCGACACTTCTCGCAAGATCGTCTTCCCCAAGGATGTTGTTATTGGGCCTTCAAACCCCAATCCTCGTCCCTGTCCTCCTGGTGCCGAGTCTGCTCCGCGTGAGGAGGATTGCGAGAGGGCATATGCGCCACCAGAGACTTTCTACCTCAAGGTCTTGACTGGTCTTGGCTTTTCCAGTCGTCAGAGGATAGAAGCTGCTCTAGCGTACGCCAACTGGCTCGAGATCAAGGGTTTGACCGACTCGGCTGATGAGACATACAAATGGGCTGTCGACATTGCCGCTTCTGCTCTCCCTGCACAGGAGGCCGTCATCGACAAGGATACTTCTATCCTCCGTGTTCAGGAGGCAACCCCTCCCAGCCCCAACCTCCTCCGTGCTGCAACTGCTCTCGCCACGCATCGAGCTCGTTCTGGCAATGTCACCTCTGCGCTTCCCATCTTCTTGTCTGTCCTGCGTGCTCGCCACGCCTCTCCAATCGACATTGCTCCTGCCACCAGATCGAATTACACACCTTTCTACGTCTCTGACCCTACAAACACTGACATTGGCTCCTTCATCAACATTGTCAAGTCTCTCTTCACGCCTCCTACCTACCCCGCCGAACCTCCATCCGGCGATGAACCATTCCTGCGTCAACCAGCATCCACCCCTGACTGCGCCGAAGCCGAGCTCATGCTTTACATTGGTGAGATCCTTTTCGCGACCGCCTCCCCCGGTCGTGAAGACGAAGGTCTCGGCTGGACCAAGCAAGCAGTCGCCATTGCCGAACAAGGCTCATCCTCCAACGATGTCCTGCCTGAGAACCGCGACAAGTGTAAGGCATGTCTCGAGACTGGTATCGCCAATTGGGGCGCCATGGTCGCAAAGCTGTTGAGGGAGTCGCAATCGAAGCCCGTTACGTCCTCTCCATGGTCTAGCTGGTTTTCCAATAGCCAGCCCGAGAGTAAGGAGTCCAAATGGGAAGATGAATTGCGTGCAGTCGAGGAAACACGTATGAACCTTATTGCTCAAGGCATCAACTCAAAGCTCGCTGCTGCCCCTCAGCGCACTGGCACTTTTATTGGTTGAGATGCTTTGCAAGTTCATTGCGTCAACTAAAATAAAAACATCAACGCTGCGCGCCTGGGTTCGAATACCTCGAGTGCATCGATAACCAAGACTGCGCTCTCGTATATATGGAAGCGGCGCTCACGTACCTTCAATTCGCATGCCCACAGCAACAAGCCGGTACATGCGGATTGCTCAAAAAGCTCCCTGCGTCATGGAGAAGAGGAAACATTGACAGATATTCACTACAAAGTGTCAACGCTTTTGCGAATTCTGGCAAGCAGAGGTGGTTTCTTCGTGCCGGTCATCGCCGAGCAACCCTGGCACAGTCGGACTCCAGCATTTTGCTCATGTGTAAAAGTAACCCAGCATCCTTCAACTCTGCAAATCGATCGAGATAGTTTGCAAGAATGTAAATCAATCAACAATTCTGATCATACTTTACATGCTGTTCGTTTGTTTCCGATGTGCTTTGTTGTCGATCTGATCTCGTGCAAGATATATTCTTTGTCCAATGCGATAGCCAACTCTCACGGTGTTCCCTTTGTTTGGTTCCCCGCCCCTCCCTCGCAAACCGAGCTTGTTCTCGCATTCAACTGCCTTAAAGAGAGTTGGTATACACGACACCGTATGTGATGAACGGATCGTAACCGATTGGACCATACAGAAGGGGCAGGTTTTTGCAGGCGCAGAGTTCGTCTCGAAATGGCCGTTCCACGCCACGAAAATGTCAAAAGTACACTGTATGCATCTGCTGCACTTGTCTTTATTTGCGGAAGCACTCAGAGTAGCGCAGTGTAACAATAGAGTAAATGAGGTATTGGATACATCCAATGCTCTTTCTCTTCGCTCGAATCAGGCTTTATCTATACAACATCCCCAACCTCTTCATGACCCAAAATTTTCCAACATCGTACTCATACCGATACTGAAAACTGCTGTTACACACGACAAAACACTACTCCAAAAACCCTTGCAGTGCATCAGCACCCATCATCGCGACGCCCAAATGCCAAGGTATATTGCCATTGCCATTGCCATTCCCATTTCCCTGCCCACTCCCAACACCTCTCAGTTTCCCAAGCAACCCCAACCCCCGAAACCACACCATGGTCTCTTTGAGGACGGTCTCTGGCGCCCTCGGCCCCAACCAAGAAACCACTCCGTCGGGAATGCGCGGGGGCACCACATCCATAAGATCCACCGCTAGTGCCGGAAGATTGTGCAGAGCATCTGGAGTACCGCGTTTGAGCAACAATCCAGAAGCCAGAGGGCGAGAAAGGGTGGAGGATCTTGTACATGAGAACGGCATCAAGACACCCCAAGTCTCGTCTGTCGAGTCGATGAGAAAAGCATCTAGATCTGTGGCTTGCAGCTGCAATTCAGGATTAGGCGTTTCGCCTGCAGGGGTGGAAGGTTTGGTGTCCCCCGCTTCTGGGGATGTAAAAGTGGAAGCTTGGGGTGTAGGTGCCGGCGTCATGAAGCCTTGGACTCCAAACCCATTGTCATTGTTGTTGGCGCACACCTGTAATGCAGGACTCACATCTACATCCAGGAAGGCAATACTCCACTGTTCGGCAGGTTTCTCGCGCCAGATGCGTTTCTCCCAGTCGCGCATGATGCCGGCACGGGCAACAAATATGCGATGAGGCGAGTTGCGGCATAGACTGAGTGTCGTGTCGCGCACTTCAGTGAGGATGATTCTGCCGTCCGTGTTGCTGAGGCAGTAGGAAGCTTTGTGGTGGTGTGTACCTGTGTTGTTTGTCCATGCGGCAGTCAACCAGCTATTGTCTGCATTAACGGCGTACGCAACATGCAAGACCTGAGCTTCCTCCAGCAGATTCCGTGGCGTGCGTTCCGAGAGTGCAAAGTTGATCTTGCGGCTTGGAGGGGTGGCGAGGTGGATACTGGGTGACGTGTTTGCAGGCCAAAGAGAATTGTGGTTGGTGCTGTGATCTAGAGGAACTCTGTCGTAGATGAATGAGGCAAGTGAGTTTAGCCATGTCTGGTCCGGCACAATCATTGCAGTCGGACATGCAATACGGCTCATAGGCACAATCTGCAGAATCACCGGAGGTGGGTCCTCGCGATCCGAAGAGTAAGCTATAAGCATGGCTTGAAAGCAACCACACAGATATTTGACCATGGACTCGTCTTGAAAGGGATTGATCATGTAGATGACAATGTTGTCTTCGAGATCGGAATCGTGGAGCAAGTCGCCGAGCGCGTTGCAAGCCGTCTGCATGCTTTGCAACACATTAACAATCGATGCCTCGCCATGTGAGCGGTATGACATCAGCCCATCTTCATGTTCTCCAGTCTCACCACCGATATAGTGCTTGCCAAACTTGCGAGTCTCGTACACCAGACGGATGTCCTGGAGAAAGTCGGCGACAGCTTCGCCCATGACACCACTGTCGGGATATAGAGCAAATGCTGCGACATCCTTTGGTCCATTCGCAGGTTCCAGACCGAGAGTGTCCCAGAAGTTGATGGCAGTCGGTTGAAGTTCCCACTCTTGCCCTGCTCGACGGACATGGACAGCCGGTGCAGGTATCGTGATGACAGAGTTGATGCCACCAGGCCGCCGCGGCACAGGACGTTGCTGAGTTTTTCGCAGCAGCTGCAANNTGGCCTGTTCAGCATGATAAGCAGCCATTGCACCAACTCTGGCAAAGTCACAGTCTTGGGCCTTTTCGAACACTTGTCGCAGCGCATCTTGAGCAGTTGAGTAGACAGGGGAAGACACAGTCGGACTATCCAGAGAATCAAGCTTGAGGGTCTCAGCAANAGTACTCTGTTCAGCAACAAGCTGAGCTATATCAACAAGGTCGTCGGCGGTAAAGTCAAGGACAGGCCAGATGCTAAGATCTTGACTTGGCGGTAAAGATTTGCACGGTGTCCTCCAGGTGGAAAGATTGTCTGAGAACTTGTGCTGCTGCTCTGTAAAACGATTCTGCGACTCTCTCGCGGCAACCAGTTGATCGATAACAGGTCCAGGGTCAGCCATCGCTGTCGCGTCAGACATGACACTTTCCACATCGCTCTCAACAATTGATTCCGCAAGCAATCTTGGAGTTGGACCTTCATCCGCAGAACCTCGCTTCCTTTTCCTGATGTCAAGCGAACGAAGACTTCCTTCCATGGACGAAGTATTCTCCGAGTCTGAATCTTGACTGGTCTCAGACTCAGAATCTTGCTGCGACATGTCTTCAACCCGAGGCGTGAATTTGGCTTCGGCCACCGTGGCTCGCCTTCGGGAAAGTGGATTGAAGACGCGTGGTCTGAAAGGCTTTTCAGGAAGTGCGATGCTGTTAGATCTGCTCGTGGCGTCTTCCTTCTTGCTGAAACGGCTGTCGAATTTGCCAAGTGCTCTATATTTGGCGTCAAAATGGGAGAGGTCGCCTTTGAATACCACAGGCAGGAACGTGCTGTCACGTCGCAAGCTAGGTACTTTATTTTCTCCTTGGTCTTCTGGCAAAAGCTTCTCCTTGATCTTCAGCGGGCTCAAAGGTGGAGTAGAAACAGTCTCCTCGGTCGCATCTTCAATCTCGACATCTGGATCTTCTTCCTCAATGTCCTGATTCCTGGCAAGCTCCAGCGGCACATCCTCATCGGGCTCTATCACATCAGATAGTGGTTGAAGCACAACAGCTTCAATTTTTGGCGCAGCATCGGAGATTGCGTCTGTCGTTTCCTCGAGCGGCTCAGTGATCGAAGGCATATTATTAACACCTCCAGGATTGTCAAAGAAGTTGAAGTCAGCATCCGTCACACCAGGGTTCTCGAACATTTCTTCATCAGCGTCTCCAAACAGATCATCAGTGCTTCCTTTGCGGTAATGTTCGGTGTCGAGGTCGATATCCGAGGTATTACTATTCCTCCTCATATCCTGATCCTGGTCCTGAGCCTGGTCTTGGGTGTCTTCGAGTAATTCAGACAATGTTTCGATAGGGTTGTCAGAGACTATGACATTAGGTATAGACGGGTCCGAGCAGATGATCGGTGGTATAGCGTCAGGGGGTGTCGGATAGATGCCATTGACGCTAATCTGATCCTGCACGCTGCGAGAGTATATGGGTGATGTCACAGACAAATGATCGGGTATCACTTCGTCGGGTGGGTTATTAGCACCTGTCTCCTTGTCTTTTTCAGCCTGACGAGTCTTTTGTTCCTGGTTCAGACGCTCTTCCTGTCCGAGAAACCAAGCTTCAGCAGAGTCCAGAGGGTTTTGGTACGGGTCTCTCGAGTCGAACCAATGCATGCTGTCGGTCCGATCTAGGGAAGGTGGCGTTTGGCGCGAAGGTATCTCCAAGCACAAGGGACCAGGCCATAGACATTCGACCTGATCTTGAGAGGTGGATGAACGCACACTAACTCTCAACCAAGAATCGTCATGTGGTAGATTTGATTGGGCCAACTTTGTCGCGGCCAAGTTCTTCCAGTTGTCATGTTTTGCGCGACGACTGAGTCGCATACGCGCTTCTCTGCGAGATTGGTATGATGACGCGCCGTCGTGGTAGTCTGGAAGGTCCAGGGNGGATGCGACAATGGCAGGGGTGCCCGAGGGAGCGAGGATAATGTTGGCACCGTCAGTGTCGGAAGCAATGGATAAACCAGTGTTGTTTGCGTGCGGAAGGAGAGCAAGTGTGCCCTGGCTGGTCATTTGCGCGCGGAGAGACAGCAGTTGATGGTCGCCCTCGGTCGGAAGGAGCCACGTCAGATGGCCAACGCGGATCGCACCACATAGCTGCGACAGCGAAATAGACAGCGAAGCCTCGACGGCAGCAAGAAACATGCTGAAAATGTGTTGGTTCTGCATGACGACTTTGGGGTCGCTGTTGGCGCGTGTCAAGGCGGCGGCCTCGAGTCGCCCTCGCTGGTGCACNNTGCATGTGGCATATCAGCAACATTTTCTAATCACACAAAGTAGAGTCTCACCCTGCCATCCCAGCTCTTTCATGTATTCGTCTGCGGCCTGGAAGCCTCCAAAGACGCAGACCTTCTTCTGCTGCACGGCCGACTGCACCAGCACCCGCCGCTGCCGTAACCCCAGCAGAAGCTCATTCCGCTGTTCCTGGTCATCCCAATCGCTCTTCTGGCCTTGCGTCGCGTCTTGGTGGTTGTAAATCAGGTAGTCGATGGACGAGTATCCTTCNNCTTCGAGTCCAGTCAGCCCCTTGTTTCGCTGCCCCTGAGGTCAGGGGTCACTCACTACAGCTTGTAGATTGGTCCAGCACGACTTGAGAAAGTCCATGACATTGTCACCGCCAGCGACATGAGCTGTACCGAGAGACTGTGTAGAGAATCGAAGGTCACCAACCCGTCAAGGTCATGGATTATCTCCGCCAATCACCCGTTCATGTGCTCGGACCACCAACCCCCACATCGACACCTTGACCTCCAGCTGCTCTCGGTCTCGCCGGTCCGTCTGCATCTCGCATGTGCAATTTTGCATTAGCAAACAATAGCTACATTGACTGTCCTCCGAGTGTCCTTTTTCACATGATATCCTTCCCCTTTCCCGAGCCTTGACACCTTGATACCCTGCTCTTCTGTGACATGCGGTATGGCTATGCCTCGGCTGCAATTGCTCATCTTGGCAAATCGTCACATGCAACCAAATCTTGGTTCGTCAATCGTTGCCGACCACGCATCACCGTATTCCTCCAATCTCTCCTTTTGTGTTTTCTATCTCATCACTGTGTAGAGGGGAAAAACTCTCCAATGCCCAAATCAGCATCCATCAAATCCATGTGCAAGAAGTCCGTCAAAGGTCGATTCTGTCCAGCAAGACTGCACAAAAAGGCCGATAGCGCATCTTGGTCTTGTCCCACAGCAGCCAGATCAGCTTCGTAATTAGTCTCCGCAGATGCGAGCGACAAAGTGCCATCGCCACGACAATGCCAACCGCTGAGTGTACGTTGCGAAGTTATGAATGCAGCAGCGACTTTTGCGAATGCGGCGCAGACATCATGCAAACGCTTTGCTGCTGGAGACAGAAATTTGATGTGGTCGAGGGAGTGCACTGTTTCCTGTAGTAACTGCAACTCCTCGGTGTTTGATGTTGCGATGGCGTGAATAAAGACGACGGTAAAGGGTGTGAATGATGGATATAGCAAAANTCCTGATCTGATCAGTTCTGCGCGGCCGATGTTGAGCGATGTGAAGAATGCTTACCAATTTACATATTCTGCCTGTTGCGGCACCGAACGATCCCTGAACTGAGCAAAGCAGCGGAGATGGTTCTCGAGACCAAGTCGTGCAGCCTCATAGCATCGTGGACTAATCTCAGTAGTGCTGCTTGTAAGTGGTTGGGCACGATAGATGACTGTCAGTACCGAGTAGCAAACAAAGTCAGCGGAGTGTGCCATTCCTATTAGACGTTCGTGGTAATAGGCACCAGTAAAGTCAATCTGCATTACCATCAGTCTGTGTCTGCGAGTTGAGAATTTGATGCGACTTACTGAGAGAAGTTGATTTCGAAGTGCAATGACCTGTGACGATAGCTCGTCAACCACACGACTTCGTTGCTCGAGCGATGAGTTTATGGCCGAGGCAGAATATAGCTTGTCATACACCTGTCCTTGAAGTCTCGCAAACAGGATAGTATCAAGCGACATCAAGTCCCACGGTCTCTGTGCTGGATTTGTGGATGGTGTGTAGAACTCGGCATCTATATCAGAATCTGGGAAGTTTGTTCCTCGTCCCAGGTTCAGTGACAGGTTCTTGTCCAGCATGTACAGCTGCCAGAACAAATGTCGCTTGATGTCCGCAGATTCCCGATCTTCGTGAGCAAGCGACGATTTGCGGTGGAAGCCGAGTGTATGGCACATGGTTGCCGCAGCAGAGAGAAAGGTCCAGCTCAAGGATAGTTTACATTCCTCCTGTGCCTTGATTGCCTACACATCTGATCAGCGTTGATCATATTTGAGTGAACTATGTTTGCTTACTCCTAAAAGCAACGCTTGGATGTTGGGTATCACTGGCACCGTAAGAGTCTCGAATTTTTCGAGTCCGGCGCAAAAGCGCGTCTCGCAGAGGTCAATGATTGCCTGAGCATCATACTCGCGAAGCGCTGGATCTTGCTGGCTCCAATAATCGCGAATTACAAAATACAAGAAACCATAGAAGAAGGTCATCGAGCCTGGTGGGGGTGGTTCAAGGGGGAAGTAGACCTTCTGGCAAAGTGTCTCCAGTTGCGCTACTCCTCGGTATGAGAAAGCAACCAAAGATACAGAAGGCCGAGCTGTGAGCGTCATGTTAGCACGCGATGTTGTCGTCCCAATTGAGCAGGCTTACCTTTNTGCTATCTTGATCAAAGCGATTATAAGTGAGGCAGGTGGAAGCTCCTGCTGATCTACGGAGTCATACCTGACTCTTGTGCTAAGGTGTGTTTCGTGGGTCCGCGACAAAGCTTCATGTCGTTTCAGGCTGTCTTTCAACAGTGAGAGAGCGCTAGACAACTCGCTCGAGGGCGTTCCGGCAACTGCTGTTGCTGTAACATCGGCGACCTGACCTGCCTTTGCTGTTTGACAATTGAAGGATGATTCTCCCTCGTAGATGGAAATAGACTTGTTCGATGGAGTAGACGAGTCGATGACTTGACGCACGTTACTTTGAGCCTGGGGAGTTGAGACAACAGAACCCCTTGACAGCTGCTTGAGACTGGTCTCGATACCCTGCAGTCGTTCTTGGATCAGAGCAATTTGTCGCTCGTATTGACTGGTCACCACGATACGAGGCCTATGCTCAGCAGCTCGAGTGACAGCGGCTTGACAAGCTATACCCAGCGTCTGGCAACTCGCACAAGGGGTCTGCTTGTCACATTTGATCTTTCTCAGACGGCAATTCTCACACTGCGAAAGCCGTCAGTCTCAACTCACCCTTGTCGCGTTCTACAATGGACTGACGGCTTTCTGTAAGAATGAGCGTGGGGTCTCGGAACCAGACATTACAATTTGACGTGACTGTGTATCCTACACCATAATAATCTGTGATGGCAATACTAAAGGAAAACGAGTGTCCGAGAGACGGGAGACGCGTGTCCGCGACGAAAGTGGGTCTTGCCTTGGCATGTTTAGTCTGCCACCTCCTTTTCTCTATCACAATCCATCACATCAACTTTATGAGGGTCCTGCTACATTTCTATATTGTGTCATACAATCTTGCAGGTTCTGAGTCAGTTGTGATCCTACAAACAGGAAATATAATCTATATGCTGCACCGCTTGGTGAGGACATAAGAAACAATCCAGCAAAGATCTGCTATAAGACACCATGTTTGTACGACTCTCTGTGTCAATCGAACCTTTACAGCCCGATCACAGATCACTTGCTCATTCACACCGAGGTGTGTAGTGGCGCAAGTACTCTCAAGGGCACCCAACCCTGGAGTGCACGCCCACCACGCAAAAGCGCTCTGATTTCGCTCGGATGGACCCAAAAGAAGACCAGCATTGTACCCAGCATGAGGACAGCATCAAAGACATACAACGTCCACTCATGCTCAACAATATACCCACTGCTGCCTCCCTGGACATACTCAATCAACCGATAGAGCGAGCGAACCAAGATCATGATACTGCCAGCATACAACGCAAGAAGGTGTTTCTTCCAGGGCAAAGGCATACTCTTGACTTTCATTGTCGGATTGCTTGACATGCGACGATGGAAAACCACAGCCGACACCATAAAGAAGCCAAAGAACAGCAGTTGAAGTACCAATCCTCCGATAATGATTTTGTTTCCAGAGGACATGCCTTGAGCAAGCATACCACCACCAGCGCTCTGTGCGAGGAATGAAAGCACATCTCCCATGACGAAGATCTTGGTGAGCAATTTTCGCTTAATCAAAGAGCGAGATTCTCCTTCTGTAAGGTCGAGGATGCGGCCGAGTTCCATGTATATGCTTGCTGCGAAGAGGGTGGGTGCGAGGAGCAGGAAGAGAGATTGGAGGATATATGGCATCAAGGTGTAATCCGGGTCTTGGCTTGCAGACTTTGCTCGAGCGGCGTATCCGATTACTTCGACNNTGATGCTGAGGTTAGGCTTCAGGTCCGACGAATATGTATTATATGTGCACGTACAGAACCCGCCGATGACGAAGGGGATGAAGAACCAGGTCCGCGTGCGGAAGAGTTGCCAGGAGTGGAGGAGAGTGACGATGATGAAGACGAGGCAAGAGGTTGCAGCAGCTGCTTTAGACGGTACGTATTCGTAGTATGAGAAAGCCATGCTGATAAAATAGCTCTTAGGAGAGGTAGAGTGATCAAGCGTATCGAATTCGTTCAAAGTAGACAAGAAACCAAATGAGTGCTGAAGAAAAGTCGTCGAGAAGGAGACAAGATAGCAGAGCATATATGGCCATCGGCGTGTTCAAGGACACTGACACTTACTGGTGGCCCTATGTGTGGACGTCGTATTGCCGTGTTCTCAAGATAGAGCAGGATACCCAAGAGCTGCCTACCGAGATTGTGTTCCTTTGCGTATTGCGTATTCGATACGACGTATACAACGGGTGATGAAACACGACAGGCATCTTGAACACAACAGATTTCACCCATGAAATTACCATCCCGACGGACGCCGTTGGTGAAGCCCCTGGTCCAACCAGAATCGAGAGACCCTTCTAAGATTATCAGATCATCTCTACAATTGGTCCACCAAATCGATCGTGTTCGGAAATGGCGTGTAGCAAGATGGAGGGTTGGATGGTGGAGTCCTCGAAGGGGCTCGGCTGTTCCTCGGGTCGCGATTTCCAAGGATCTTCCGCCCTTCTCTCTCCTCGCCCTCGAGGATGAACATCAGAGTCGAATCAGTGGCACAATCAACAATACGAGTACCCCGAGCATCGAAATTGTGTCTTTCTAGACCATCGCGACATCGCACTTGGGTTACTCGACCATCGACAAACACAAACTCGCGACCGAGCCGGCCGTCGAGCAACACGTCGCACACGTCTAGAGCTTCACATCTTGCGCGCTCCGTTAATTGAGAGGCTTTATTCGTGCCACAGATGAGCGACCCCGATGCGTCAGGGGACGTGTGCTAGAAGCAGGAGGAGAAAGAGCAAGGTCATAAACATTGGCCCATCGGAAGCGAGGTGTACCTGCACCATGGACGCAGATTGACAAGGATCTGTCAAGCATATATTCTGTTTCCACATCTCCGATCCGCACTCTTGTAAAGCAAAATGGCATCATAAAGAGACTAAGAGGAAAACCTCGATGTCTTAGCAGGTTCGTACGGCTCAACATGCCGAGCAACCGTCCGGTTGTTGAACAGCAAGGAACATAAACCTGCGACAGTTACATGCCGGATGCGAGCGAGATCTGCAGGTAAGACTTCATAACGGTTCCAATGCTCTGGCCTTCGATGAAAGCAGGACCCTTTTCCTTGACCAAGTCCATTGTGGAATCTGTCAAGGCCAGGTAACCTGGGGGATGAACTCTGTTTCAGGGAATCGCTAGCCAGGTCCTGTTTGTGTTCGCTTCATGGACTGCGCTTCGTGCGGTGTTGCTGAGTGAGGCCTCGTCCTCTTCCTTCTCTCCGTATCAGGTTCACCAGAGTGGATGTCAGCACAAAGACCACAAATACACTGCTGCGCGACGTGAAGTACCTTGCATTGCGTTTGAGATGACACAAGTGGGAGGTGAACTACCTTTAAAGGGTAGGACGTTGTGTAGGGCTAAACGGTGATATATAGAAATCTGACGCCACAATCCAACGGTCTTCTAGAGCTCGACTTCGATTTGCTTCGCCAGTCAACCGAGCACCTAGCCAAGTGGTACAGTTCTACAACGATCTATACGAGGAACTGGTTCAAATGCCATGATAGCACGACCGGTAGCAGCGGCCTTGCACTATCAAATTCTTCGCTGAAACATTGGATCGTTCTGGTCAAGCCACACTCAGGCATGCTATATAAGTCAGCTTCGCCATGCAGCGCCATGTCAAAGAGCGACCGCCCTGAAATTCTACTACACCCAAGATGCGTCTTATCGACACTACGCTTCCGCTCTTGGCTGGCCTGTCCACGTTTGTGGGGGCCCAAAATGTCGACTTTGGCAAAGTCTATTCAGTCAAGCCACAACTCAAGTCAGCAAGTAACACTGCATCCTCGACTTCGACGGTGAAGACCTCCTCTGTCGCTTCCTCCATTGTCTCGGTGTTGAGCTCTCAGCATGCGGCAACCATGGCCGTCTCGGCCTCAACAGCCTCGACGGTCTCATCTTCGACAAAATCGTCAAGCTCCGCAAAGACAAGCAGCATTTCCAAGTCTTCAGCCACACCGTCTTCGAAGCAATCGTCGAAGAGTACACAGAGTGCTTCGAGCAAGTCGTCAAGCAAGTCCTCTTCCTCGAGCAAGCTGCCTACGACGTTAAGCACTAAGAAGGCAACATCATCGACCAAGCAATCCACTTCCTCGAGCTTGAAGACCTCGTCAGCTGCTGCTCCTGTCAGTAATCTATGCCCTGCCATCAACAACAAGGACATTACCGATTCCCGGGGCAAGGTCTACACTATCAAGTGTGATTCGGACACCAATGTCGGAGCTTTCACAAACAAGGCAGCCACCAACTCCTATGCTGACTGCATGACCGCTTGCGATACTACCTCGGGATGTGTGGCGTTCTCGTACGTCGGCGGCGATCTTGGAAGTGGAAGTGGCACGTGTTGGATGAAGAACTCTGCTGGAAGCGCCATTGCCGCTGGCAAGAACTACGTTGCAGGGTTCTTGAAGTCGACCACAACCTCATCATCTCCCGCCAAGATCAGCACTTCGACCAGGAAGGTCACATCGACCTCCGTCAAAGCATCGACGTCTACCTCGACCAAGAAGACTAGCTCGACAAAGGTCAAGCGTGCTACTGCGACGACATGCAGCAACCCCAACAATATCATGTACTCATACGTCTCCAACCCAGACACGCCCACACAGTTCCTGGTCGACACAACTCTAGCCGGCTTGGCTGCTGCTCAGTGGTATCCTCCTGCTGGATACAGCACCAGCTTCACCAGCCAATTGGCGGGCCTCTTTGCACCGAACTACCTTGAATTCCAACAACTATCTTCTTACAGTCCTAGTGCGTGTGCCGCTTACTGTAATGCTCGCTCTGATTGTAATGCTTTCAACATTTATATTCAGCGCACTCCTACGTTTATTCCTGACAACTCTTGCCCCAATCCCAGCGGCGCTGCTCAAATCACCTGTGCGCTCTATGGCAGTTACGTGAGCTCAACTCAAGCCACCAACATTGGGCAGTACCGCAAGGACTTCATGGTCGTCATTCAAGGATCCAATGGATACAACCTCAACCCTGCCCCGGCATCGATCTCGACTTTCCAGGGTCCTAATGCTCTCGATGCGGTTGCTTACAGCTCCAACATTTATCTTGGCCAAAAGTACTTCTCTAGTTACGATGTGACTCAATGCAGTTCTTTGTGCAACACATACACAGCCAACAGTAAGGCCAATGCACAAAGCAGCAAGTCCTCGACCTACACTCCTTGCAACTACTTCAACGTCTTCAATCTCACCCTGAATGGACAACCCCAGCTGATGGGTTGCTACCTCTTCAGCACGTCTGATGCGGCAAACTACGATATCTACAAAACAGCAAAGGACTCCAGCAGTGGTACCGTCTACAATCTCACCAACTCATACGGCTATGCGCTATACCCTCAGGATAAGGGTTTGACCAGTGTCACCTGGACTGCTGCGCCAACTGGTAAAAACGCCACCTGCTCATCGCTTGGAAATGCTGGTGATTCTTACGTGGACTACAACGGCGTCACCTACACTCTTGGGTGTGGATATGATGTTCAGTATGCTGCTGATATCGGCAACCAGACCACTTCTGACTTTTACTCTTGCTTCGCTATTTGTGACAGTGGCGCTTATCCCGGCTGCTCTGGTTTTGCCTACCTCGGCAACACTTGTTACTTCAAGAACTTGGCCGGTACTTCTCGTACACCACAGTTGAACAACTACAATGTTGACATGGCTTGGCTGCCTTCGTACGCTGGCTTCAATGCTTACACCGTCCCTGGAACCGTCAGCTACACCACTAGCACTGCTGTTTGGGCCGGTCCTGGAAGCACCACTGTCACCACCATCAACGGTCTTGCTGGCACCGTCCTCGTCAAGACCTCAGGCCAGGTCCCAACGGCAACAACTACCACCTATGTCACAGTCACAGCCGATCAAGGCACCGCAAGCACCATTGCAACACAGACCATTGCGCCTACCAAAGGCTTCACCGGCACTGTTTCAATCATTTACCCGACTGCAGTCACCACCTGTGGTAACAAAGGTGCCGCAGTCGGTTTCTACAATAACCCAGTCCCCGGTTACCAAGGTACTTCGGCGTACCCAGCCTTCGTGCCCGAACAACTCAAGACAAGCACCCCCACAGCGTCAGCCACCGCTGTCTCGTACATTGCCGAGTACAATGACGGTTCAAGCGGTGCCACCGTCTATGGCAATAGGCAAAGCAACAATCAACTCTCCACCATCGCCCTCAATCACGTGTTTTACGTCTTTGCCGGCCACGGTACCGGATACTACTACATCAACATCCCCTCCGCCGACGACGTGGCATTGTTCTGGATTGGCCCTAACGCGCTTTCTGGCTATACTCGCGCCAATGCCCAATTGATTCAGAGCTGGAGTACGCCCACAGTTGCAACCCTTGGCTTTTACCTGACTGCAAACACGTACACGCCCGTGCGTATATGGTTCGCCAACGGAGGTGGTGTTGGAGGTCTGCAGTTCACTATGTTGGCTCCTGATGGCGCGCAAATCTTGCAGAGTACGACGAACAGCAATTCGGGAAGTATGAATGCGGATGTTGTCATGTTCCCTTGTGATAGTACCAAGGGTAAGGCGTTCGCTGCATTCGGCAAGGAGACTTAGATTATCTTTTCTTATGTCTATGCATGGCTTTTCTGTGGTTTCGTCTTTGGCATCTGGATAAATTTGCTCTTGTATACTCATAATCAGTAATAAAGGTTATCTTTTTGATTCGTTCTTCTCCGCAACATCATCCTGGGCTCTTTCACGTCAATGGCTCGAACTCAATACTTTGTACCCTTCCCATATACTAAAGCATGTAACGCGTATAGTTATAGAATTGCACAGTAGTCTTACGAAGCAGGACAGCTTCCACGCAGACATGAGTTATCGGTAGCTCTCTGTGGCTACCCCTGATAGTACAAGACACTATGCCTTTCTACAATCCAAAAATGCCTGCATGTTGTAGTAGGGGATATGCAGAATACTTCTTCCGCAACCCATCTTTATATCTCCTTCGTCTCCATCCACTCCTCGACAACACCAGCATAGTCCTCAGGTCTATACGCCTCAAATACCTCCTTCAACCACCCACGCTTTCTCCTATACTCCAATCCCAAATCTCTCAACAACATATCCAAATACGGCACAGCGTCAAACACAAAATCAGGAAATCTGCCACCATAGCCGCAAGGATATCTCCAGCGCCCGAATCGCGAGTGGAGGAGTGCTGTTTTCTGAGCATCTGAGGAAGAAATGGGAACACGAGAGAGGGAAGAGGAGAGGTAGGCGGTTATCCACAAAGCTTGGAGGGAAGCGCAGAGCGGGGTGGAGATTGTTGTTATCATGCCTGCGAAGGCGATGGCCGGGTCTGAGGTTATATCCGATGGGGGAGCCATGAAGCGGTACAAAGTGAAGGGTCGGGATGTTGCGTCGGCAGTAGTGTCGCCGCCTGGTATAGGCGTGCTTGGCTGTTTTTGTAGGCGAGGGAAGCGCGACAGGATCTCTTTATCTGCTGCTTCAAAGTCGGCTGTCGAGGATGAAGATAGGGGCTCACTGCATGGAAGTCCGAGTGCGGCGTCTAGTCCTTGTGGTAGGAACCTCATCGGTGGTCGTGCTTTCCATCCTGTAGCGCACACAATCGCATTTGTGATCAGTCGAGTGCCATCACTGAGTGATACGGTGTTTTCTCCCAGTTCCGCAACATCCGCAATGTACACTTTGATCTTGCCGTCCCTCACCAGTCCCAAGAAATCGCCTTCGAAATTCAGAATGCCCAGTCCACTCCCCGTCCAGAAGGCTGATTGCCATGGCTTCAACTTTGCCGTTTCTTGATGCTTGTCATAGCCCATCAACGTACTCGCATCCGTGCTGAGCACCCACCAAAATGCATCTACAATCTTCTTACCTAGCCAAGAGCCATGCANAAAGCTCCTTGTCGAGACAAAGCCATCTTCATCGCCCCAGATACATGGAGATAACCAAGTGAGAAAACGGCGGTGGACTAGTTTCTCCAACCATGCCTTGACAGGAGTTACATAGGNGGGCGCCATCCATGTCGGTCCTTGACCCGAAGAGCGAATGACAAGGTTGACAGGTACACTACGAGTTGCGCAAGCGTAAGCGACATCCCAAGCTGATTTTGAGCCACCCAGAACTGTGACTGTAGTGTTTTTTGAAAAGAGTGCTTTAGTGTGTTGAGGAAACTCGCGCGAGTGGATGAGTAAGCCAGACTTCTCGAAGTCATCTGAACCAGCGAAGGAGGGGATGAACGGTGTAGAGGTTAGACCTGTAGCTATAACCAGTTTCTTCGTTGACAAATTGGTCAAGTCATTGTTGTCAGTTTTCAGTGTCCAGCTTCCACCACTGCTTGCTTTTGAGACTTCCAATACTCTGATGTCGAATCTGGTGCGCGAAAACACTCCAGACTTCTTTGCGTAATCACTCAGGTATCGATGGATGACATGCCCAGGAATATGTTCACCAGCTTTGACGCCATAGGTCTCGGTGTCCATCGGGAAATCAGGGTATTCATATGTGCCGAGCATATTGTTGGATTTCAGATCCGGGTATTGACGTCCTTGACTCCATACTCCACCGATAGTGGACTGTGCCTCGAGGACAATGAAGTGAGCACAAGGGTGTACTTGCAAATATGTGGCAGCGACGGCGAGGCCGTACCATCCTGTCACAATTCAGTAAGCATGACCTTGTACTAATCACATGGTGTTTGACTTACCTGCCCCGATAACAACTAGATCATAATCGGTCATGTTTAGGACAAGAAATCTGTGATGAGAATGGAAGGAATGAGAGTCCCAATAACAGATAAAAGTTGATCCGGTCGAAGGAGTCGGAAGGATTTATGCACTGATCGCAGCTTATATTGACCTGCATGATTTACGAGATCCGTGCTTGGCGCTTATCACCTTTTGTACCTCGAACATTGAAAAGTGACAAGGGATTTTACTGTCTCCAGAATTCGCCAGACAATGTCAACCCTCCCAATGTGCGAAAAACAATCACGACGCAGCGAGAAGAATGCAAAATTCCTTATATAGCAGGACCATATCCACAGAGAGAAGGCTATGCTCAGACATCTCCGTGGTGGCACCCTGATCTCAAGAGATGACTATGCATTCCTATAGCTGATCATGGCACAACAGATCAGGAAGGAAGAGGGGACACTTATAGGCTACGACTGTGTTTTGCATACGGAGAAGACGGACAATGTTATTTTGTCGAAGCCATCAGTAGATAGTTGGAGCATTCATATGCCAAGCTCGGCTAAAGTTACTATGTTTCGACAGCATCACCTTCGGGGCTCGACTCAACACTGCTGTACGACTTTCCTTTACAAACTCCTCGAGGTCCTCCAGGAATGTCTCAGTCTGTTCAATAGCCGCAAAATGTCCTCCTTTATCATGAGCTCGGAAGAAAGTCAAGTTGCCAGTTGTAGCAGCCCATGCCTTGGGGACCGGGTACAACTCGTATGGATAGTAAGAGTAACCGAATGGCTTGATCTCAGGGATCTTGTACTCAGACATATTATGCGGGTTGCCATTGAGACCAGGGGTGTAAAACTTTGGGTAATGACCGTGAGCAAAAGCAGAGGAAATTGAGGGAGATTCACTAACGATACGGTAAGGCCAGAGGCATGACACTGCACATCGCGTGAGCCAATACAAGCTGACTGATTCCAGAATCAGGGAGATAGGTGGATCTTCTTCGGTCCATGCGAGGAACTTGTCACCAATCCTGGTCAAAGGTCAGAATTGAACCTATGTAACTTATGGTCATCATCAGTACACTTACCATGCCAGCAAAGCTACAGGATTGCTGGATAGCACAAGACCGATAGTGCCAGGTTTAGTCGCGTGTTGAATAGCGTAAGAGCTACCGATTTGCAGAAACTCGCGTGCTCTGCGCAGGCCATTGTGCTCGGCATCTGTGACTTCGTGCTCAAGACGCTCGGGTTCGTCTTCCATGATACAGAAATTGACNNTTGTTGTATTAGTTGGACAACATGTTCAGTATGGTTTCTCTCTAAACTCACTATGGATTGCTGTGGGATCTTAGCATTACCTCAAGTACGAAACGAAAGAATGCTTACCTTTGCATTCGTCATACTTTGCCGCCATCACTCTGGCAACTTTGCTTCCGACATCACCGCCTTGGACCATGTATCCGGCTCCGAAGCCGAGGCGGAGCATCAGCTGGTTCATTAGCCTGGCAACATCCTCTACTCTGAACTCTTTATCGATGGGAGGAGGGCTCGAGAAGGCATAGCCAGGCAATGATGGGACCACAAGATGGTACGGCAAGTCAACAGAGCCATACTTCTTACGCAACTTATCGAGCATAGGTAAGAACTCCAAGAAGCTGCCTGGCCAGCCATGAAGCAAAAGCACGGGCACTGCATCCTGTCTTTTGGAGAACATGGCAACAAAATGGACGTTAAAGTCGCACAGCTCATCATCAATGTTCATGTGAAAGTGATCGAAGGTGTTGATGTGTAGTTCATGCTTGCNGCCTCGTGTAGGTGTCAGACGCAACGTCTGGTTTGATGAAGTGACTTACCAATCGAACGTTGTTTTCCACTCTTCCACTGCCTTTGTCAACCAGTCGTGCCGCATCCCAAACTTGCGATCTCCATCGGGTAGATTGGTCTCATAGGTGGGCTCGGCGATGGGCGTCGTTCGAAGAAGTAAGCCAAGCTGCTCGAGATCGGCATCGGAAATGTGCACTGTGAAAGAGGTAACTTTGCCAGTAGCGTTTTCAATAAGTGAATGAGCCATGACTGGAGTCCAAGAAATTTCTTGATTGTAAACGTGGCGTTCAGGACACGCAAGGTCGACACGCTGATTTATGTTGATGCTCGACCCCGCTCGCTGACATTCGTGTGGCACATGTAGCTCCAGAAGCTGCGGTCATACATGAGCAAGACAACGAACTTACTGTTCGCCTAAACCTATCTATTCAGTTTTGCGACAGGGTACACCCTTTCGACGCGCAGAACTGGCGGAATTGAAGGGCAAGATGCGGATGACACCATTTCAGCGATACAAGGAGGTGGCACCTGTATTTCAAGGTCTGGAAGCACCTACGACGCGATGATATTCTGGTCATGTAAAAGGCTTTTTGGCGTGAGTCGCTGGACACAGCCCGAGAAACATTTGATCATCCACCAAGTTCAGGTATTGGGGCCGGGCTGTCGTCGACCCGGAACAGAATTAGATTCGACGCTGTGTCTAGCTGTGCTCGTGCGGTGGAGACGCGCTCGGGGGGTTTCACAGGCCATGGCAAGATAGACGGCTCTCAGCGAACACGGTGTTCAAATCTTCTGGTTTTGTGCAAGACAGGTCAGCAGGTCAGGAAGGAAGGAACCGGATTTGCCAAGATGAATGCATCGCTGACTCAGCAGAGTTCATGCTTGGCAGGGCTTACAGCTTCCGTTACGCCCGGTCTATTTCCGCAACAACATCATCAGACCTTCTTGAACCAATCAGCTCTCCACATCGCGCCCGGGCATTGCTAAGAAGTTCCGCGGGAGGATGATGCTGTACCACGAGCATATAAGATGGTTGTCGCTGCTGCCACACTTTACCGCACTGGATAGCTTGCAACATGGATGAATATCAAGATGAAAAACTACCACCTCTGACGACTGTTCGCAACTTTCGTGACGTCGCCGGCTTGGTGATGGGCATCAAACCAGGACTCTTATATCGAAGTGCACATATCGGTAGGTTTCACCCACGATCTCTTGATGAGATTTATCGCTGATGATGTGTCACAGATGATGCAAGCCGAGAAGATCTTGATATCCTGCGTGAGCGACATAAAATACGATCAGTGATAGATCTGCGTGGCATGTAAGATATGCTGGGTCCAGGGTGTACCTAGTTCATACTGATGAGATTCAGGCATCCATGGCCCATGATCTCCACTGTGGGATTGCCAGCTAAACACGAATTCGACTATACACAGCAGTACCCTGATCAGATAGCCAGTACGAGCATACTTGGCCTCAACTTGCACTATATCGGCCTTGCTGGTCCGCAATTCGGCCGCTATATAGCAAGTCAAGTGGGCTTCTGGGACAAGGCGAAAGCTTTCGCCGAGATTGCCATCTCGCCAGCCAGCGGCATCAAGAACTGGAAAAAATTCATTAACGCCAAAATGTCCAAAGGCCGCATGACCGTACACGAGATCATCATCGACCACTCATATCCACAAATCAAAGCTGTCTTCAAGGTATTGGCAGATCCATCATCATACCCTGTCTTGATCTTGAACCAGTACGGCACTGATCTTGTGTCACTGATTGTTTCCTTGATTCTGTTTCTCTTGCACGCCGACACGGAGAGCATACATCGCGATTACATGCAGACTTACGAGGACCTGGCCAGTATCAAACAAGAACGACTCGAGTACAATAGAACGATGAATGTTTCCAATGACGCTCTGGTCGAGCCTTTTCTCCCTTTTGTCAGCTGTCTAGAACAGCACATACAAAACAAACATGGTGGGATTGAACAATATCTGCAACACATCGGTCTCACTCAGAACGAGATTCAGACCTTGAGAAATACGCTATGCTCTGGTTCGCGGCTTTCTGAAAAGCAAGATTGGCTAGTTGATATCTAATGCCTACCACTAAGTATTATCTTACTACCTCTCTGTGTGCAAATGAAAATGTCATCCCTGCGATCGATTGCTCTCTCTCTCTCTCTTTAACTAATTGTGTTGTCATAAGCTGTAACAATACACAGTTTCTTTTGTATTGAAGGTGTCACCATTGACAATCTAATACATCGTTCTCAAATTTGATGTTTTCGTCATGCGTATACGATTATCCTCCGAACTGTTGTCAGGCTCGGGCGCCAACATAAGCCTTCCAGCACCACCGACCATTTCATTCTTAGTCTGTAGAGAACCATGTCCTCGCTGCCGCCACGTTGTGGTCGCTATAGCCTTCCCCGTGCGCAAGGCGTTTTGAAGATCGAGTCGATCTCGTGACAGATCCTCAGTCTACTTTCGCTCCGAAACTCAAGGCCAAATGCACAAAGCTGCGCAAGAAATGGTTCTGCTGGTTGCTTGACCCAAGATTCAGCAACATCGGACGAGGTTCCTTCCGTGGAACCACCCAGCGTGTGCAGTCAGTCTACGCCGAATGGCTATTGGATCCAAGCGAAGTGGCTACTGAAGCAATATATGCGTCCATGCGCCGCACTGATGGACACGTCTCTCTCGTCAGCGCTTGAGGTTTGCAAGGCTTACTTCCTGACGGACGCAAAGTTTTGGCAACAGCCAACTTTTGGCTCACGGCCATCTTTGTTTCATATTTGCAAGGGGTTTTGATGGTAAAACATAGACAATGAGTCTTAAATTCAAGTACACCCTAGAATTCTGGATTCCCATACTCATGTATATTCGAGAGAAGGCTCGATATCTGCGAAGATGAATGCATCGCTGAGTCACCCGTGTTTCTCGAATGTGACCCTACACTCCAAGTGTTCCCTCGATCCCTGAGAAGAACGAAACTTTAGACACCAATACTACTGAGGCTTCACTTCTTGCGGATTACTGCGCGTAGAACTTGATATCGTCCAGATGCACATAAGCATATCCAGTTGGACAGAAGACATCAATCTCCAGATTGCCGTAGTTGTGGGTTTGTGCTTGGATGTCTGTGACGGTCACCGTGACCCAGCCATTAGTGCTACTGACCAGCTTCTGCTGATAGATACCAGCACCGACCAGACTGCTGAGGAGATAACAACCAGGGCTGTCGAACTGATACGAATACGAAAATTGTAGGGTATACTTGCCAGCAACGGTGTGAAGCGTTTGGACCGAATCAGCCCATTGATTCAAAGACGAGTTGGCAGAAAGCACACTGAATCCAGATCATTAGCTACAATCGAGAGCATGTTGGGATGTGCGGGGCTTGTGATATCACTTACAGATAGTTATTGCCGGAATGAGCCTGCGAGGGATCATTGATAATCTGCCAGCCACCAGGGTTAGGCAATAGCTGCCAACTCTCGCTACCAGTTCCACCTTCAAAACCTGGCCTCTTAACGATGTTCACAGGCTGTACGGTAGCAGTAGACACGACCACTGTTGTCGTTGTAGTAGATGAGGTCGATGTCTGAGTCTGTACACCAATCGTGACCAATGTACTGTATGGCGTCGCAGCGGTGGCAGTCGTGCTGGTGGTTGTCGAGCCTGTAGCAACAGCGGAGCAGGCTTTGGAGATGCGAGAAGGAGACCAGGTCGAAATCGACACAGGTGTTGACATAGCCCTCTTTTTATTAGCGGGCGGGATTATCAATGTGGTAGTGCTAGCGACACTTGTCTGAACTTCTGTGGCATAGGAAACCGTAGTTGTGATGCTGGTCGAGGTGGAAGTCACAACTGACAATGCCGGTGTGCTCACAATGATTGAGGTCGAGACAGGTGGCTGGTAGTTGATGTAGCTGGAACAAAAATCTGCTCCATTGGCGCTGAGATATGGAACGTCAGATGGACAGCTCACATCGCCTGTGTTAGTAAGATTGGACGAGATATAGCTCTGATCGATTGTTTAGTGGGAGGTGCCACGCCACTGGCCTTTGTTAGTGGCGTAGGAAGCGTCCCATGCTTGGGTATACATCGAACTGCATAGCATGTCAATATTTGTCCATCCTGACCGAGGAGAGGAGCCTACCAGTATTGGCCTTGGTAGACATTGTCCTTGTACAGCACATAAGTGTTGTAGAACTGACAGGTCTTTGGACTGCCCTTTGACGGAGGGTGAGCGAAATTGTACGCGCTTTGAGCACTTCAATCACCTCCAGTAAGCAAATGATCTCTTGCCGTCCAACAGGAAACTTACCTGCAAGCAGTGGCGCAAAGGGTGGTGTCGAAAGTGCCAGAGGTGAAGAGTTTGGCGCCCATGTAGGTATCCTACTCGCTTGATCAGCGACTTTCATGCGGTCGGATGTCACCGAGTAATTCACTTACAGCACCATTGCAATTCAAAGGAGCATTTATCGCTGCACCAGGGAGTGGCAGATTATCAGTGTATCCAGAGGAAGTTGAGACGACCATGTCTCGTCTGCTCAAAGAGTTGTCTTGGGGCAGAGGATCGTCATTGATACTGGCTACTACTTCTGATATGGCAGCCTGCTGATTGTAGTTTGTCGAGTTATCAGGCGCGATGGTTGGCTCAGGACTGTCATCTACTAGCTGGAAGCCGATATCCTGCCGACGGGCAATGGATGGAGCGTCTGAGTGAATGTTGTTGAGGGGCGAGCCTGCAACGATGAGACCAAAGGTCAAGGTCAGAAGCGGAGTTTTCATCGTGGAAAGTGAATTCGGATCTATATAGACTGGCTTGCTGGAGCAGAGGCAGGATACACCTGTGATATTTATGTTTGAAGCCTACCTGCGTTTGAAATGCAAGCAGCCGACCATTATTCCCTATCTGAGCATCCGCTGAAAAACATTAAAGCACATGCCCCGGGACCTGAACTTCTCAGCGCAGTCTTGTGAAGTGTCTCCAAGCCACACTCTGGACTCGTTCGCGTTCAGATTGCGTCTTGCCCACGTGCTCTAGTGGACCACTGAGCAAATCGCAGCAATCGCGCAAAGACAGCACGCTCATTGATGTAAATCGTGTTCATACACGCGTGTTACTTTGTCTATGGTCAGCGCGTCCCATAGGCAACGGCAATCCTACGCTTGCGCTATGCATAGATGTTATCGGGTGTGTGAGCGGGTTCAGGTGTCTAGGAGAGTTTGTCGTATCTGAATCTTCCGAAATAGGACTATGCTCCCTTAATATCCATTGTCCACCGGAATTGCACGTGAACCTGCTTTAGCATTACCTATTGTTCCATGGACAGCTAGCTCCAAGGTTGGTGGTTCGACCCGATTTGACGTTATTGTTCCAACCGCATGGCTGGATTAGTTTAACGGCTCCGGTTATTCTTACCAAAATCCTCGTTGCCGCTTGTAATTTGACTTGACGATATATAGTTTTGAAGACATCAGGCTCGAAAATTGATCAAACAAGCTTCTGTCCATTTCTTGACTCGAGCGCATCACAAGCGATCCAAATTCCAGCCAGATGAACACCCGCAAATCAAAATCCGATAGCAGCAATGTGACAGAAAATGAAGGTGGACGCGAAGGGCGTAAAGATGGCTGGCTAGATAACTCAGGCCAATACGAGCAACATGACGCCCGGTCTGCTGCCCTCTTCCCCCATGTCTCAAACGATACCGAACCCAGTTGATGTTGCCGAAATCATGTAGTCGACAGAATGGGAATGGCTGTGTCGCTTTGCTGCTTGTCTTCGATTTGTGACTGGCGGTGTTCACCGTCCCAGAGCGTGATTCACCAGCGGAGGCACAAGCTAAGACGCCTTCAGCTATTTTTACGCGGAGGTGACGAGTCCATCGAGGTGTGAGCAAGGAAGAACGAAACAGAGACAGCAGCAGAGGGTGGTGGTGTAGAGGCGGATGGAAGAGCCCCGCGGCTGATCGCCCGGCAATTGCCAGGCACACAGCTCCGACGACAGTCTACTGCTTTTGCGAGACTATCTAGATTGACGTACTCCAACACACCCGAAAGATTCATGGTCAACGCCCGAGAAAGTGGTCAAGAAGAATGTCGATCATCATTTGGTCGAACAGGTCATGGTGAGTCGCGATTTGTCGACGTCGACTCACACGCCTTCCACCGTACGCTCTGGCAAGCTGCGTTACTTACTAGTCGACTACACTCACGCAGTCTTCCGCTGATGGAAAGTGCTCTCCACCAGTTCTCAATAATCTCCTTTTGATTTATGACATGTCACCAGTGCTGTTCTCAAGCTACCACACTCTAAGATGTTCTTCTGCTGCAATCATCTCTCCATCTGAGCACAATACTGGACGACGATGCCACGAACGCGCGGTTCCTTCGAGTCCCTTCGAGTCAATTTCTCTTGCCTGATCAGCCTGTACAGTTGATTGCCATGTGCTCTTCAGCATCGCAGCATCAGTTGGTCTCCTTTGTTCCAGACCCCACATCGTCAGAGGTTACATTCCAACCGTATTCCGTATCATCGCGGCTTTGTTCGCCACACGTGGCCATGCGATCATTTGGTAGCATACCTTCAGTCTCTTGTCAAGCATGCCTCTTCACCGCTTGCTTCAACACTTGTTGTGTCTCGCTGATAACCTCCGGAGCACTTCTCGACAACCACAATTGACTTGCGTCGCCATTCTCAACCCAGCTATATCTCCATGTCGATATCATCATGCCTCTAGGGATCCTCGAGCCCAGAGCAAAGAAAGTACCAGGAACGGCGAATGTATTGGACCAAGACTGGAAACGAGACCCGACGTTGAAACGAGACAAGACGGGAAACATCATCCTTGTACCTCAGCCAAGCGAAGATCCGAATGATCCTCTAGTACGTTGGACAGGAACAAGATTGCTAAGCTCTCGCTGACAGATGTCCACANNGAACTGGCCGTTATGGCAGAGGGACCTGATGCTCCTGCTTCTTTGTGTCGTCGCCGCCATCGCAACAACAGCATCTCCGTTAGTCGCTGCCAATTCGGTCGTCCTGGCTGTTGTCTTCAAAGTCAAGTTTCAAGACGCTGCACTGCTGACCGCATATCACCTGTGTGGTGTCGGTGTCGCCAGTTGGCTATTCGTCCCGTTAGCTAGAGTATGGGGTAAACGACATGTCTTCCTTTTCGGTGCTCTACTCATGGTCGCGTCGTCAGCCTGGGGTGGCTCAACGCAAAAGAACTTGAACTATAAGAGTCTCATCTGGGCGAGAATCTTCCAAGGTATCGCACTTGCGCCTTTCGAATCGCTGGTCAATGATGTGGTTGGCGACTTGTATTTCGTACACGAACGAGGTTTCCGTATGGCGTTCACCAATGTCTGTTTATTTGGAGCTGCTTTCCTGACACCTGTCTGTGGTGAGTATTTCATTCTTCGCTGCTCTACAATCACTCGCTAACCAATCTCAGTCGGCTTCATAACAACCGACAACTCTCTCGGCTGGCAATGGTCCTTCTACTTCGTCTCCATCTTCATGGGCGCAGGTTTCATCCTCCTCTTCCTCTTTCTTCCAGAAACGGCTTATCAGCGCCCTCGCTACCTTCAACTCGACATCAACGTCGGTCCGCCCACATTCCACGATCCCATCCCACCACCGCCAAAACGTTCTTGGTCACATGGTCTTTCCCCCTTCAGCGGCCGCAAAACAGACGAAAGCTTTCTGAAACTCTTGTTTCGCCCATTTCCGCTGTTTCTGCAACCAGCAGTGGCTTGGGGTTGTCTGATGCAAGGCGTTATCATCGGATGGACAGTCATCGTCGGCGTGATTCTCGCACTGATCTTCCTAGGTCCACCTCTCTTCTTCACAGAAGAGCAAGCAGGAAAAATGTACACTGCAGCCTTCATCGGCTCGGTGATCGGCCTCGTCCTCGCAGGAATATACACCGAATACGTGACTCGCTTCCTCATCCTCCGCAACAACGGCCGATACGAGCCAGAATTCCGTATCGCGCTGGTACTCCCCACCTTCTTGTTTTCTGGCATCGGACTCTACGGTTTCGGCATCGCAGCCTCGGATATCGAAAAATTTGGCTGGATAGTGGTCGAAGTGTTTTTGGCATGCATCACCATATCGATGGTCATGGGTGCCACGGCATCTGCGCAATATTTGCTGGACGCCCATCGTGATATTGCTATCGAAACGTTTACTTGCTTGATCATATTCAAGAATTTGTTTTCGTTCGTGTTGGCTTATTACGCTTATGAGTGGGTATTGGAAAAGGGGTTTCGGCGCATGTTTGTCGTGTTTGGGAGTATCGAGGTGGGCATCTGTTTGCTTGGGGTGCCAATGTATGTGTTGGGGAAGAGGAATAGGGAGTTCTTTTACCGGTATGATATTCTCAAGTTGGCGAGGTTGAGGTAGAGGTGGGCGTACTGCAGCTCCCAACTTCAAATCGCAGACTATCGAAACTCATTACTGTGTCTTTGAGGATGTGTGCTGTGATACTTATACGTTACATTACACAATCACCTACTTTACCAGCCTGATGACCCCGTCGTGACTACCGCATCAAACATTGTGACCACAGCACTATCTCTCCATCCGCTGAACCAGCCCTCTTGTTTCTCGTCCACAGGTTCCAACGCCTGCAACTTTTCCAGCACTTTGTAGTCATTTGCTTTTCGCGCATCTTTGATGGCCACAGAAACATCCGCTCCCCTACTAAGCAGCAATCGTGTGATTTCTTCATTCTCATTAGCCAAAGATTGATACAACGCACAGCGAGCGCCTCCAGAGCACGAACGATCAATCGTAACACCATGATCGAGCAGCAAAGTCACAATACGCACATCGCCCTTAGTGGCCGCGACTATAAGCGGTGTTTCCTTTGAATTGATTTCGTCTGCGTTGGCGTCATGGTTGAGAAGGTCGGTGACGATGGAGAAGTGGCCTTTGTCGATTGCGCGGATGAGGGCACTGCCTTGATGGTGTGGAGCTTCAATGTCGGCCTTGTGGGAGAGCAGTGTGGAGACTAGATCTGCATGGCCCATGGCGCTGCAGTATTGAGGGGGTGTGAGGTCGGAACTGTCGCGGGCGTTCACGTCGGCGCCGTTGGCGGGTAGGAGGCGCGCTAGGGCAGTACTGTTGATGTGGCAGGCCCAGCGCAAAGGGGAAACTCCATTTAGTGAATTGGGGATGTTACTAGCACCTTTGGTGGCAGAAGCATCAGGACCAGCAATGTCTAACGGTATTTGATAGCAAAGCAGTCTTTCCACTACGTCGAAATGTCCTTCCTTGGCAGCAATGCGCCAGGCTATAATACGACTCTCGTCTTTGATCGTGCAATTCTTGGACAGAAGCAGCATTTCCACCATCGGTAGACTTCCCGAAAAAGCAGCCACTCTGAGAGCATCGCCTTGCGGTCCGGGTGCATTGACGGACGCACCATAGTCGAGTAGTATCTGCACAACTCCGTAATGTCCTCGATGCACTGCAGCTTGTAGAGCTGTGCTGTATTCGTCTCCGTCAGCTTGAACGTCGATTCCGACTCCGCGTACGAGCATGGCGTGTTTGATGACTCCTGCTCTGGCAAAGTGAATCGAGTTTGTGGTATCTGGTCCTGGGGCGTCTCCACAAGCGCCGTATCTGAGGAGCATCTCGACCGCAGTTTCCTGACCTAGCACGGCGGCGTTATGCAGTGCCGTTTGCCCAAACATGACACGTTTGTCGGGAGCCTTTGCTTCAACAAGCAGTCTTACTGTGTCATCGTTGTCAGGAATAGCCGCGGCCAATGCTAGAGCGCTGTCACTGATGATAGCACCACGACTCAGTATTTTCCTCACAATTGCGACTTGTCTCTTTGTCGCTGCCAACTCTAGAGGAGTCCAGTCAAGCCCATCCAGAAAAACAGCACGCTTGAGATCCACATCCGCACGATCAAGCAGGAAATCGACTATATCCTCGTGCCCATTCTGGACAGCCAAGGCAAAGGCAGTGCCGTGATATCCAACTGCATTGACCTCAGCACCTGCTTCGACCAGAGTCCTGACAAGGTCGAATTGCCCGGACGCGGATGCCGACTGCAATGAACTGAAGCCATGTCCATACTTAAAGGCTAGTCTCGCAACTGTGGCCAGTAAGAATGAGTCCATAGTGCATTTCAAGTGCTCGGTTGTGATTGAAAGAAGGGTCTGGCGCACCAAGCCAATTGAGAACCGCTTTTGATTGTTCCGAGGATACGATATCTTTGACCGATGCATCGACGCCGCGCACATCTTCCGACACTGGCCACTGTTAGACTTCTCCTGGTCGGACGCACCAGCATGGATTCATGACGACCAATGTTACTCACGTTGATCGATACGTGTTGTGAGCCTCTCCTCTTCCTCCACACGATGTGGTTGTATCTCCTTGAGCAGATCCTGTGCGTAAGCAGCAGCCGTCAGTGCTGCGTAACCTTGCCAATTTTTGTTCTTGTGACTGTCACTAANATCACAAATTCCGCGAATGACCATGCAAGGAAAGCGATTCATGAGTCCAGCCGCTTCCATCTCGAAGCATAGGATACCCTTTTCCTTCGCGAGCTTGTCGCGTACAGTAGCGTCTTTCATCACTTGGTTCCCAGATACAATGAGACCGTAATGTATTGTCGGGTCATCGTCATCGTCCTCCCTAGGTTGGCGGATATTCAGGTTGGTCTGTTACTTCACACATAAATCATCGCAGTCGACTTCGATGTCATGAGGGTGGATGATGTTAGCAGCTGACAGGCGATCAGAGTCGAGACTCGGTCGTGCAAAGCCTTGTTTNNTCCTAAGTCGTGGCCATCGATTTAGAATTGCGTCAATCGTCTGCTTGATCTGGTGTCCATCTCTGTCATACCGCCGTCTGAGTCCGGGAAGAGCTGAGCGAACAGTGGCAGACGGTTGATCGAGAAAGCCAGTCTGAATAAAGCCGACTTCTTGTATCGTTTTTCCCAAGTCATACTGATAGACTCCGCCAGTGCCACTGCTAGGNNTGGAGCTCACCATAATGTCTCCGAGACGGATGTCATGTTTAGAGGTTGGCGCACCTCCGCCAATACCAACCATCAACCCGACGCGAATGTTGGGAAAGCTGCGGAGCATGTTCGTGACGACACTGGCGGCCGAGCCCACACCATACTCGCCATCTGGAAGTACAGCCATGACGACGTTATGGCCTGCGATTTTGCCGAGTGTGTAATGATTGGAATCGCCGGGCGATATACCTATCGGTGGCTCATGTTCCAGATCCAGAAAGAGCTGGGCAGCGGTATACTCTTTGAGAACAGCACATATCCAGCCGACAGTATAGTCCTTGGGATTCGACGTGGTGGAACACGCCAGACTCGAGTGAAGAACTACACACTTGTGGGTGAACAAACAGCTGCATCCCTGGCGGCAGCTGAAGATATTATAAGTCGGCTATCGAAGCCTGATCCTTCGGGCGCAGCATGCATATCTTCTCGTGTCGATGTATACGTGCATCAAGACTAGCGATTGGCAACGCGCCATAATGCCTGTTACTGAACTGATGTAGCTGAAGATGCAATACCTATGGTCATGAGATCTGAACTTGCTCGAGTCGCGCGTCGTGTGAAGCGCGTCATGGAGGAAAAGTAAATGGAGAGGCTAGGCCTGTCTCAATGACAAGGTAGTATCCTCTAAAAAGCGACATCGATTAGGCGCTCTCTTATGATACTCCAATTCGGAAAGTATATGTGTCTTCTCATAGAAGTGGAAGTCGCAAACTTTGCACATGGAAGGTAAGGAAGGTCGGAGGATGGCAGGCAGGGCCAAGACTTATGACAAGTGCCATGTGCGCAGGGTCATCCCAGAAGCCATCAACTCAAGCGATCAATTGTGCATTGCTAGCGACACAGAACACTGTTTGATCCAAAATCCAGGCGGTACATACCTCAAGTATCCCAGAAGATTATGTGTTATGTTGGACGTTTTGAGATCTGGATCGAGGTTCCAAGGAGTGATTTTCGTTTTCCACTTCTTGGAATCCACAAGGCAACCAAAATACACTCTTTCATTTGTGTCTGACGGGTGGTCGAGACACAGTCAGATGACGAAAGTGACCGAGTATGGACAACTGAAAGCATCAAAGTAAGTTCGGCTCGTCATGTTAGTAAACGGAGTACTCATGAGTAGAGGGAGACTTGGAAAAGAACTGTCTCGATTTGCAACGCTTCGACTTGCGGCGATGCTGAAGCCAATACGAGAGGGAGAACATCCGGCAGAGCGAACAACTTCTCATACTCCATCGCTTAAGAGCAAAAAGTCGCAGCTGAACACATAGCTCTATATGGGTATCAGCAGGCAAAAATGGAGTAGCTGGGAATCGAACCCAGAACCTTCTCCACTCAGTAATGCTCAGAAGAGCAATGCTAAGAAGATGTCATACCACTAGACCACAACCCCAGTTGATGAAGCGCTTTTGGAACGTGTTCGATATATTCATTTTTGTTTTCAAAACCAATAGTTTGCGTCAGTCTTGCATGTGAAGAGAGACCCTGGGAAGCTTCTCCACCCCACCAGCGGTGAAGCCCCTCGAGCTCCTAACACTTCCCACACCATCACCATCCATATACATCACTACCCACCTCTCACCATGGACTTCGCCTACGATCAAATCCAAGAGGAATCCCTGCCCTCCGACCGCTCAGACCAACAAACCACCACCACCGACCGCCCAGCCACAGACCTCAACACCGAGTTCCAACAAGCCTTCAAAGCCGTCTCGTCATCACCCTGGGGAGCAAAACTCGGCGGCTTCTGGTCGCAAGCNAAAAAGCAAGGCGAGAGTTTATATTCCGATGCGCAAAAGGAATACGCCAGCCGTAGTGAGCAAGCCGCCAAAGTGGCAGGAGAGCTGCAAAAGAGTATTGTAGAGAGCACGAGGAATATATCCATCAACGCCGATGCTGTTGGCGCGGCAAACACGTCTTTCTCAGATCCGACTTTTGCGTTGCCGGAGGGTGTGGAGGTCAAGGAGAAGGAAGCTGCTCGAGACGCACAAGCAGGAGCTCAAGCGACAAGACCAGACTCACTCCCCGCCGACATAGTCAAAGAAGCCACTTCCCTCGTCTCTCTCCTCCGTTCCAAAGCCACAGCTGCAACAGCAAACCTCAATCTTCAAAAGATACAGCAAGCAGAAGATGCAGCAGACGAAGCACTCCTAAAGTTTGGCACTGGCATAAAGTCCTTCCTCCGCGATGCCGTCACCGCAACCGCTCCTTCTTCCTCGGACAGCACAGAAGTCCTCTTCGAGACCAACGACGCAGAAGGCAAACGAGTCATTCATTCCAGCAGATTTGATGCACAGTTGCATGTTATCCACACCTCGGCTCAGAGCTTCACCAGCGATCCCGATAGTCCCAAATACGGCCAATTCGCAACAGACTTTGACATTTCGGCAAAGACAGACTCTATAGCCGCAGACCTAGAAAAGTATCCAGAGCTGAGACGAGCAATGGAGAAACTCGTGCCCGAGAACGTCGAGTACGCAATCTTCTGGACGCGCTACTACTTTTTGCGCAAGGTCATCCAGGAAGAGGAAGTCAGACGGAGAGAAGTGCTAAAGGGTATGTACTTACTCAACCTTNNCATCATGTATCCTCAGTCACTGATAAGGTTCCAACAACAGGAGCATCACAATCCACAGACGAAGACCTCACCTGGGGCTCCGACGACTCGGACGACGAAGAAGACAAAGCACCCACACCCACAAAAGAAAAACCCCCCTGTTCCTGCCACCCCTTCCACAACCACCGTCTCCAAAACCGCACCTCTACAATCCACAACCTCCACACAAAACCCCTCTCCCCAAACCCACGAGGAAGAAACAAAATCCGTCTCCTCCAGCGACGCCTCTTACGACATTGTCTCTGGCACCACCAGCCGCGCAGCCGGAAGCCCCAAGGACGAAAAGAGCGAAAAGGTTGCTGTGGCCAAGAAGATTGACGAAGAAAGCGACGAGGAAGATTGGGAATAGATTTGGCGCGATCAACTTATTTACCATGCCTTTGTTTTTTGGTCATTTGCTGGTGTTTGGGTGGATGCAGGGTGGGTGTTTGTAGGAGTTTTCAAAAGTCGGAAAGGCTATGGTTGGATTTTCGTGCTTGGATTGGTGTAGAGGACGCAGGGGAGGAGGTGGATGCGGGTGGCTTTTTGAGAGCAGAGACGAGGTCAAAGAATTGCTATGCTATGCTATGCTGATGCTATTTTATGCTATGCTATGCTGATGCTGATGCCGATGCCGATGTTACGCTGATGCTGATGCTATACTCGAGATGCAAAATGCTTCTTCTTCTTCTTCTTTCTCTTTCCTGCTTGCATCCATGCTTACTCATGAACTCGGACTCTGTCTCCCAAGCGGACTTCTGGGCATCTCTTCCCTCTTCCTCAAAACCCCCTTCCTGCCTTTCTGCTCTGGCGTTCCGGGACTCTGACTCGCCTTCTCCCTCAAAGGCGTAACTCCTCTGGGTGAAGGACTAGACGGCATACTACTCGAGCTCCTCTGTCCCGAAAAGTATCCAGGATACTCTATACTCTGCCTCACCTCCGCACTCCACCCTACCCCCTCACTAGCCTCTCTGTATCCCCTCTCATACTCACTTTCTCCCTCTGCTGCAAAACTTCTTGCTGGTGTATTGCCACTACGAGGATGTTGCAAGTACTCTTCTCCGCGTCTTTTGATGGGGCTTTCGTCGTAAGGGTCAAAGCCTACTCGTCGTCGAGCATCTCTGCGTACGCGTTGGCGGTACTCGGCGTTGGAGCCTGCACCTGTTGTTGCGCTGTCTTCGAGGAAAAAGTTCAGGAGTTCGTCTTCGATGGTCAGGTGTGAGGATTGGCGGAATTGTTGGAGAGCAGTGAGGCGGATGAGCATTTCGAGGAGAGACAGGGAGGTGCGGATGGTGGCTTGGGGTGTTGAGGGAGTCGAAGGTGGAGGGAGAAGTTGTTGGTTTGAAGGCGTGGTTGGTGAGGAGGACTGCAAATTCAAGGAGGACTGCAAATTCAAGGAGGAGAGACCGTTAGTGAGGGAAGGGTCCAGGGATGCTTGACGAGGTCGAGGTGTAGTAACAGGGTCTGGAGTTGATACGTTTTCCTCTTCGTCTTCATCATCAGAGGGCGATTCCTCGGTATAGACTTCGAATGCAATCCATTCTGGGTCCAGGTCTGGAGGCAGTCGCCAATGTGCCCCAGGGTCTTGTTGTGTTGGGGACTCTTCTTTTTCGGCTTGAGGTCGTGGTGTGGAGTCTCGTAGGAGCTGGGCATTGATTTGTGCTTGTTCGTCTGCGTCCGTATCATCACTCTCTTGTGTCTGTGGTGGGTCGTCTTCTTCGTCGTCGTCGTCGTTATCATAGTAGTCTTGGTCTTCTGTGTATCGTCTCTCCATCATGCGTCTTGGTGGCTCTGCATGAACATCGCGTTTGAGCAGGAGGATCGGGTTATTGGTCTCGCCTTCAGAGCCGATGTTGAGAATCTTGCCAGTATCCGCATAGAATATCTTGGAGATCTCGTGGATGGGAATGACATCTCGAATGCCTGCAAGGGCGACTTCTTCGAACGGGCCAGGTTGAGGTTCGTCTTCGTCGAAGGTGTGTACTCTGTCGTCGTCCAAGTCTTCTATCACAACCAGCTGGTAGGCGTACTCGACTGATGAGTTGTCAGAAGGCAACTCTTTGGGAAAGTAACGTGCACCGCTCGGAGTTGTCAAGTTTCCAGGCAGATTGTATAGACTGTCCAGTGGTACACGGACCAACTTGACTCTGGCTTTGTGGATGACTTCCTTCCAGGTGGCTTCGCGGGCGGTCTCCTCGTCATGCGGTCTATTGGTGTGACTGGCGAAAAGCATGTATACGGAAAGTGTGTAGACAGGACCGACTTGAACGTTTTGTGCAGGAGCTGCAGTGTATTGTGAATCGGCTGCTGTGAGAAAAGTGCTGGCTTGCAAGAGGCGAGACGGCGAAACTGTAGCGGGGAGGTTTGTAGACAAGTTGACTCCGGAAGTGGTAATGGCAAGATTGATCAGTGGCACAGCATCTTCAATGCGAGCAAGCAACTTCTTGACATCCGAAATAACGAGTTGCAACTCAAGCTCGTTCTGCTCCTTTGACTGTGCCCGTGAGCTTTTGCGCCGATACAACTCCTCCTCGTTGGCGGCATTAGCAAGGCGGATCCCCAGAGCTTGAATCTCCCAGCGCAAGTCTTTGGTCAGAGTGACGGCAGATTCCAGAGAAGTGTTTCCACGAGCCGCAATCAACTCTATCATATCGATGGCTGGTGAGATGATTCTGATTTTGCTTTCCAGTCGCACTTGGAGGTTGAGTAGCTCTTCACGCTTGCCTCCTCTGGGTGCCGTTTTGACCAGTCTCGTGCATTGTCGAATGGCATATGTGCTTGTGATGGCGATGCCTGAACGAATGGCATAGTTCATGGCCTGCTGAGTTACTTTGGCGAGCAAGATGTCCATGATTGCTGCAGTAGAGACGATCGTCTGTCAAATGAGAGACTGGGACTGCAGTGGTCGAACTGAAGATGAATGCTGAAGTTCTTGTCTAATCAAAAGATCAGGCTGCAATGGCGTTTGTTTCACGCGGAGAAGGTGTTTGTTTCATGTGTTTACCCTCGTCATTGGCTCCTGAACCTCTGGCGGCGGCTCGGCCCGTGACTGTGCATGTTTATGCAGAATCGCGCGTGCAAATTGGTGTCCTCTCCTAACCGCGTCTCCTTGGTCGCACCTTCCATTCCACGCGACTGACGGTGGCAAAACATCTCGCAATCGCCAAATCCACGCGTCCCATGCGCCGAGTGAATCGAACATGATAGCAGGAACCCCGACTTGTCTCGCGCAACCTCCCGACACAGGCCCGTCATGGTGCTCTGTCGCATACGACTGAACTGCCTGGATCACTATCAAGCCTACCCTGGACCTCTCGACCCTCCACTATGGGGTGATCCATCATTGCTGTCGCAAAGGAACCTCCCCCAAGTTCCTGTAGTCAGAGTGTTCGGCGCAACCGAGACTGGCCAGAAGGTCTGTCTACACATCCATGGCGCATTCCCATATCTCTACATCGAATACTCCGGCTCCCTCGATCGCACCTCCATCGACGAGTACATCGCAGCCCTTCGGCTATCTATCGATCATGCTCTCGCCGTCTCATACAGGAGAAACACAGCAGATGCCAAAGCTATCTTTGTCGCACACATCAGCCTTGTAAAGGGTGTTCCATTCTTTGGCTACCATGTCGGCTACAAATACTTCCTGAAGGTCTATCTTCTGAACCCTGCAAACATGACTCGCCTGTCCGATCTGCTTCACCAAGGTGCCATCTTGAAGCAAGTCTTCCAGCCCTACGAGAGCCACCTGCAGTTTCTTGCTCAATGGATGTGCGACTTCAATCTGTACGGCTGCAACTATATCGACACAGACAACCCCTTCTTCCGCGATCCAGTCCCAGATGTGGCAGATCTCGTGAATCCCTACCACGAGTGGCACGATAGATCTATTCCCGACTCGCAACGACTCAACGTCGATCAGTTTCAACGCCAGAGCCATTGTAGTGTCGAGATAGATATCCGTGTTCAAGACATCTTGAACAGACACGAAGTCAAGGATAGATCGTTACACCATGACTTTGTCGAACGCCTGAACCATCTGGCACCCGAGGAAAAGTTTGTACAGTCTATGGCTGGTTTGTGGAGGGACGAAACAATCAGGCGGAAGAAACGCATGGGTATCACAGATCCTGGCAGCAGTCCATTTCCACCAGAAGTTCTCGTCTCCATGTCGCATGATCCAAGAAACACTGAAAATGGTGGGTGGATACACGAGGAAGAGTTTCGAAAGATGGTAGAAGAGCTTGCCAAGGACGAACGACAGAGGATGGGCGGAGACGTCCCCTCATTCGACACCTTTGTCAAGCCTCGTGGAGAAGACTCTCCGGTACAAACTGCACTTGAAAGTGTTGAAGAGCTCTTTCACGAAAAATGGCAATTCGCGTCAACCGATGCGCCCAAAAATCTTACTCAAAGACTCGCTGAAGAAGGTCTCGATTCTGGAGATGCTCTTGTAGACGAGTCTAGCATCCTGCAGCTCGCATCGGACGACCAGTCGTATGAGTCTGATGAAGAACTTGCTCGCGAGATCGCCTTGACCCAGGCCCAGCAGCCAAACGATAATGCCGCACCAGACGTCGAAGCTGATGATGAGACTCGTCCTGATACCAATGACTATGCTCAGCAGTTTCTTGATCCCCTGGACTCCATGTCTACAGCTTCCCGACCTCGGAGTTCCCAGCCGACAAACGACGGAGAACCACCTGTCCCTGCACCTATAGCACCGGCCGTCGAAGCTCAGCAGGGCAAAAAGCGCCAGCTGCTCGATGGAGAGGCATCTGTCAAACGTCGAAAAGTGGTCGGCTTCGCGGAGGGTCCTCAAGCACCTCCACCTGATGAGGCTGGACAATCTAGACGCACGAATTTCAGAGTCAAGGATTGTGTGACCACTTCCCAGATCATGGCGGACGTTGAGGCTGATCAAGGAAGTGACTTGCTCCATGATCTCCCTCCTGCCTCTACACAACTACCGAATAGTCAGGAACACAATAAGAGGAGAATCTCGCAATCTTATCCGGCTGTGAAGAATCCACATGACCCTGATACTATGCTGCGTCTCAGTCAGAGAGACGATATGCCTAGGCAGAAAAATCTGACCACGCTTGCTAAGTCAAGCCAAATTCAGCGTCATGACTTCTCTTCCTCGTCTTGGAGTAGATCAAAGTACACAGCCAACGCCACTCCATCGAAACAGACTGTTATTTCTCCAGCCGCGAGAAAGCTAGCGATTAATTATTGCAAGAGTTTCGGTTATGGCGCTAATGGCGTTGTCATTCTTGGTCAGACACCGCCCAAAAGAGCAGAAGTCTCAGCTACAATGATCGAGCATGGGGTACCACCAGTGATCTATCAAGATGCATACTACAGTGATGAACAAGACGTGCCTGAGCGTTCGAGAGAGTATGCTGGTGAAGAGTTCAAGCTTGAGAGCAGCACTGTCCCCTTTCTGCCTGACTTTGACCCTACCGGCGAGTCAGATGCTTCGAGAGGAGCCAAAGTTCCAATCGTTCTCGACAAAGCCAAGGAAGAGCTGGAACATCAGGCTCGACGGAAAGATTGTTTTCTCCAACGCTGGGAGATCGAAGCTCGTCCACCATCTTTCTCAGAAGTAGACAGATGGCTACAAGCGAAGTGTCCGACCGTTGAAGACGCTCCTGATCAAGACGATGGTGAAGTTGATCATCCTCTGTCTCAGCAAGACTTTCTCAAGCGCACAAAACCAATGCTGTCGCAGATCGAAGGTCCAACTCAGAGGAACGAACATGGTTTCAAGTTTTCTCAAAAGAAGAAGTCGACAAGTGTGCAACATGAAGTACAATACATGTCTACTATGAGTCTTGAAGTACATGTCAACTCTCGAGGTGACCTGGCTCCCGATCCTGAGCATGATGAGATTTCATGCATCATCTGGTCATTGAAGGCTGATGACACAGACCTTGTTGGTAACGCTGGACATGACGACAAGTACGTGGGAGTCATCGTGCTGTCTACCGAAGGAGATCTGACTGAACGTATGCGAAAGTCAGTCGGTGTTGATGTCGAGGAAGAGGACAACGAGCTCGATGTTCTGAACCGCCTGGTTGATATTGTTCGCGAATACGATCCGGACATTCTCACTGGTTACGAAGTGCACAACTCTTCGTGGGGGTACTTGATTGAACGTGCTCGTCTGCAGTACGAGTTTAATCTGTGTGAGGAGCTGTCTCGTGTCAAGTCCCAATCTCATGGTCGCTTTGGTAAAGATGCCGACAAGTGGGGCTTTGAGCATACCTCGACGATTCGCATTACTGGCAGACACATGATAAATATCTGGCGGGCTATGCGAGGTGAACTGAACTTGCTGCAATACACCATGGAGAATGTCGTGTTTCATCTTCTCCACAAGCGTATTCCACACTATTCCTTTGCGGACTTGACAACATGGTACAAGAGTGCAAAGCCTCGAGATCTAGCCAAAGCATTGGACTACTTCATCACCCGTGTTCAGCTTGATCTGGAGATCTTGGACGCAAACGAGCTCGTGCCTCGCACGTCTGAACAAGCTCGGTTACTTGGTGTCGACTTCTTCAGCGTCTTTAGTCGAGGCTCTCAGTTCAAAGTCGAGTCGCTCATGTTTCGTATCGCTAAACCAGAATCTTTCGTGCTGGTCTCCCCAAGTCGAAAACAAGTTGGTCAACAGAATGCTCTTGAATGTTTGCCGCTGGTCATGGAGCCACAAAGTGCTTTTTACAACAGCCCGCTACTTGTACTCGACTTCCAAAGTCTGTACCCGAGTGTGATGATTGCATACAACTATTGTTACTCTACGTGTCTTGGTCGTATCACACCATGGCGAGGTCAGAACAAGATGGGCTTCACGGACTTCAAACGTGATCCTGGTCTGCTTGATCTCGTCAAGGACAAGCTGAACATTTCTCCAAACGGCATGATGTACGTCAAGCCAGAGATGCGCAAGTCATTACTGGCAAAGATGCTGGGCGAGATCTTGGAAACCAGAGTTATGGTCAAGTCAGGCATGAAAGTAGACAAGGACGACAAGACACTGCAACAACTTCTCAACAACAGACAACTCGCCTTGAAGTTGATTGCGAACGTGACGTACGGCTACACATCTGCCTCCTTCTCTGGCCGCATGCCTTGTTCCGAAATCGCAGACTCCATTGTCCAAACCGGCAGAGAAACTCTCGAAAAAGCCATCGCACTCATTCACGCAACCTCAAGATGGGGAGCTGAAGTCGTCTACGGCGACACTGATTCACTATTCGTGTACCTCAAAGGCCGCAGCAAAGACGAAGCCTTCATTATCGGCGATGAAATCGCAAAAGCGGTCACAGACCTCAATCCTCGGCCCATCAAACTCAAGTTTGAAAAAGTATATCATCCCTGCGTGTTGTTGGCCAAGAAACGCTACGTGGGCTTCAAATATGAGCATCCTTCTCAAACCGAACCAGACTTTGACGCCAAAGGCATAGAAACAGTACGCAGAGACGGCACACCCGCCGAGCAAAAAATCGAGGAAAAAGCACTGAAACTGCTCTTCCGTACATCCGACCTCTCGCAAGTAAAACACTACTTCCAATCCCAATGCCACAAAATCATGACCGGCAAATTCAGCATCCAAGACTTTTGTTTCGCCAGAGAAGTCAAATTGGGCACGTATTCAGACAAAGGACCTGCTCCNCCCGGCGCCCTCATAGCAACCAAACGCATGCTCAAAGATGCTCGCCAGGAACCACAATACGGAGAACGCGTGCCTTATGTCGTCGTCGCCGGCGGCCCTGGCGCAAGACTCTTCGAACGCTGTGTCGACCCTTCCACCCTTCTATTCGACGAACACGCAGAACTCGATGCCGAGTACTACATTACCAAAAACTTGATCCCGCCTCTCGAGCGCATCTTCAATCTCGTGGGCGCAAATGTGCGTGCTTGGTATGAGGAGATGCCCAAAGTCCAACGAGTGCGCAGTGTTGGCGCTGGAGGTGTTGCAGGAAACACAAAGGCCATACACAAGACCATGGAGAGTTATATGCAAATCTCCACTTGCGTAGTCTGTCGCATCAAACTCTCGCCCCCAGCTCCCGGAACCATCTCCCTCCCTCTATGCGCAAACTGTGCCACAACACCCGCATTGACGCTTTTCGCCCTGCGCAACAAACTTCGCGTCGCCCATGCCAAAAAAACGGATCTGGATATAGTGTGCAGGAGTTGTGCTGATGTTTCTGTGGGCGACCAAGTCAAATGCGACAGTAGAGATTGTCCAGTCTTTTACAGTAGAGTAAAAGCTAGTGCGAAATGGAAGGTTGAAAAGGAGAGACTGGAAGGTGTCATTGAAGCGATAGAGAAGGCAGAGGAGAGGAGTGTTAGAGATATCTTTGAGTGGTGAGCGAGGATGAATGTGCGCAACAGCCCCTGCTATAGTATCTTGTGAATTATCGGAGAGGGTCATCCGGCCCTGCCAAATGGTTCCAGGAACACGACTTTTGGTGAACGATTATTCTTGAAGCTGTCGGGTGGGAAACCAGCTCACTTGACGACACCCAACGCGTCAACAGTTTTCGCTTTCGCAACACAATCTCAATCGAAGAACACAGAGCAGAGCGTGCACTCGAACATCACACTCCAAGTCAAGGATAACTTTCTTGACCAGAAACCGCAATCTCTCGCAACAACAATCGAATCTCTCCGTAAGCAATCGTCCAAGGGTGATGACAAACCGAGTGAGGCTAGCAGCTCGTCAACGGCAATGTTTGGTCTATCTACTGCGCCTGCAAGTCCACAGCCCGAGGACGCACAGGAAACAAACGTGCAAAAGACGCAGTCAACCAAATCTTGCTTGTCAATATCGGATCCTGTTCGGTCACAAATCGCAAAGAGCACCATTGGCAAAAAATCCGCGCCCACGAAGGAGAAACAGCTTCATGACGACGTGAGCCAGCAATATCAATCAATCACCTTCAAGAAATCGCTCAAGGGTTTCTCGTTAGAGGAGCTGAGATTGGCCGATGACAACAAGTTGTAGAGCACAAGGAGTGCGTTGAACACAGGCTCTGGTCTACTCACTGCAACTCCGACTCCGCAACGTTCAGAGGGCGAGACAGCAAACATTGATCAATCAGAGCTGTCTGCGCCGCTCGAAGAATCCACTAGAGCGCCAGTGAAGATGGATGACTCGCCCTCGATTGAGACATGCCAAGTAACAGAGACAGAAAGCACTCGATCAGCCCACGCAGTACAACCCGCGCCTCCATCGACGGCCACAGTTGCCACTAGTGCTTCAAGATCATTCTTTGGTCTGTCATCAAAGCCTAAGATGGACACCAAGATGTGGCCATCCTCTGTGTTCAAATTCAAGTCTGAGTCTACATATCCCAAGCCCAAATCTCGTATCGATCTTGTCTCTTGGAAGGCACGGCTGCAAACAACAAGCTTGCGACATCCTGGTTTCCTTCTTTTGTACCATCAAAACGAGAGGTCGGTCCTGCGGATACCACGTCTTTGTTCGATTCTTTGCCAAAGACGACGATTGCAGCTGATTCCACCTTCAGCAAGACCTCCGAGACAAATTCTTTGAAGAATCACGAAGCGAACACTCAGCCAGAAAGTTCTACTACGTCTGCGGGAACGTTTCTCCTTCACCGACACTACCAATACCGTGATGTTCAGCAAGACAACGACCACTGCTTTCAACCCATCGCCTGCTGCCTTCAGATTTAAGACTGAGGAGAATCTGAAGTACATGCAACTCCATCATACCAAGGACAACAAGACTTCAGGCGCAGACGAGCAATTGCGTACCACACCACTGGTCTCCCTCACAGTCAAGGAAGCGTCTGACGCTAGATACAGCATGGCCTCCATGTTTCCTCAATACGCTACTCTCGGCTGCCGCATTGCAGAGTCTGGAGATGAAAATGCTCATTATTTTCCTTGCCTCGCGTCGTTCTTTCGGTCTTTTGGTCTGTCTCGACGAAGAAATTGATCATGTTTCCAATAGGCTATCGAGAACCACAGTTGTATTAATATATCATACTGTCTCCGGTGAGGGTCCTCCTTCCGAAGCCATCTCAGTGGACTAGGCCTGTGGGATGAACTATATTGTGCATTTCTATAGTCATTTCGGATGCAGGTAAGTCAAGGAGAAATGGAAGCCCCTGAGCACAGAAGTACAATCCATCCAGCCCAAAAATAGTTTTCCTACTCCGTTCTCAGATGACCAGGGTGGTCGCGTGCCACATGCGATAGACATGGACAAATTTTGGAATGTTTTGTACAACGAAATGCAGACGCGCACCTTCTCTATAGACACCTTGTCGAAATGCCATGGAATAATCGTACAGACATGATCCTGCTGCTATGCATTACCAAACACGGCACAAAACTTGACCACCGATCTTTCTCTCGACACACTCTCTCGCCTCCATGATGCCCTTGTCGGTGCTGACAAAGATGCACTCGCCAACTTGTCTCAACCCCCTGACAAACTTGCAATCCTTGCCCCTCACAATCTCGCCCAACTCATTGCTGCTCAGCCAGATGCGCTTGGTGGGCTTTGACAACAACTGCATCTTGCGCAACACGGGCTCGCCGTCCCAGTACTTCATGCCCAGCCATAGACGCCTGGATGCGCGGTTTTGCTGTGTGACGTGCTCGGCTTCTGGTGATGCTGCGGTGGGCGCGTCGTCGGAGTGGGTGGGTGGGAGGAGTTTCAAGGGTGGGGTGGGCCCGCCGAGGGTGACGGTGGAGAGGAAGCCTTGCTTTTGGAGCAGCAGGGAGAGTGAGAGGTGGAGTTTGGAGAGGGGGATGGAGGTGAGGCCGAGGCGGGCGAGGGAGGCGTTTTGCATGTGTGAGCAGACGTGGGCGAGGTTGACCAGGGACATGGTGATGGTGTTGGGTGTCGCCCTCTCGGCGCGAGTTGTGGTGGGGTGTTGGATTTGGTTGGAAGAGTCCTGGGTCGACTGGTAGATGTGTGGACCAGAAGTGATTGCGCGTGGCTGGAGCGAATGTGTAGTTGGTATAGGCAGATGGTGATAATTAATTCATGGACCTCGCCGCGACCGACTTTCTCACTTTCTCTTGGCATTCGGGCATAAGTCCTTAGAAGCGGCCAATCAACGTGCGGCGCCTCGCTCTCACCACATCAACCATCCGATCCTGTTTGCAACACCGTAAGCGCCCGACTACCACCAATTGCAGTACAAAGACCGAGGACGATTACAAGTGATGCCATTTATATATATAGCCCCTCACCCCCACCATCCACATGTCTCCGCTCATTCTCCTGCTGCTGGGCCTGCTGCTCAAGTTTCCCACGGCCTTTTCTATTGAATACATTTTCAATTACCTCTGCACTGACTACGTCGCTCATCTGGTCGAGTTTGTCGAGGCTTACATTCATGTTGTTGATGTTGTGAGATATCAGCCACATCGAGAGAGATTGCAGAGAGAACGTCAGACTCGTCCGTGAACATGCCTCCCTTGCCAGGAGAGACTTTGCTCCTCAACATGTAAGTTGATTGTTTCTACTACTCCCATCTTCTGTCTGACTTGCTATAGNNCTTTACAGATGTGCACACCTACTTTAACCAGCCTTTGTCGAAGCCTGTTCATCATCGCTTTGACAAGGGCTCGTATCTGTATCTCTACTACAACTCGACCCAGCGTCGAGCACGTCTTGAGATAGCCAATTCCGCTGGTACGCCAGATCAGGATGCTTTCAATGGCNNTGTATGTCTGACCTATATCGTGTCGCCATTCGGCATGTTTGGCTGACCATCTTGTGCAGATCTGGATCATGCCATGTTGACCAACACATACAAGCATCCAAACTTGTTCACCATAGCTGTCGAAGGTGTCAAGCATGGTGGAACTTCACCACGTCCGGCCGATCACTCGCATTGGCATCTCCCTGCTTTCGGCCTTACACATGAGCACAAGTATCTATACAAGATACACACACTGGACCTCTACCTATGGACTGCCAATGATGCCATGAAGTTGCTGGATCTGATAAAGCGCATCATGCCCCATCAACATCTCGACATCACCGAGGCAGCACCTCCTCCAGAGCACGATGGCAGCATGAGTCCAGTGGTACAACAGCTCGAGAACATGGCTGTCCATACCCCTCCTCATGCCCGGGCACCGAGTACCGTGTCGAACTTGTCGAATCAGAGTCGCCATGGCCATACACCTGAAGGTCAGAGGTCGGTGTCTCTACAGTCGGCTCTGGCGTCTGCACCTTCATCGGCAGCTCAGTTGGCACCATACAATCCCGCGGCACCTGCAGCTCCCGAGCCGATTGCCCACCGTGAGAAGACACCACCACCTATAGATGCAGGCGGTGGGACAGGACTTGCAGCTGCGGCAACACACGAGCAGCCTGGTGCTTTCACAAAAGCAGGTGCTCAGTGTCACCAAGCTATGCCACACAACACATTCCCTGGTCCACCGCAGCGAGCGACAAGTATAGGCTCTTTTCCGCCTCCGCCACCTCTCGCTGCACACTCTCCACATTCTGGCCTGCAGACGGCGCATTCATTTGCAGGACCTCGGAGCATTTCACAAAGCAGTACGCCTCAGCAGCAGCATGCTCAAGCACAATATGCGTCTTACCCGCAACACCAGTCGGCACACTACCCACAATCCCCAGGCTTCCAGATGCACACACCCTTGCAATCACCAGGAATCCCAAACACACCCAGCCAGCCACCCGCATACGGTATACACACACCTCTACAGTCAGCAGGATTCGCGCCACAGCAAACACCTCAATCGCCAGGATTGCCTCTTAGTCCTCATGGAGGCTATTCGAATTATACATATGGATCACAATCGTCGCAGCCAACGTTGCCGACAGAGGCATATGCGGTACACAGTCTTTCCTACAGGCCGACAGAGCAGGAAGCAGCGCATGGACACGGGCCTAAAGTAGCGGCGCAATCACCAAAACCTGGAGGGTTTGAGGAGCGGCTGAAGAAGACGGAGAAGGGGGTGGGAAGGTTCCTGAGGAAGTTGGACCAGAAGATGTAGAGAGACCTTAGGTGGTGCCGATGTCGCAAAGTTTGGCGGGGATGACGTGCGGGCTGTCAGGGTCAGGGCGAGCCAAAAAGTTGTCGAAACGGCAATAATAATACACGTTCTAGATAGCTACAGGTTGCGAATTGAGGATTGCAAAGATGAATTGTGGTGGAGCATGGCCGGTGTTTGAAGCGGCGTCGTCAGAGAATGGAGTTGCGAGTGGTGAGTCAAACACGAGTTGGACCAAGATGCAGCGCAGCACGCGACTGTCGATGGTCTAAAGCTGCGATAAGCGACCACCTTCCCTCTTGAAGAGCTGCACCATGTCGTCGCGGTCTCGATTACGCTTGTCGCTGACGGTGGATTCGTCCAACGCAGGCTCAGAAACGGACGAGCAGCTGCTTCCGCAACGACCGTTGTTTGCCGGCGACAGAAAGGGCAGCTACCCCCAGGACACCGACACACAGCAACAACCACACAACCTGCCCACCCTCTCCCACCGATTACGCCACGATGCTTCCATCCTCGCCCTCGCCCTCTCGGACAATGCCGTCTTTGCCGGCACTCAACGCGGCGAGATCCTCGTCTATTCGCTCGACACGTACGACCGCATTGCCCTGCTCGAAGCGCACAAGAGCAGCGTCCTCGACCTGTGCATCTGCCCCGACGAGAATCTACTCTTCTCCACCGCCGCCGACCGCATCACAAACGTCTGGGACCTGAACACCTACCAACACGTCTACTCGCTGTACTCACGCTATGATACCGGCGATGTCTTTTGTGTCGCCTACTCGTCTCTGCTGCGGACCGTATACCTAGGCGCGCAAAACACCAGTATCCAGTGGTATGACTTGAAAGAGAAGGACCATAGACCCAAGCCAAAGTTGAATGATCATCCGTCGTTGAGGGAGGATCCCTTCTTTGACTCGAGGGGGCCTGGTGGTGTCAGGACTCCTCGACCCGCAGACCAGGGTCTTCCTGCGAGGCATGCTGCTGGAGGTGATGTTCTCGAGATTGATCGGGACAACATCAAGCACTTTGCCCATTATGGCTATGTCTATTGCATGATGTTGGCNAAGGGTGTTGTGCCCGATGCTCCCGGTGATCAGGTCTTGATCTCTGCTGGTGGAGACGGCGTTATCAATCTGTGGACCATGGATGCGAATCGTGGAGGTGCCATTGATCTGCTCTACACGCTTGACGATGGCAGAGAGGAAGGCCAGTCTATCTTGTCTATCGCCATCGACGCTACCTTCCTCTACTCTGGTCGAACTGGTGGCGAGGTCAACGTCTGGGACTTGGAGACGAGACAGCTCGTCCGGAGTTTGAAAGCCCACAGAGATGATGTCCTGTCAATCTGTATCGGCGGCGGCTATATGTTTTCTGCCGCCGTCACTGGTTATGTCAGGGTGAGTCAACCATCTCATAACATACTGACAATACTCTAACGTTCAGCANNGAAATTTGATCGCCAATACCAATGCGCCAGCAGACTTCGCGCTCACGAAGGCCAGATCTTGACTTCAGCCTTTACATACCACAAGGGCAAACCTCTGTATGTGACAGGTGCCAATGACAGCACCGTGGCTGTCTGGGATGTCAGCGATTGCATCATGTCTCCCACTGCTGTCAAGAGGACTACCGACGAGCAGATGCTTGACCATCTCAAACGCTTCATTGCATACCGCACTGTCTCTTCCGACCCGAAGTACAAGGGTGACTGCCGTCGCGGTGCCTCATATCTTCGCCAAGTCTTCAAGAGCTTTGGTGCTGTCACCGAGATGCTGCCAACCGAAGACGGCTCCAACCCTGTCATCTTTGCTCGCTTCAGAGGAAATCCAGCCACTGCAGCAACTAGAAAGAAGATCTTGTTCTACGGTCACTACGACGTCGTTGCTGCCGACAACGAGCAAGGCAAGTGGGTTACTGATCCCTTTGTCATGGAGGGCTTGGACGGTTATCTCTACGGAAGAGGCACTTCGGACAACAAAGGTCCGATCATGGCTGCAATCTTCGCCTGCGCCGAACTCATGTCTGAACAAGCCCTTGGCTCAGACGTCATCTTCCTCATCGAAGGTGAAGAAGAAAGCGGTTCGCGCGGTTTTGCAAATGCCATCAAACAGCACAAACAGAGCATCGGAGACGTCGACTGGATCCTGCTTGCGAACAGTTATTGGCTGGACGACTCGATACCCTGCGTCACCTACGGCCTTCGCGGCGTTATTCACGCTACTGTTCAAGTTGAAAGTGATCATCCTGACTTGCACAGTGGTGTTGACGGAAGTTCGCAGCTTGACGAGCCGTTGAAGGATCTTGTCATGTTGCTGTCTACCCTGACAGGCACTCATGGCAAAGTCAAGATTCCTAGCTTCTACGACCCTATCCCAGAATTGAGCAAGGAAGAAGAGATCTTGTATGAAGACATTACACAAGCCTTGGTCGCGAGGAATCCAGATCTTGGCGACCCTCACGACCTTGCACTTTCCCTGATGCGTCGCTGGCGAGAGGCTTCGTTGACAGTCCATCGTTTTCAAACCTCTGGTCCCGCAAACGCAACCATCATCCCTAGACTTGCACAAGCAGCTCTATCACTTCGCTTGGTGCCGAATCAAGAAGCAGACACTGTCGGCGAAGCACTAACCAAATACCTACAGTCCGAATTCAACAAGCTCGGCTCGCACAACTGTATGACCGTCACCATCGACCACCAAGCCGAACCCTGGCTCGGCGACTTCAACAACCAAATCTTCCAAACCCTCGACAAAGCCATCATGGACGTCTGGGGTCCCATCCCCGAGGTGCCCCAACACCGCAGAAAGTCTTCCCTGGCGGTGACCAAAGAGAACGAACTCAAAGTCACCATACCCAAAAAGGAAGAAGTGCAAAACTCACACGCATCCAAACCTTCACCAACCACCTCTTCCGTCCTCGCAAACGGCGGCCCCAATTCCTCTGCGTTATCAGACATCACCAACGACCCCCTATCTCTACCTCTCCCACGACTATCTGCAAAGAAATCGCGCACCAAACCTCTATATATCAGAGAAGGAGGATCCATCCCCGCAATCAGGTTTCTGGAAAAGGAATTTGGGGCTCCGGCTGCGCATTTTCCTTGCGGTCAGGCCTCGGATTCTGCACATTTGGACAATGAGAGATTGAGATTGACGAATTTGTACAAGAGTAAGGATATTTTCAAGAGGGTGTTTAGGGAGTTGCCTACGAAGTAGTAGTGAATGACGAGAATAAAAGCGGTGCAGAGGCAAGAAAGCTAATAGGGGGTTTGGGAATTGAGTTGTGGTTTTTGAACTCGTTGCATAGCATGAAGGCTTGGATTTGGAAGGACAAAAGACATGGACGCGGACTGGAGGCGATCTTGGGGTTTCTTTGGCAAGATTGTTGTTTCTTGTTTTTGCTTCTCTCTTCCTTTGGTCTAGAAGAGCAGCGATACCCGCCTTTTTCTGGTGTACAAAAGCGTTGAACAACGACTGACTAAAGTACGAAATTCTATGTGCTAAAGGAATGCCCTGTTTTGCGCAGAGTGATGGGTGTGAGCCATGCAAGATGTGTATGCCTCGCCTCACGAATACGGTCATAAAGGTGCATGTTTGACGCTGTGTACGAAAGTGGAGCTCGGATGGCTCTTTGCGAAAGCTAGACTGTTTGGTAACCGCGCGCTTGAGAGTGGTCCGCTTCAATGTGATGGGTAGCGTGTCGCACGTACACTACTTCTCGCAAGCCTGGTACCGGTATGCTGTTGTTGGTCTGGATCGAGATTGGATGGTTTTTCGAGACCAAGACCAATTTCGCAACAGTATAGGCGCTGGACCTCGTCTTTTTTTTTTTTCGATCTGGTCTCTATCCTTGGGTGTTGTCCAGGCGCCCTCTGGCATCCGAAGCCATAATCCTCTTGTATAAAGGGCTCTGATTTTGACCAAGTCGCTCGGTTTCACCACATCAGATCTTTCCCGACACAAGCCCAGCTTCCCGTCTGAAACATTCTCACCGTTCATCAACCCCGACCTTTGTCGAATCTGATCACGATGCAAGCGACCAAATCTCGTTTGGTCAAATACATTGGCTCGACTCCTCCAAACATGCTTCCTGCCGCGTTCCGAGCAAGCTTGGGCGGGCTGAGTAAGGATATTGAGAAAAAGGCATGAGCATGTATATATGGTTGAGACTTGTTGCCAAATCTGATCCGACGCTCGTGATATAGTACAACAAGGTGACAGATGCCAAGATTCAGTGAGTGTGTCATCTTGACCTGGACGCTCTCCCACACTTTGCACAGGCTGATCATGGTCCTATCGTTTCTCGTATCATAGGGGCGACAAGCCTCACAAATCGTCCAAGGATCCAGATGACAAGAAGGATGTCATTACAGTCAGCTACCACACCGCCCGAGGCACCCGTGTCACATCGGTGCACTTGCACGAGGACGGAACTTACAAGGAGTTTCCCTCTCGCAATGCAGACAAGGGAAAGTGAATCGACAAGCACATCGGAGGCACGCGATCCTGGAGGACTGGAAGCAGTTGTGCTGAGGAGGCCCAAAGTTCCGAAAGGAGGCGAATGGCATGAATCAAAGTCGACGAGACTCGTGGCTGGACCATGTGCCAGTTCGGACATATGTAGCAGAGACTGTGTGTTGTGTTCTTCAGTGCATGCGATTATTGACTGCGGCGTGTTGGCCAAACAGTTTCCGCGAATCGTGGCATTGAAGCCCCCCCTTCCAGTGAGATGGCCGCTTCTCAAACCGTTTTGTTGTTTCTCGCAGGTCGGGTACTGCAACCGCGATACGACTGTTGTACTCTCCATGCTTGTAGATACGGCCAGACTTGGAACTCTTGATCTCTACTGTGGTATCTTGGCAAAAGCCGCAGGTTTCTATCGAAGGACCGGGCGCCAGGATGAATCGTTCCAGGCAGCCGAGGCTGAAGACGTGTGGATAATCACACCACCGTAAGAAGATGCGCAGTGGTCATTCGACAGGGACAAAGGAACGTACGAATGGTGCCGTACAATGCATACGTACAAGCGGCAATACTAGTGTGTTCAGATGTTCTGCAGTTTGTTGTTGGTTGGATGACCGCTAACAGGAGCTGTTGTACTACTAAGCGCCCGTCATGATTCATGAACGTGTCCGTGCGTCTGCGCCAAGTATAGCGCCCGCTAAAAGCAGTAACAGACACGAAGCTACTCAATCAACACCTCCTCAATCATGCCATAAAAATGTTCAAGATCCCACACCCAACGAGTCTGGCAGAAGCTCGAACGATAGTAAAGAGCCCTCCGCTCGCGTGTCGTTACACATACAATCAATCTTTACCACAAAGACGTCTCAGCGTACGTCTGATCAACCAGATAAGCAGCATGCCTGTTCGGGCATGCAAAACACCAAGCGACAACTTCCCGCGGCTCCCAGAGGATCGAAAATTTGAAGAAGAGCGATATCCTGATTACAAGGCGCACAAATACTACCCTGTCCGTCTGGGCGAGACATTCGCGTCGAGATATCGAGTCATAGCAAAGCTAGGTTATGGGACCGCGTCCACTGTTTGGCTAACCCGGGATCTCGAGTTGAGTCGGTTGCTGCCTTGAAGTGGCTTTCTGATGCTTTGGTTCGGTTCTAACGTCCCCGACAGGCAAGACACGCTGGTTACACTCAAAGTCTGCACCCTCGGCCAGGACGAGTCCAACGAACTAGCCATTTCTCACCACATCAGATCTGTCGAAGGCGACCATGCTGGCAAGCAAAGACTCCGTGTCGCCATTGACGATTTCCGTGTTCGTGGACCTCATGGCATGCATCAATGTCTGGTGTTTCCCGCTCTGGGGCGTACGCTCGCTCAGCTGCGAGATGCGTTTGAAGACCAAAGATTCGACACACTTTTGCTGCAAAGATGTCTGCTCGGTATTGTCCAAGGCCTGGACTTTTTGCATCAAGCAGGTGTCGTGCATACGGGTGTGTCGGAATCCATTTGTTCATCTCATATCAGATATCGCAATACGTGGACATGGAGAAAAAAGTAAAGATGGAAAGAAAAAAAAATGTCTGCTAACTGTGGTCATTCCCTTACCCANGATCTCTCTCCCAACAACATCCTCATGCAAGCCGACGAGGAAACAATCGCCAAAGTGCAAGAAGCAGAGATGGCGACCCCGTCGCCGAGAAAGGTGTGCCGGGATCGTGTCATCCATCTTTCATACACGATGCCGACTTCATACAAAGACCCCATCATCACAGATTTCGGTGCCGCGCGCCTGGGCGAACCGCATGGAAAGTACAGCGGAGACGTCATGCCTGGAGTCTATCGGGCACCGGAAGTGATCGCAGCAATGGACTGGGATTCGAAGATTGATATCTGGGCCTTGGGCGTCATGGTGTGTGTGTTTGTGTTTCCGTTTCTCTGCCCTTTCTTTTCCATTTCTGTCATCTTTTTGTTTTTCAAAGACCCGTCATTCCTATCCTCCCCCTACAAAAGATGTGACTTATTCTAAAACTAATCTCTTTGTAGNATCTGGGATCTGTTTGAAGACGGCAATTTGTTTGCCGCATATGGCCCCGATGGCCACCTGAATGACGAACTCCACTTTGCGCAAATGATCTCTCTACTGGGCCCTCCACCCAAAGAATTCCTAGACAGGATGAGTGAGCCATTACGTTGTCGGTTCTGGAACTCTTCTGGTGAGTAAAAAAGAGAGGGGAAAAGAAAGAAAAAAGAACACCACCCTCTCCCTCATTTATTGTTCAATATCTCCCCTGCCACAATTCCTCGCACTCGGGTTTTTCTATCCTTCCCAACGCCAAAACCGAAGAGAGAGAAGAGAGTGGGAAACGAAAAAGGAAAAAAAAAAAAGGAACAAAGACTCCCCCGAATGAAACCAACACTAAATCAATCAAAATCAACAGGCATCTGGATAGCGAAAACACCGATTCCTTGTACAGACCTCGCGACACGCGAGTGCCGGCTCCAAGGCAGGGACAAGGAGCTTTTGCTGCGGCTGATGCGCAAACTGCTTACTTGGCTGCCCGAAGACAGAGCTAAAGCCGCCGAGCTTTACAGAGATGAGTTCATCTATCAATGGGTCGACTATGTGATGGATCTCGCACAAGGAAAGAGAGTCACTTAGAAGCTGATGGGTTTGGGGACGGGCCACAACTTGCAAAAGGCAAGAGAAGGAGGAGAAAGAAAAATACAAGAGAGGGGGAAAACACTGTGAGAGATGAAAAGGTGGAAAGAAAGGAGACGACAAAAATCTAGAGTTGAACATGGGGTCTGGGTAGGAGGCTACATCTTTACACAATCTAGTCACTCTTACAATTCACCGCTAAACCAGTAAATACAAACTGGCCAAAAGGACACTTTTATATGCCAACCGACCATCTTGAACAATGAACAAAGGGCACAGGAATTTTTAATGATGACCCTAAAAGGTATGGCTTTTGCAGGCCAAAAAATAAAATAGAAAGGCCGCTAGCAAGGACGCGCGTCCAGATCAGCTCCCCCAGAAAGCCAAGAACACATTCTCAAAGGCTTGACAAAGCTTGTCCCCCTGTCCAAAAAAAGCTTGAATACGATAAATGATGAGTGCTAGTGCTGTTTTAAGCACGGCAGACATTTTATGGCAATAAGAATGCCGTCGGTTACGGGAATAAAATAAAAGGAACATGGCATGTTCTTGTCAGTGTGGTTCGGTGGAGCACTTGATTTGTCGCAGACTACAGAAGTCCTCGTGGAGAAGGCGGCCGTGATACATGACTATATATTTGCTTTCACTATCTCTCCTGTAGGTGTTGGCGTTGTTTTTCTTGACTGTGAGAATGCAGGACAACGTCAGAAAACAAAAAGGTGGCCAGGGAGAGGAGTTGGCTTCATGCTCTCTCCGTGGACGGCTTCCCAGCGATGAAGGTTTTTGTGCATTTTCACAGTCTCCTGTACTCGTCTGGGTTAGACCTGAAGATTGAGATAAATAGTCATATATTCATAATTGTGTCTAGAGAGGAAGAAAAAAGAGAGAAGAAAGCCACATCACACCATATCACTCCACTCATTGTAAGCCTTGATCTCTGGCCCTGACCACTTGTCCCCATACGGATTGACTCTTTCACCGGCGAAAAAGCCGTCCTGAGCAGATTGCAAGACATCAAGCCATGAACTTGGCTCCGGCTCTTTGAGCCATTGATTGTGGATATGATATGTCCAAGCACCGCGGAAGAAGTTCTCTAACGTGCGATTGTTGGGTGGGTATTTGTCTTCGGTGAGGCGGTAGTCTTTGACGATGCCTGCTTTGCATAGAGCTGCGACCTCAGAGGCAGAGGAGGTGAAGGAGTCCATAGGGCCTGGCATGGGTGTGATGTTGATGTGGTTCGAGGAGGAAGAGGAGGAGACACTGTCCATAGGCGCGACGTTGCGAGGGAACTTTGCAGACTTGAGGCATTGCGACACCTGAGACAGGATATCTTTCTTTGGAGTGAAAGTTGTGTTCAGATCCAAGCGGTCGAGTTGGGGGCCATCGTAGCTTTCCCATTCATCTTTGAGAGCGTTTGGCTTGCCTTTGAAGACGGCGCTGTAGTCGCGGAGACAAGGGACTGTACAGCGGCCTTGACGGTCCCAGTTGAACTCGGTCCAGATGGGGTCGAAGGCGGCAGTTTCGAGCATAGGAAACTCGAGATCACGGCCCTGTTTCCAGATCATGCGGCCAATGACTCGGGGGTGAAAGTTGAGGCCCATGCGAACGCCTCCTCGTAACAGATAGCTGGAAAGAGAAGTGTTGGCAGACAGAGACATGATGGCTGTGTTGTAGTCTCCAGGATTGTTGTGAGCTCCCCAACGTTCGGCGAAGTCGTGCTTTTTGGGAATGAGCAAAGGTCGCATGTCGCGGAGCATCAGGGCATCCATGTCCAGGTAGACACCTCCATGCTGATGCAAGATGATAAATCGCACCGTGTCGGAGATTGCTTGAGGGAAGAAGGTCATTTGCTTGGGTGTGAGAGTGATCCATTGCTGGCCGCTGGCGTCTTCGACGAGACCATCTGCAATGGCAACTTCGCCCTGAGCGTTGATCTTGCCTTTGGTCTTGTAGTAGCCCACTCCGTCAGTATTGTCGAATTGCTTTGGTAGAGGCATCCTGGTGGGGAACTTCCAGGGCAAGACTTTGATATCGCCTCGCTCGACCAGCGGCAGGAAGCGAGCAAACAGGGCGTCGTGATTCATCAGTTTGTCGACAGCATCTGGAGCTCTGTCGGTGTCTGCCCAAAGCCAGAGCCGACTGCAGGGCAAATTCTGTGTGTAGAGGTAAGACTTGACGAAGACTTCGAGACGCCATGTCGCGGGACCGGCCCAGTAGACGTGGTATGGAATGATGGGGCCAGCGCATGTTCCAAGATTCGTCTTTGAAGGAGCTTTTGCATCCTTGACCGAGACGTAGTTCATCAATGTGTTTCCATGTCCATCTGCGTTCAAATACTCTGCCCCCCTAGGGTCTTGCTCACTTGCGCGGTCGACCTGTTCCGGCAAAAGATAGTACTTGTCCTCGGCTCCCGACAGAAACTCCAAACAACTGAAAACATCTCGCATCTTCTCCACGCCTTCGTATGTTCCCCTGCACTCTTTCACAAGCAGTTCGATATCGGCTTCCGTGTCGACATGAGGTCTGGGGCCGAAAAAGTCGTCTCGCGGAACGACTGCGCTCGAGGGACGATTGAAGACATTGGCGTGAGGATTGATGGTGACGGTACGGGATGCGCCAGCCAGCTTGATCTGGACATTGCCCGACTTTGTCTGCTTGACAGTGTCGGCATGGGCCAGAAGAGCAACTTNTTGGCGGGCTTNTTGTCGCGCTGAAGGATCCTGTGCTAGGTGGATAGTGGCATAGATGGAGGTGTAAAGAATGAGGGCTAGAAAGAGGTTGCGAATGAGGGAGAAGCATGCGCGAGCTCGTCCTTCAGGCATTGTAGCTTGGTCGGATTTAGGAGTAGGACTCGAAATCCCAGGAGTTCGCAGGAAGAATACCGCCGAGCGAGTCCAAAGGTGACTGAGTCCAAGGGTGACTGGTTCAAGACTCGTTTGAATGAGCGACTTTCGATGGGTTATTGGCCGCGCATAACAATGGTCGAGTCCGGGGTTCGTGCAACAAGGGCCAGGCGAAAGATTAGGTGAGATGGTCACAAGGCGTGGGAGAATCAAGGTCGACAAGGACAGTGGAGAGGACGAGGGGTCTACATGAGGCATCTAGCAAGCGACAGAGAGAACAGGCTGTGAGTCCGCCCATGTTCATGGCTGAGGACTAGACATGTCGATCAACGCCGCATTCATCGACCAGGGTCTCTTAGCGTTCGCTCATCAAAGCTTGTGCCTTTTGACCTTCCAAAGGGGTTCGTGTTCCCCACAAAGCTGCAAAAACGTGCCGAGATAATTCACCACCCGCTGTCGACGACGACGCCAGCCGCAATTTCCTCTGCCTTTCTGAAGTCACTCAACCCGAGTGACACCTTCCTTATTTACCCTTGGTCTACTCATCTTGCCGCGCCTGTTTCATTCTCCATGCTTTTTCTCAGACGCCCTCAACAGACGTCTCTTTTTCACATCTGTCGCTGCCTGAGCCGCAGCGGTTACTCGACACTATCTTCCTCGCACAGAGACCAAGTGACCATTCCGTGTAGATCAAATGGCCACATCACACTAAGGCAAGTCATCGTCGTCGTCGTCAACTTTTCGGCCCGTATATCCCTCATCGTATGTCCATCGAGTACCTGGTCGGCTTGCGTAACGCATCCTTCTGACTCTAATCTCCTAAAAGCCTTTCTACCCTCGTCTTGCTTCGGGCCCCGCGCCCTCCACCATCTCATATCTGTCTCCCGGCCCTTTGCTGCCTCCTGCGTTACCCACTACTGATGTTGGCGCTGCTGACTCTGATTTTCCAAAAGTTTGTTCCACTCTCGTCTTGCTTCGGGCTCCGCGCCCTCCATCATCTTGTATCTTCCTCCCGGCCCTTTGCTGCCTGCTGCCTTGCCTACCGTCGATGTTGGCGCTGCGCTTTCGTCAGTGACGTCGGCTACTGTTGTGCAGATCAACTATCGCTGCGCGCAAGAACATCGCTTTCCCACTCCCATTCATGATGTCTTGACAGGATATGATTGGATTTTGGAGCATCTTGTTCCTAGCAGATCCTTCTATCGTCCCGGTCGTTCTGCGAACCATAGAGTCAAGCTAGCGGTATGTGGTGAGCTTATTGGTGGCAGTCTTGCTACCATGCTCACATTGACCGAATGTCGTCTTCAAGGCCCATACGTCGCCGCTGCTGCCATCAATGAACCTATCCTAGATTGGGTCTTTCCTGAGGATGGCCAAGTTGAACACGAAACCTCCGTCGATCGTCTTGCCTCATATATTCAAGGCCGGAAACCTAGGTCAAAATTGAAATCTCGACAGACGAGTTTTTCGAAATTTGGAGAGAACAGCATCTTGAACGCCGGTACACTTCTCAAAGCAAGACACAATCTCTTCAGACGTCCCGAGGACTACTTCGACACATTTGCATCGCCAATCTTCAACCTCCGTACGCCAGGAGTTTCAGTACCACCACCACAACCAAAATCACCTTCCGACGAGTTTGCCGAGCTCGCTTTGTTCGAACGTGATGATTTTCATCGGCAGCAGATGAAGATGAGCTCACTGTCATACAGACTACAAAATCAAGAAAAGCAGGAAGAAGACACTGCAGAGGCAAGGAAACCCCGGAAATCTCACCGAACATGGCCCAACGCAGGCAGCGGGTTGAGAATACCTCAGATGCGCATCTCGTCTGCAGTGACTAGTCCACTGTCAGACCAGGCCAATGAGTTTGCTCGACTGATGCAGAAAAGTATCGTGTCACAGGAGATCAAGACCGTAGAGGCTGAGGGAGATGACATGGCCAAGGAAGCTGCATACATGCTTGCTGAGCGCCAGATACATCACCGACAGCCCGATGCTTTGCGTCTATGGTCATTGGGTCAAACTCATGATTTGCGACATATCGCCCACTGGTGCGAACAAATTCTCGAACAGTGACAGAAGCTGTAATATGATTATCCTACACCGACATCTCGTGACCGACCTTGATTGTGATGAACAAATTTGACCAGGATTCGCAAAAGTCTGTTGAGCGCCTCTTCCATAACCTTGAGGCTTGAACACGAGCATCGGGCTTCACTCTGAGACACAGTAATATTGTAAACTGTAGGAATGCACAACAGTTTCCAGAAAGAAGCCTTGCCCACTGAGAGTCATGATTACACCGGCTCTCCTTGGACTATTCTCTATTCTGATAAAAGAATTGTGCATTTGTATAGCTACATCGTGACCGTCTATCGCACATGAAGAGCACGATGTTCCGAAAATTCCCCACAACCTTTTGTCTTCCGCTGCGTTTCCCCACCAACCAGTTGTTGACAGCACCCGTGGGGGTTGTGCATCATCGCGAAGCAACCTCACAATTCCCTCTGCGCCGTTTTGCTACATTCCAGAATTGCAAACGGCTAAAAAGTCAACAATGCCTTCAGAAGACGAAAGAAGACACGAACGCAGTGAACGACATCAACGACATCAACGACGCAAAGGCCACCGCTACAATGACAGCACAAGCGAATTATTGCCTCCATCTCCAAAACATCACCACAGAAGGCGCGATTCAGAATCACATCACAGAAGACGCGAGTCAGAATCACAGAGCCCTAGAAAAGAACGATCAAGGAAAAAGCGATATCAATATCCAGAAGATGAATACAGCAACGACAGCAGTAAAGGCACGAGTAACACATTAAGTGCAGACGCATTAGCGCACTTCAACACACTGAACACAAAAGACGTGGCATGGAACAGTAATGGCGGAACCAAAGATGCAAAAAGATACAGAAGTGTCGAGGAAGAGGCAGAGCGAGCAGAGAGAAGGGAAAGACGAGAAAAAAGGAGAAGGCAGAGAGAACAGCAAGGCGAACATCGGCATAAGGAGACAAGAAAGCAATCGAGAGTTGTCAGTGGGACATACCTTGAACGTGGTGCTGAGCCTTATGACGAAAAGGTTGTTCTTGTTGATAAGCAAGGGCGCATGAGAGGTGGTGCTGGTAGCGATTTATCCTCAGAAGACGAGGCGCGAAGGCGGAAACGGAAGAGGATCGGTAAGTTTTGTTGCGCAAAGCTCGAGAATTCCTGTTCTGATGAGGTTTGTAGGCATCGTCGGTATCATCGTGATAGTCATATTGGCGATCGTGATCCCAGTCGGCGTGGTCCTGTCGAACAAGAACAAGTCTTCATCTCCTGCACATACAGCCAACGACTCATCAACTTCATCAAACTCACCATCGAACAAGAANNTTTGGATGGTATGTCGGAGTCAGATATCCCAAAGGAAGCCCAAGGAACAGTCTTGGATCCCTTTACCTGGTACGACACCACAGACTTTAATGTCACATACACAGCAGCAACGATAGGCGGGCTTTCTATCATGGGACTCAACGACACCTGGAATGACTCGACAAGAGCGAACGACAATGTGCCTGCCCTCAATGAGTCCTGGGAATACGGCAAGATGCCCATCAGAGGTGTCAATGTTGGTGGCTGGCTCAGCATCGAACCAGTCATTACACCCTCCCTCTTTTCCGACTTTAAGACCAGTGATGGAGTCATTGACGAGTGGACGCTATGCAGCAAACTGGGTGCCAGCAGGGCTCAATCAACACTGGAGAAACACTACGCTTCCTTCATCACAGAAGCAGATTTTGCAGGCATCCAAGCAGCTGGTTTTGATCACGTACGCATACCGTTTTCTTACTGGGCAGTAACGACCTACGATAATGACCCCTACGTCGCCAAGATTTCCTGGCGATATCTACTTCGAGCAATAGAATGGGCTCGCAGATATGGATTACGCATCAATCTCGACTTGCACGGCGCTCCAGGCTCTCAAAATGGATGGAACCACAGCGGCCACCAAGGTGCAATAAACTGGTTGAATGGCACCGATGGCACACTCAATGGCCAACGCACCCTAGACATACATTCCCAACTCTCCACTTTCTTTGCCCAACCTCGCTATAAGAACATAATAACCATCTACGGTCTAGTCAACGAGCCCAAAATGACATATCTGGATGTCGACACTGTGCTCAGCTGGACGAAATCCGCCATCCAAAAGATTCGCGCCAACAACTTGACCTCCATAGTAACCTTTGGAGACGGCTTCAGAGGCTTGGACAACTGGCAAGGCGAGCTGCAAGATTTCGACAACTTACTCTTGGATGTGCACCAATACGTCATTTTCAACAACCAACAAATCGCCCTCGACCACAGTAACAAAGTCTCCTTTGCATGCAGCGGCTGGACAAACCAAACCCTTCGCAGCAGCAACAAAGCCACTGGATTCGGTCCCACATTATGCGGCGAATGGTCCCAAGCAGACACGGATTGTGCCACCTACCTCAACAACGTAGGCGTAGGGTCTCGCTGGGAAGGAACTCTAAACATGGTTTCTACACCTGGTGGCTCGCTGTCTGGCAGTGTTCTCTCTCCCACATGTCCAACATCAAACTCCCCACGCTGCTCTTGCTCTAACGCCAATGCTTCTCCATCTTCCTACTCAGACGGCTACAAACAGTTTCTACTCGACTTTGCGGAAGCGCAAATGTTTAGTTTTGAGCAGGGATGGGGTTGGTTCTACTGGACGTGGAAGACGGAGTCGGCGACGCAGTGGAGTTATAAAGATGGATTGGCTGCAGGTATCTTGCCGCAAAAGACGTGGGATAGAAGTTTCAAGTGCGGGAGTGTCCCTGATTATGGGGCTTTGGAATTGCCGGAGAATTATTAGGTGTGTGTTGGATGATCAGCAGTGGCTCTGTGAAGGGGAAGAGGTTGATTGGAGAGGCTCTCTCTTGGATAGCTTTGTGGGAGAAAAGCACTGTGCGGTTCCATGGTCAAACTGCTATAGCAGACCGACTGTGAGAGTTTTTCAATTCCTACCCTCGCCGTTACCCGCGATGTCTGCCCCTGTTTGCAATGTCACCAGTCTTAGTTATAGCGATTGTGAAGATACAGGTTATTCTTAGCATGGTAGGTGTATTCCACGGAGATATGCCAACAACACGGCTCTTCCGTGGGAGCGGCTCTAATATAAAGACTAGCATGCATTTCTACAAGTATAAGTATCATGATTCGCGGCTTTGAGAGAAGGCACACAAGGTTGCATATTTCGCTGACCGAAGTTTCTTTGTTGCATAAAAGTATGCGATAGAAGACCAGGGTCATACTCCCTACAGCAATTTTCGAATCTTTTTTTCTACATCTCACGATTATGGCGGTTCTGTGCATAGTATGGGCATGTTAGGTAGCATGTGGATAGCTTCCAGATATAAGATACAGAGTATAGGAGTCTTACGAGTACAATGATACATTCAGTAGTTTCTTGAGGAATCAAGATATTTTAGATCATGAATCACGTAAAGACTGAGGATGAACTATACGCCTGGGGGCTGTCTCTTTTGGAGAAGCTGTCTTGGAACATGAATTGAGTATATCGAGCCCAGATGAGTTGGGAAGATCATGCATCAGGTCCTCGACCTATTTTAACATGTGTCCGCTATTGCTAGTCCTCGTTGTGCTCTCTGCGACCGCCAAACACTCGAGCTGTTGTGCTAGCCACGCGTTGTTATATTTTATCTCTTTTGAGGATGAACTCATCAACCAATCAGCGTTCTACATCAGGTCTCGTGGTCTAGCGGTATGATACTCGCTTAGGGAGGTTGCTCTGCAACCTTGAAAACTCTAAGCCAATTGCGAGTGGTCCCGGGTTCGATTCCCGGCGAGACCCTGATTCTTCCTTTTATTGTTGAGTCGTTGATTTTTTGAATGCAGAAAGAGCAGGGGGCCCTTGGGGGTGTTTTGGTGGGTGTGGGAGTGAAGCCTCGATTTGGTGGAAGAGAATCGGAGCTTGGTGCTTTCTATAGTTTGCCAAGGAATCCATGGATGTGGTGGAAGAAGATAAGATTGGAGAAGTAAGTAGAGGCAAAGGAACGATGGGAATATGTTTAAAAAAGATGATTCGTAGGTGGAATAACCAGTCGGAGTTTGACATTTTACTTACCTACCATCGCAGGAACCGAGTTGTCCGAAGATCTTGAGGGACAGACCTTTCCCATGCCAAGAAGAGATAGTGTGTGACAAACTTCTCGAAGGGGAATGACCGGTAGTTTTTGGGCAGCTGGGCCACGGAGTGAAATCCAATTTCTCTCTCATACAGCGCGAAAAGGCAACAAAAAGACCTGAGGAGTGATTACCAACAAGATGCTGCCTGCCAGTAGCGTATATGAGAACTGACCTGCGATGGACAGAAGGGCAAACTGTTGAGATAATGTCGTTGCGACGTCGTCAAGTTGTGTTGTGATTGCGAAAGTGAAGCCTCAACTCATGGCAAGAGCGACCCTCTGGAATATCTTCAAGACTTCCAAGTCTTCGCCCTCCATCTAATCGTTTCCTGACCAAAAGTGAAAGCCAGACATCGCCAGGAAATCAAGGCAAGAACGATGCGGGCGCGACCCCCTTAGACAGTCACCAACAGCTCGACGGACCTCAACATACATGGAAACGACGCTCATCAAACTTGCTGCAAACCAATCAGTCTGAGCTAGCCTCATTCGAGGACCACACAATCAAGATATTCGTGGTACTCGGTTTTTCTTAACTTGCTCAAGTTTGCTCTGCACCATACAGTCATTCTTCACTTCTTCTTCACTATCCTCTCAAAATTCGCTCTTCTCTCACTTCTCAAGTTCTCACCTTACCTACCGCTGAAACCAAGATGCGCAACCTATTCAGATCCCTCTTCAATCCGTCAGCTCCGACCAACAAGGTCCCTGTAGAGAAACAGAATGTCACCGGTGTCCTACCGCCTCCATACGAGCGACATCAACAAGCGGAGCCGGATACTAGTCTTCCCAGACACAGCCTCCAAGATCATGGTGTCCTCTGTCTCAAACGTTGTTTAAGCTGGCGCATGGCTATTGATTGGGACTTGCAAAACCACATCTCGGAGCTCGAACGACCAAGCGATTCGGAATACTCGACCTTCGAGAAAGACTGCGAGATCTTTGGCTTCTTGCTGGCCGATCGCTATGCGTTGCAAGACATCAAGAACATGGAAAGCCGCGTCGAAGAACACATTTTCAAACCAGCTGAACGTATCGGTATTNNCAAAAGAGTAAGTAGTCGCTGAAACTCCGGTTCGTTTGTCGATGATCAGGAAGAGCTGCTTGTAAATGTCTTCATCAACTCGACGCATTCACATGTCTTGTTTCTGCTTATCAGGCACCACCATACTAACCTGACCAAAACGTCAGATCTTCTCGAGTTCTTCATGTTCTCGGTCCGGCGAGCAATAGTATACGGTCCTCACAAACGCATTACCTACTTTCGAAACGAGATGATGCTTGTACGCCTTGTCCTCGATTCCAGGATCCTCATCAATCTCGTGGCCCCAGAGGCCATCTTCGCCGACGAACTCAAAGCCGAATGTGCAAGACTGCACAAGAACAACTTTTCCTGGCTACTGGACCCAGCAAGAATCTGTATGGATCAGTCCGTCAGAACAAGAGCAGCCGACATATACAGCAAGCAAGACGCGCAAGTTGGCCGCTGGAAGGAAACAGAGTTGCTATATAGGGAATGCCTGCGACCCTGCGCTGCCTGGATGGATCCTACTCTTGATTCATCGACCATGTACGAAGTTCACTGGCCTTACTTCAAGACAGATGTGGACTTTGACCAACAACCCGAATTTCGCTTGCGCGATTGGCGAGAGTACAAAAGTCTTTTGCCAGCAACTGTCATCTGTGGCTCTGTCGGTTGGGCCAACTATGACATGGTATTCCGAGAGTCTGAAAAGCCGGAGATTGTCATGACACACCAGAAGTCAAGCGATCAGCACAAAGAGAAGGCAGTGGGATAGGTCCATACACCATGCCCACCAATCTCAAAGCCCTATCTCCCACCATCTCAATCAGGAGAAACGCTAAAACACAATACCAGCCTTATATCTTGACATCCGAAGCCCCAAGCCAATTCGATCTAGTGCACCCAGGTAAGCCCCGTGAAAACGCGTGTTTGCAATTCATCCAAGCATCAACAAGAAACGCGCGCTGTACTTTGCAACTTTTTTGTCTCGTCCGTCTACGTAAAGCCTTTTTTTCCCCCTCGTATACCATAAACTCTAGATACCATCAAGATGGCAAATGTCGGCTTCTCTCAAATGCCTATCGGCAACCTCTCTTCGCCCGCCGTCACGGCAACTCGTTGTTGGGCTACGTCCCTCGTCACCGCCACCATCACGGCCACGGCCACGGTCACCGCGACCGCGACCGCGATCGTATACCCTCCCGCGGCCGTCACCGATTGGCGGCAGACGCTCTGGAATATCTTTGTAGGATTTATAGCATGTTGGCTATACGCCGCCGCCATCGCCGCCCTCACCTGTTGCTTGATGAGCAGGTTCCCCGGGTCGACGCCGACGTCCATGCCGCCAGATAGTATGGGCGGCTGGAAGCGTGGCTCTACCGCCAGACCATTAGGGCATATCAGCACGCCGAGCTTGTCGCGCGGCACGTTGAAGAAGCCCGGCGAGCAGAAGCAGAAGCAGCAGCAGCAGCAACAGCAGCAACAGCAACAGCAATAGCAGTTGCAATAGCAACAGCAGCTGCAACAGCAACAGCAGTACCAGCAGCCACAACAACAACAACACCAGCAGCAGAAGCAGCAGCACAGAGACAAGCTCTGTCAAATCTTGACATTCAAGCTCAAAACGAGCACTAAAACTCGCCCACTACCATCAATTACCCGATTTTCGCTCAANAAATATTATATACGCCATCTCATTCTGCAATCGGTCTCTCTCACTCAACCTCTCGGGATCAAAGTCACCAACCCAGGTGTCGTTGAATTGCCTCCAGCAGTTCCTCGCTCGGTCCTTGGCAAGACATGTATAATGGCCAGAAGTAAGGGTTGTGCCGATATGTCTCATCACGGCATATGCATCATACAGATACGGCGGCTGCATGGTTGGATCGGACTTCAGAGCATCAACTCCGTATTGTTTGGAGATGAAATGGGCATCTTGTTCTGTGGGTGAAGGAAGCATATACGGCGACATATCCAAGTTCTTGAGAGGGAAATCGATGGGCGTACGGACTTTGCGAGCAGATTCGCCTCTGCCAGCAGAAAATCGCTTGAAGTGGACAACCAGGAATTGGGGCGCACGGGTTATGGTTATCTGTTTTGTGGCCTCGCGTTCGCGATTGCAACGTGGGCATTTCCAGACTTCATCGCCAGAAAGTCTTTCTTCTGCACAGTACGACCTCAGACAGTCCTGAATGCTAGCAACGCCAGAGCGTGGGATTTCAACTGAAATACTGTAAAATGCCTCGTACGTGGTGGATGTGAAGTGACAGGTTGTGCATCGTAGGCGAGAAGCATGTTGACCGCCGAAGAGTTGTGTAAGGTAAGATTGCTCGCGATGTGTATACCTGCCCCATTCGGTCCGACAGACCATTGGCTTGGGCATCTTCTCGCGTGTAGCTTCCTGGTCTGCTGTCAGAGCTTTCAGTGGTGTCTTTGACCAATTCTTGTTCAAGTCTTCATGCAGACAATCGACCAAGAAATCGAAGAACTCTTTTGCATCTTGCTGGCGATCAATACCCCACTCGCTGTTGAGACGAGCACAGAACGACCGTAATGTGCTTGGCCGAATAGCTTCGACATCTCCTTTCCAAATGCTCCTGATCAAGTTTGCGTACAGCTCAGGTAGCACACCCTTGCTGCCTTTCCAGTTGTCTCGCTGGACCAAAGTCTTGAACCTGTCGTCAAGGAAGAAGAGGGTAAGAGGAGTGGTCGCTGAAAGAGCTTGGATTGTCGCATTCATGTAACAGGTGACGCCAAAGTTGACGAGACCTGTCCGTGGTAGTCGCAAGTTGGAGGGCAAGTACTTCGGAGGGACATATGGTGGTAGATCTGTAGATGTAGAGCCAGTGCTTTGGGCCGACACAGCACGGTGATCACTAACACCGCTATACGATACACGAGCTGCAGCAGGAACTGGTCTGGAAGGGATTGAGGGCATGGCCGACTTCGGAGGAGGCCTTGGGTATGACGGTACTTGCTGTGGTCGTGCCGGTAGTAATGATGCAGGATGTTCTTGGACTCCGTATCGCTGCTCGAGCGTACCGGCTTCAGGAAACCGACGAACGAACTCGTCAATAGACTGATAGGACGGTGTGCCATTTTCAGCCTGCCATGACTCGTCTCCTTCATCGAGAGACGGTTTCCGTTCGACAACCACGCTCTCGACTCGAGCTCTCTCGTGCCATTTCCTCTCCTCTTCAGCGTCGAGTGGGTTGTAATCTCGTAGTCGCTTCTTTGGGACGTACAATCTGGACTCCTTGCTGGCAACTGGTACCCTTCTGATTGGGCGGCCAGACTTTTGTTGTGCGACCGTGTTTGTTCTCTTCAATGCTTGATCGCCAACCAATTCTGCCCAGCCTTCAATACCACCCATCAACAAAATAGGCGGCCGCTGTAAGGGCTTCTCTGAATTGAACTCGTAGAGGGCGTCGTATAAGTACTTCAAGTATCTTTCTCTATCTGATGTTGGACGGTGGATGAAACTTTCTGACGAAATGTCATGGTCGTAGTAAACAACAATGTCGTACTTGTGGCGGTTGTAAAACATGGTCTGCTCGGCATCCGGTGATAGGATGAGTGCGTCTTCGAGCTGCTCAGCAGACATGTTGGGCTCGAGTGCAGCTGGCTCAATGCAGATGATGGACTGAGCGTATATGTGGCCCTCGTCAAAGTCTTGTCGATTTCGGACATCGATCAACAAGACGCTGTGCATTTTGAGGTAATCGTATAGGCGTTCAGGTCCAATGCGCAGTTCCGTTGGACGGTGTATGGACTTTCGTCGAGGCGGACCAGCCGGTGGTCGATCTTGTGACACGCGAGGAAAGTAGCCCGCGGATTCTTCTCCTTCATTTCCTGGGGCGTAAGAGGAGGCGGTTGAAGCGACGGAGTTGTTCCTTCCAGCCGATCCGACCATACTACGGGCAGTGGTCCTTGGAGGGTCGATGTGACTCGGTGTGTTCATGTTGCGTGCTGGACTATAGGCAGTGGGTGGGGCCATGGGTAAAGCATCGTGGACGGATGTGTCGAGGGTCATGCGATGGGCGAACGGGTGACCTGGGGCACCGTTGGGCATCTGCCGCGGACCAACAGGTCTGACTGAGGAGCCATTTGCGAATGGAGAGTTGGAGAAGTCGATCGAAGAGCGGTTACTATAGGAGGTAGTCGATGTGATGGAACCGTTGCTTGAGGTGATAGAGGCGCGTGAGTCGAGTCGTCTGCTCGCGAGCGACGTGTCTACCGCAGCGGGTTGCATGCGCAGTTTGGCGAAGCGATCGGCGAGGGCGGCATTGCCATTGGTAGCGGCAGGATGTGAGGATTGAATGGAGGAGCGACGGACAGGCAGGTCGGAAAGCTTCTGCGTGGCATTCCGCCTATTGTCGTTGATGATGATTTCCTTGATCTTGTCGAAGCGATCGGCAAGTTGACTGATGTTGCGGAGGATAGACTGATGCTGGTTGAACTGGGAGCCTCGGCGGCTGCTCAGGATAGGGTACTGTTCATGCTGGGGGATGATGGCGACAGCAATTTCAAAGGCTCGAAGATATTCGACATAGGCAAGGTCGGGACGGCGGTACTCGACAAGACTCTCGGCCTGTTTGACGGCGGTCGCGGCAGTGGCGAGCAAGTGGTTGAGGGATTGGTTCTTGTCGACGGAGCTGATCTTTGCCTTCTCTTTCAGATCCTCAATGTGTGGGTATGGTCTGTTCGGCGTAGCGGCGGAGCTGGAGTCGGGAATGGCCATGTTGGTGGGAGAGATGGGGTACGGCGGGCTCATGACTGAGTCGGACGGCGCGACACGGGGACGAGCATAGCGTGGAGGACACGGCGGCAGGAAGTCACTGGAAGAGTAAGGTACTGTAGGAGGATGTTAGGCAGGCGTTGGTTGTACTTGATCTGGTAATGCCATTTCCCCAGAGAAGGCGCGGCCGGGTGACGTGCGTCTGTCCCGCCACGCTCGATGCGTCGCGCCTTCCCCAAGCTGAAGCATCCGAGACCCTCAGACCCACCGTTAGGCACCACCAAAGAGCTCCGACACTCCAGACCAACTCATCTTCCGACCCTCTCACCACTTCCGGATTGCTTCCAGCTCCTCTTTACACACGATACCCAGCTGAACAGCACATCTCCGCGACATCGACAAGCAACATGGCGTCGTGGTTCGGGGCCGGCACGTCGGCCATGGACGAACAGGTCGAGAGAGCCACTTCGAGCAGCTTGGAGGACATTGCCCTCAACTTGGAAATAACCGACCTGATCCGAAGCAAGACCATTCCGCCCAAGGAGGCAATGCGCTCGCTCAAACGAAGGATCGCCAATAAGAACCCAAACATCCAACTGGCCGCTCTCAACTTGACCGACACGTGTGTGAAGAATGGCGGAGAACACTTCATCCAGGAGATCGCCTCGCGCGAGTTCATGGACAACCTCGTCTCGTTCCTCAACACTCCGCTGAACGACGAGGTCAAGACGAGGATCCTCGATCTGATCCAGTCTTGGGCTACCGCTGCCACCGGCCGCTCCTCTCTTGGCTACATTGACGAGACGTATCGTTCCTTGCAGAGAGAAGGCTTCCGTTTCCCTCCCAAGACCGAAGTTGCCGCAACCATGTTCGACAGTAGCGCTGTATCTTGTCCCCTCCTCTCTTGACTAGACCCACTACTAACTCCCTGTCCAGCCACCCGAGTGGGCCGATTCTGATGTCTGCATGCGCTGCAGAGAACGCTTCACCTTCACCAATCGCAAGCACCATTGTCGAAACTGTGGAAACGTCTTCTGCGGTCAATGTTCGTCCAAGTCGATACCCCTGCCTCACCTTGGCATCCTTCAGCCCGTCCGTGTCGACGACGGCTGTTTTGCCAGACTGACCGAAAAGTCGCGCGCCACTCCCGTACCTTCCTACATCAACGCCATGAAGCCTCCCACTTCTGGTCGTATGCAGGCTCGCGACCCTCGTGTTGCCGAAGACTCGTTCGACGCCGACTTGAAACGAGCACTAGAAATGAGCTTGGAAGAATCAAAGGGCCACTCTGGTGCTGGATACGTACCGCAATCACAAATGACCACGCCAAAGCCAGTTCAGAAGGCGCCCACACCGAAGAAGGACGAGGAAGACGATCCAGAACTGGCAGCCGCAATCGCTGCATCTTTGGCAGACATGGAGGAGCAAAAGAAGAAACACACAGCCAACTTCAAGCAACAGCAGCAGAGATCTAGTACCCCCAGCGTCTATGTACCAAAAATCAACAATGAGCTTACGCCCGTCGAAGCCGAGAACATCAACCTGTTCGCTACTCTGGTTGATCGCCTGCAGCACCAGCCACCAGGTGCAATCCTGCGCGAACCTCAACTTCAGGAGCTGTACGAGAGCATCGGTTCGCTGCGACCAAAGCTCGCAAGGACATATGGAGAGACGATGAGCAAACATGACACACTTCTTGACCTCCACTCCAAACTGGCGACTGTTGTGAGATACTACGACCGCATGCTGGAGGAGCGCCTATCCAGCACATACAACCAGTCTCGCTACGGAGCTCCTCGACCTCAGTCTGGCATGTACCCATCTTTGTCTGCCGGGGTTGGAGCACCACCTACTGCTCCTATGGGAGGAGTGGAGAGCTACTACAACAGTTCAGCACCATCTATGGACTCGCACGCCTACAACCAGAGCCCTTACCCTACGTTCAACCAACACCAGGACTATGCTCAACAGTCCTACTCTCAGCAAGCTCCTCCCGAAGCTGCCTACCAACAACAATACTCTCAGTACCCTCCCCAGCAACAAGCCCCCAGTACACCTCACCTACAACAACAACAATCGTATCCGCAACCACCTCAACAATACGCTCCCCCGCAGCAGCAAAATCCCGTCTCTCCTCCTGAGCATCAGCAGTCTTACTCTGAGCCATCCGCCCCTCAACCTGTGAGCCCAGAGTCATATTCTCAGCCTGCCCAGCAGCAGCAGCATCAACAGGCCCCACCTCAATATCAACAACTTTACCAACAACAAGCACCGCCTCAGCAACACCAACAATACTCGCAAGCCCCACCTCAGCCTCAACAGCAACAGTGGCCTCAAGCACCGTCGACGCATAACGGATACGGCCAAGAGAGCTTCCCTCAAGCACCACAGAACGTCCCCGCCCAACCAAAGGTGGAGGAAAGTCTGATTGAGCTGTAGAGTGGAAAAACTGGTCCTAGTGTAGCTCCATTCATCGCGTTTGCATTTGTAGGCTAGATACCCCTGAACAAAAAAAAATCCTCCATGCTTCCGACCTCCTGATCTCAATGTCTTCTATGTGCTAGAGTCTGTAGTTGTTGACCTCCTCTCGACGCGATAGTGTAGAGCCTTGAGCTATATCAAAAGCATGATGTCTTCCACATCAGAGGAGTGGCCAAAAGCGAGTCGATTGGGAGTGTCTTTTCAGTGTACATTTTGTTGAATCTTTGAGGTCGTTGTGTAATCCCATGAGTATAGGCGTTTGTGTGTTTGGAAGCATTGGATGCGCTTCATTCTATTGCTTTCAATGTCGGTATCAGTCGTGATTGCAAACATTGTGATGTGCATGGATTTTTCTCTAGGACACATTAGAGGCCTGCTACCTCGAGTGCTTCGATCGATTCCTTGCTTGACGGAAGCGGGAAGAGATGCCGGATCTGTTGGTTGTCCTCGTTTTCGGTTCGAGGAAAGCAGGTGGAGGCTTGTTGATCTCCTCCTTCCATCGCTAGTAGAGAGTCAGATCCTCTGATCACCTAGTTCTCTAGCGAGTTGATACTACTTGTACGTGGCTGTTTTTTTTTTCGGACATGAAAAAGGTGTGATTGTTATCGAGGACCGAAGAACAGAACCAGAGCCAGAGATAGAAGATTGCCGAGACTTTGTGATGACAAGCCGAGAGTATTGAATTGGGGATACCGCTCAAGATGTCTTGGGTGACGGAGAAGTCTCTGATTGTCTCTGCCTGATTGTATTGTAGGCAGATTGGCTGGCCATGGAGCCGTTCAGTTTGTCATATCGTGCACGTAGATTTCCAAATGTCCTAATGTCTTCGTAGCCTTTGGGCATTGCTTCGGACCAGCCACGCTCTGCATAGTGCGTGTTGCACAGAAAACACGTTTGGGTCTGTTATTGATTGCCACTGATCAAAAAATATGGTTAGCGTACATTCTGTTGAGATCTACATGAGTGGATGGATCTCGGGAGAGCCAAAACTTCTGTCAAGTACCTCTCTGGGTACTCAACTATGTAGTTCGACTCTCACACGAGAGCAAAGAGCGACTTATATACCATGGAAAGACGCAATTCACCCCGGAGCAGGGGACTAGCCAAAGAGAGCCGCTAAGATGTTGGCTCTCAGTGAATAGTGCCCCTGTTTCTTGATAGTATTGTGCATTCTTATAGACATGATTTTTGTATAATTCAGTACACGGGGATGTGAGCATGCAAAAATACGGTACGTACCATTCCCTTCAACTGACGCTCTATGCCACAGGACGTACAATAGCATGCGGTCTTTGCGTGATAGCTGATCGGACGATGGGTTTTCCAGGGCATGAGTTGATGGTCACCCGCCCAACTGCAGGATTCGGGGCGGGTTCTAGGGTAACGAAAGAACCATGCGTGAATAGCTCTGGTAATGATGAGGTGTTCATCGTGTTTGTGAGCGTGATTCCAAGCAATGGCTTTTCTTTTGTGCGAGGCGCGATACTCGGAATTAGAATAAAGCAGCTTCGTAACGCGACTGTGTTCTTCTTGTCTCATTCTAAGCAATTCTGGCTCTGCACGTATTCTGGCATAGAACTCCTTGGTTGATCTATGTCGCGAGGCCTTGAGCATTTCAAACAGCTCGGGATACTCTTTCAACTTTCTCCAAAATGACATCGGAGTATCGTTGCCATCACTCGAGCTTGTTTGATTCCTGTGGCAAGAGAGGGAGAAATGGCGAAGGGTTTGTGGTGTCTGTCCTAATGTTTTCGAGGGAACAATTGATCTCCAGATTGTCGAAAGCATGATTTCGATGGTGATGGCAAGCTCCAGGGTTATGGTAATGTTACAGAGTGCTATGATTGAACACAGAGTTGTCAATCACCTGGTTGCATTCAGAGTGAGAAGAGTATTATGTGTGGACCTGAATAATTTCAGCAAAATTAAAAGAACAAATCCATCAGAGGTCGGGGTCGCCAAGATGACGTGGATGTCGGGCTTGGCAAGCTAGCAGCGCCAACGTCAAGCGTAATGGAACTCTAGAGGGCAGGCGACGATTGAGGGACGCCGACACATTTCAATATCGAGCAGCGCAACCATGTCTGAGGGCCTCTTTTTCAACGTCACGACTGGCTACATCGAGGGTGTCGTGCGCGGCTACCGAAACACGTTGTTGACAGGTCAACAATACAGCAACCTGGCCCAATGCGAGACCATCGATGGTATGCCCTCTCCGCGTCGCCTTGCCTGATCATGAGCTCCAACTGACCAACCACCAGATGTGAAGCTTCAACTAGGCCCAGCGTATGGCGACTTCCTCGCCGACCTCCCACCGAACCCTTCAACGAGTGCTCTTGCCGACAAGTTACTGGACAAGCTCGTCTCCGAGTTCCGTTACGTCCAAGCCAACGCTACCGGTGCCCTGTCCAAGTTCATGGAGTTCTTGACCTACGGATACATGATCGATAACGTCGCCCTTCTCATCACTGGAACGCTCCACGAGAGAGACACGCGCGAACTGCTCGACCGATGCCACCCTCTTGGCTGGTTTGAGACCATGCCCGCCCTTTGTGTCGCCACAAACATCGAAGAGTTGTACAACAGTGTCCTTATCGAGACTCCCCTCGCTCCTTACTTCAAGGGCTCTCTCAGCCACCAAGACCTCGACGAACTCAACATCGAAATCATTCGCAATACACTTTACAAGAACTACCTTGAGGACTTCCATAACTGGATCAACACCCACTCTGGCGTTGCTGGCAGCCCGACAGCCGAAGTCATGACTGAGATTCTTGAGTTCGAGGCCGACCGCAGAAGCATCAACATCACACTCAACTCCTTCGGCACCGACCTTTCAAAGGCAGACAGACAAAAGTTGTACCCCGGCTTTGGAAAGTTGCACCCCGAAGGCACATTAATGTTGTCAAGAGCGGATGATCCCGAGGCTGTCAGAATCGCTGTTGATGGTGTGCATGATTACCGCACTTTCTTCGACCAGACTGGCATGGGTTCGGGCTCTAACGTTGGCAACATGGCTGGTGGTTCTGATGAGGGCAAGAGCTTGGAAGACTTGTTCTACCAGAAGGAGATGGAACTCTCAAAGCTCGCTTTCACCCGTCAATTCACCTACTCTGTTGTCTACTCATGGGTGAAGCTGAGGGAGCAGGTACGTTTATGTTGCCGTCAAATTCCACGAGTCCTGCTAACGAAAACGCAGGAAATTCGCAATATCACTTGGATATCAGAGTGTATTGCTCAGAACCAGAAGGACAGGATCGGCAACTACATCAGCGTCTTCTAAGTTGCTTGTAACTGTCGTTCCCTAGTTCTTGTGTCTTCCCCGGCGTTCATACCCATATGTTAGCGTAAGATTTTGTTCATATCGATTGTTTTTCTTGGTCTCGGTGGGCGCTTTCTAGACTTTGTTTAAGTACAAAATGCATGCAGATCGACTCCCATCTCTTTTCAATGCTCGAGAGAAACTAGTAGGTTGATGTTGTAATCACTGTCCCATCATTGAGAAGAGACCATTCGTTTTTCGTGTGCTAAAGTTTTTGTAGTCAAACTGTCCTGCATTCAGATAGAGTGCTATCACCAAGATTTATCCCACTGTGTTGTACCATAATGCCGAGAAACAAGTCTGTTCATTGTCATGCGAGATCACATCGAATCGTAGTGTATAGATACATATCTGACTTGGAACAATTATGCCTTTCGATAGTCCATACATCACTGCATGGCGTCTCGAAAAGGAGGTGGTATTCCTCAAGTCTCTTTGAAAGGCAGCTCTCTTCTCAAAGCTTGGACGTGAATGAAACTGACCCAACGTCTTGTTTGACATCAGTATAGGCTTGCTCTCCTTCAAACCGGCAGGTACGCGTCGGGTTGCTACTGCCTCTGAAACTTCCCAACACGGCGTCAACTCCACGACGCGTCGAGCGGTCAGTCAACCACCAACCGCATCAATATTCGACAGCTCTTCTTTTGCAAGCGTCTTATTCAGTACTTCAAACTCCTCACTGCTCATCTGTGTCGCCGCCATGGAAGGCGCATACAGCTTTGCCGAAGGAGGCCCAATCCCTCATGGCGATCCCTACTCGCACTCATACACTGCTGACGTCTCCGAACCATCCCACCGCCGTGAGGACCCGATAACCCACGCGCATCCGATCAAGGAGTCTCTTTCGCAGCAACCCGCAACCAACGATCTCGTCCAGAAGTTCAAGCCTCGTCTTGAAGATGGATCAGAGATCAAATTGGAGTTCATGCCCTCGCTTGCTCGTAGGGCAGACCAAGACTTGCTCGACTACCTGCAGAAGCGCAAGATCTCGTTTCACTTTTTGAACGACATTGACGACTTCCTCAAGAGACATCCAGGTCTCTTGAAGGCTTGTCCGAGTTGGTGTCACCAACTCAACACTCTTCCTCCTCTCCAAGCACATCTGTTCTTCGTCAAGGGTTACTTGCGTCCTGCCAGATATGTCGATGGCGTGAGTGTTCATAGCTTCTGGGTGTACACGTTGCTCACTCATCTCGGCAGNGCTCTTCCGGCTCCAGAGGATGAGCAGATCCCTGCTCATCCCATCTCTCTAGAGCACCATTCCCACGATCCTGAGCTTTACGAGCACATCACTGACATTGGCCAATGCCTGGAACTCCTAGGTGGATTGGACGAGATGGTCTGGAAATTGACTCAAGCTTACCACTCTGGTCTACCTCTCGATAACAGCCAGGTCCTCTTACTCACCATGGCCACCTACGCACAGCCCGTCGATGTGCTCAAGTATTGGGAGTATTGCTATTTGCCAAGCTTGCAGTCCAACAGGTATACGCAGTCCTGGTTCATCATGGAGCAAGGATCGAGCTAACTCAAGCGAAGATACATTCAGGAACACAGTTTGTTGGTCAAGCTACCAACTTGAGCGTGGCTGACTTGTAGTAGATGTCCTCAGCCATTTGGCAGCTCCAAAGCCTGTGCCTCAAGGCAGGACCGCCCTGCAACCTGTCCCAATGCGCGCACCACAAGCAGCAGCGAGAGCAGGACGAAAGGCACACAAGGCGCGTAAGGCACGAAAGGCACGCTACAGACAGGAGCCAGTTCGCGACCAGCCCTTTGGTCTCAGGCCATCGGGTATCGAGGTCATGAGGACTCACCGCAACACTCGCAACGCCATGGCGAAGGCTGCGGACCGTGGTGACGACGTGATTGCTGTCTTGATCGACTGCTTTGCTGAATCGGTACAGCGTCGCTCGTTGAGAAGACTGGACATGAATGAGCTGCTCAGAGTGTGCGAGGTTGCATGGGAAGCTCTTGAAAGGGATCGTCTGACTGGAGAAGGAAGAGACATTGTGGACCTCGTCATGGACTTGGTGGGCCAAGCCTGTAACGGCAGACATCCATCTCACTTCCATCCTTTCGTCAACAACCCTACTGGAGCAAACTTTGGCATTCGTTCGAAGCGTGTCAGAGGAGCCGTCAACCAGCTCAAGATTCTCTACAGTCAAGAGGTGAAAAGAGGCTACGTCCCAGCTCTAGCCCGGGATGTCAAAAGGGCCGAGTACAGATTGGTCGATGTGGTTGGTTGGTACGCCAGGATGGATGGTACAATGAACAGGGCAGAGTACGAGTTTCTTCGCAAGAAGTTCCCATGGCGCAGATTCGATCACGTTGCCGAGTACGACGCGATCAATCCCGAACAACTCGATGTGTTGCTCTTATTGGACACGTGGATCTGGTGGATTTGAAGTCAACACAACGATATCTGGATGGAAGCTCCCTGAATGCTGTCATCAGGGAAGGTGGTGGTGAGAGTTATGACATCGGTACTGGAGAAGGATGCGAATTGTTTGCTATGTTAATTGTTATGGAAAGCGTCAATGGAACACATTGCTGGGACGAGATGAAACCACAGCATGGAGAAGATATGGAAGGAAGGGGTAATAGCTACTATGGACGAACAATACAGCATCGCCTTCTCAATAGGCTTGTGCAAAGTTAACACTGATCAGGTGAAGATGTTGATGCTCAAGACGTCCAATGCCAAGACACGAGGCTCCGCAGCGGAAGGTCGTCGGCAGGGACTTCCGCTGATCTTTCGGGCGTCTCAAGAAACTTTTGCGACAACCAATTTTTTCTCGAACAGCAAGATAAACAATCATGGCACGCAAAACGAAGACACTGGCTGAGCAGCTCGCCGAGCTCGACAACCCTGCTNNCCCAAGGGTATGCGCAAAAACAATCCACTCAGTCCATAGCAATCTCTGACAAGCACTTCCAGACTTTGACCCGGAAGAGGAGCCGCCACAGGACGACAGCGACGAGGACGTCTCGGACAACGACGACGACAACGTCGCCGCGGCGAGAGAACACTATGTCGATGTCGGCAAGAGCAAGCTACGCAAGCGGGATGTCGTGCCTCTTGGACCCAGATACGAAGGAGCTCAGATAAGCAGAGATGCTGCCACTGGAGAAGAAGATGACGAGGATGATCCGTTCAGCAAGGGCTTTGACGAGGAAGAGAGCGAGGATGATGTTGAGGATGCTGTTGAGATTTCTGCCTCTGAGGGCGAAGAAGCTGATGAAGACGTCAGCGACGAGGATGAAGATATGCAAGATGGCGATGAGAGCCCTGCTACCGACATGAGCGACGATGATGACGAAGATGATGACGATGACAATGAAGACGCCGAAGACAAGACGGAGCTCCGTAAAATGATGGCCGAAGAGCAGAAGACCGTGGCCGCCAGCCTGTCGCAAGCAGCAAAGCAAGACGCCGAAAAAGGCCGCGCCGTCAAGACCCAACGCACAACCTTCGATTCCCTCCTCAACACACGCATCAAGCTTCAGAAAGCCTTGATTGGCACGAACACACTCACCGGCGTCATCTCATACTCGACTCCCACAGAAGACACCGAAGATGCCTTCCGCGCTGCCGAAACTGCCGCCTTCACCCTCTGGTCCACCTTGAACTCTCTCCGCGAAACCCTCGAGTCCAACCGCACAGGCCATAAACGCAAACACGCCGCTTTCGACCTGGACACGCCAACAGAAGACCTCTGGACCCACATGCGCAGCCAAGAACTCTCTGCCAACAGCACCCGCGTCTCCATTCTCGAAAAGTGGAATCAAAAAGCCAGAGGCGCTTCCGCCATCACTCCCAAGAACAAACTGAACAACTCTTCGTCAAACCAAAGTATTGTGGATGTGCTGCAAGAGCAATTACACGGTGATCGCCTCATCAAGCGCGCAAGAACACCACGCTCTTGTGCTCCTCTACAACTCGCTTCTTCCACCTCTACCACCTCTTCCTTTTCAGACTCCCCCACCCACATCTACGACGACGCCGATTTCTACGGTCTGCTGCTGCAATCACTCCTCGAACAACGCAGCGCCGACTCCATCGCCGCATCCGCCTCGTCCACAATCTCCATCAACAGCGGCTTCCAAATGCGCCGCGAAGCCAAGACCAANAAAAATGTAGACACCAAAGCTTCAAAGGGAAGAAAAATGCGGTACACGGTGCACGAAAAATTGCAGAATTTCATGGCGCCAGAGGATAGAGGGGTTTGNGGGGAGAGGGCTGCGGACGAATTGTTTGGGAGTTTGTTTGGTAAGAGGATGGGGTTGGGTGAGGATGAGGATGAGGAGGTGGAGAGTAGCAAGGAGGAGGATGGGCGGGATGAGGGTGAGGCGGGATTGATGATGTTTAGAGCGTAAAGGGGTTTCAGAGATGGGTATCTGGGGATTTCTAATCTCTAGCACTGCTTATCTTGCTCGATGTTTAATATCTTCATATACTGTATCATGATTCTTCTGGGGGATAAAAGTGGCATCCGGATTACATTGCACAGCTCGACATCCAAGCAGCAAGAAACAAAATCACATTCCGTTCAATAGGGCTATGTAGTCAAAGATGAGATATTGTGTTAGTCAGAAGAGTAACATGGCGAAAGACAGAGCCCGGAGGAGAAGAAGAAATCTTGAAATTGTGTGCATTGCAACAGCCGATCATTTTCCCACAAGCAAGATAAGGAATCCGTAGTGTATACAAGAGAAGGAGCTAAAACTCCTCGATCTATGGAAATGATATGTACACCACCTCGCTATGCGTTTTGTAAAACAAGTAACCAAAAGGAACACCACACCACCAGTAAACTCGGTTTTCTTTTGTACAGTTGTGAAGAGTGGAAAATGTTGATACGAACAACAAGGAAAATCATACATGCTCACGACCTAAGAGCGGCTTGGCAGACCTGTACGGGCAGCAAGCATAGCGTCGGGTCCTCTCTTACCAATGGCAGAAGGGCGAGGAGCACCTGCAGCAAGTCTCTGCGCGACAAGCTTGGCCGCACGCTTAGGGAACCAGACACGGCTACCGAGAGCAATGGTTCCTGTCAACAGAGCCAAAGCACCTGCCTGGTGGGCAGAAGCCAGAGGAGTAGGGACCATGTACAGCAGGGTGGAGATGCCGAGGGCGACCTGCAGCCAGACGAGATGAACGACGCCACGCATGCCCTTCTTTGCGCCGGGAGTCATGGAAGCACGAACGCGAGGGTTGAAGCGGGTGTAGGCCCAAAGTGCCATGATAGCAGTGAATGTGGTAGTTGCCAGGATACGGTGGTCAAGCTGGACGAGAGAAGGGTTCTCAAGAACGTTGCGCCACCAGAGATCAGAATGATCAGGAACGTGACTGTAGAAGGTGTCGAACAGCTCTTTCTTAGGTGGTGTCAAACCAAGACCCATGTAAGGGAACTCGTTGTAGATGAGACCAGCGTCCAGACCCGCGACGAGACCTCCAGACATGGCGGTTACAAAGACCAGAGCAAGAAGAGCACCAACACTGCGGCGGAAGAACTTGAGCTCGGGAACCATCATCTGCTTGAGCAGCTTGGAAGATTCTTGCGGGTTGGCCAGAAGACGGTTCTCTCGGAAGATGGACAAGGCGTTCCAGAACATGGCAAGGTAGCAGATGAAGGCAGTACCCAAGTGAGCAGTAAGACGATATTGACTGACACGAGGGTGGCTTCCAGGAGCAAACAGATCGTCCTTGAGACCACTTGCGACCATCCACCAGCCAATGACACCCTGGAACCCGATCAAACCGCAAATACCGGTGAGCTTGAGAGCCATCCCAGCAGAAACACGACGACGGGCGATAAAGTAGGCGGTAGGTAGCAGGAAGGTGATGCCAATGAAACGACCCCACAGTCTGTGAATCCATTCCATCCAGTAGATTTGTTTAAACTCCTCCAATGTCATACGAGGGTTGAGGAGTTTGAACTCGGGCGAGGCGCGATAGAGGGCGAATTCGGATTCCCACTTCTCTGCGTTCATAGGAGGGAGGGAGCCAGTGACGGGACGCCATTCGGTAATACTCAGTCTACGCCACATTCGGTCAGTTGAACAGTCGTGAAGAAGGACCAAGATTGGACACATACCNNCAGACTCGGTCAGTCTGGTGAGACCGCCGAAGATGACGATACCAAAGACACTCGCAGAGCTGGCAAGCAACCAGTAGCCAACCTTCTTGTCTGAAGTCTCAGGGAACGAGCTCTTTCTTGCCGGGACGGAAGTTTGACCGATTGTGTTTCTGGCGGGACCAGAGGCTTGACCAATTGTCTTGCTGAGCTCGGATAGCGGAGATGAGGGAGGGGCGGTTGTTGATTGCTGTCTCGCCGGAGCAACACGAGAACGGAAGGCATTCAAAAATGGAGTCTGGCGAACAGACTTGTATCCAGCCTGTGCATTGTTGTGCACGCTCTTGCGACACACGAATGTTTCGGCGGCATTGAAAGCTGGAAGTGTGCGCCGCAGCGCTCCAAATACAGCCAACGGTGGGCGCATCTTTGAGGTACGAAGTGGAAGGAACGAAGATGGCACTGTAGAATCGTAGAAACATTCAAGTCATGAATCACGCCGCAGCCAATAGCATCTGGCGTGATGCCAAGCACTGACCGCCGCCGCTCGCCGCCGTATCGCGGTCTAACCGTGATGAGTATGGTTCGTCTCTCCACAAAAACAGGGTCCTCCTGTCGCGTGGCTTGAACTTCTTTTTCGTCAGGCAGTCAGCACCGACCATCCACATGCTCCATGGAACTTCTACCGAATCTTCGAGCATTATTTTCCGTGTAATCCTTCACGCTGCAAATTCTCCCTCTCTTGTAACTTTCTTGTCAACCAGCTTCATCTTTTGACCAAGTTTCGCAGCACACTCGACGCTGTTTGTTTGATAGGTACGGCTGTTTCCCTGCTTGGAGGGACGCGGTACACAGATACCTGTCTGCGCCCGCCGAGCTATCACGCATGAGGTAGAGCCTGTGTAGCGTGCATCCGCCTCATTCCTCAAGACCAGTGCACATATCTCTCCAAGTGACCTTGACATCATGGCCGACGATAACCAATTTTTCGATGCCTCGTCAAACTCGTCTCTACATCAGAATCTCTCTTCTAATTCTCGCTCCAATATCCCACGCCGTTCTCTCTTCAACTCCTCGCCTAATCATTTCGTTCCCACTCCATCTACCCCCACTCCTGCCCCCGCTCTTCTCACCTTGGACTCGTCGCGCGCTATCGCCCGCGACTCAAGCACAAGTCTGGATTCTCCATCACCTCCAGAGGACCATGTCCGTGCTACTATCAACCGCCGGAGAATACCTCGCGTCGAGAAGGATGTCGATGATCCCAGCGACCCGGTCTCGTCAAGCCGCTACTCGGTCAACAGACAGCAGAGCACTACACTCACCACTCTTAGTCGTCTATTTGCTGTCCAATCGGTGACCTCTCCCCCTGACTACCGTCCCTTGTCCGACTCTCAACTTCCAAATGGTCAACCCATCCCCTGTATGTCTTATCACTTGCCTCTTATCTCATGACCTACACTTGAAGTACCTTGTATTGACTAGTCNTCAGCTGTCACTGCTCGTGACAATGCCCTTCTACCTGCTCATCTCTACAGTCGAGGTCTTCTAGGTGGTCGACATTCTGACATTACTGTTCATGTTTTTGGCTACCCTTATAAGCTTCACCGCCTCATCCTCGATCAAGCAACTTTCTTCGCTTCTGCCCTATCTGGACCATGGCTCGAGAGCAAGGCAAGCGACATCACCCTACACCCAGAGGATATCGACACCAACATCACCCAAGTCTCGTTCGAGCTGGCCTTGAAACGTCTCTATGGTGCTGCCGTACCCGAAGAAGAAGATGCCGAAGCAGTCAGCTTGTTTGCCACAGCATGTTGGCTGGAGATGTCAGATCTCGTCGACTCGAGCATTGAGTCTATGTTGCGACAGATGTCGACTGCTACCCTGGCACCTCTGATCAAGCTTGTCACCAGCAACTACTACGGTCGTTCTGGAGACAAGATTCTCGCGTCGGCCAAAGCTATGTTGTGCCGCGATGGTTGGAAGATGTCGACCAAGTTTTGGGACGGCATCCCTGGCGATATCATCCGTGAGATTGTCGGTGGTGATGGCTTCTTCATCAATGGTGAATGGGATAGATGGGTCCTTGCCAAGCGTCTCCTGGATCGCCATCTCAAGACACTTGCTATTGAGGCCGGACTGGTTGATCCCGTCTCTTGGTCGAAGGTGCGCAAAGCTCCCGAGACTGCCAATCTTATGGCTGTTCGATTTGACTCGGTCTACCGCAAGAATGCCATGGCAACTGGTGCGGCTCCAGATGGGTTGCATCGCTGGATCAGCCTCTACACCCATCCAGATATTGAGCCTTTACTGGTCCTCTTGGATGAAGGCATACACTACATCCACCTCGACTTCGAGCAACTGCAGTACATTCGTCGAGCTCGCGACATTCTTGGCCTGCCCATGATGCCCGATAAGGTTATCTCAAATGCTCTCTGGATGCAGATGGAACTACGGCAGAAAGTTCTGAATGCCAAAGATGGCGAGATGGAGCTTGGGTTGAGCGAAGGGGTCAGTGAGCTGAGAAGTCCTCATCTGAGGGCAGCATCTTTGACAGAGCCTTCGATCAAAGGAAAACAAAAAGCTGAAACCTCTGATGAATTTGAAGACTTTGACGACGAGGACATTGCCTCAAACTCTTGGGATGGTAATGGCAAGCCTCGCAAGTTCTGGATTCCGTCAGCAGACTGTAACATCGTCATGGGGGGAGCGACTGATCCTGCAATGATGTCTGCTGCAAACACGCAGTCAAATCGTCTGTCTGCCACCATCCAACCGGAAGATGTACAGTGGGCTTCAGACTTTGCTGCAAACCCATCAGACACTCGATCAATTCCTCAGATCATTCGGCCCGACTCTGCTGCTGATTCGAACACATCCGAGCTGCGTCCTGTCAGCTATTCTCATTTTCCGCCATTCAGATTCGCTGTCGAATTCCCGAGTCCTCGACTGCTTAAAGAGAAGAAGCGCGTGTATAGTCGTACTATCTTCTACTCGGGCTCTTGGTGGAATCTGTACATCCAGAAGGTCCGGAGGGGTAAGAACCCTCAGCTTGGAGTATACCTTCATCGTGCCAAAGAGCGCGAGACAGATGAGACACTGGCTGTTGGTGGGCAGACGGTACCAAACACTCGCGTTGACGAGAGGATTGGACATCTCGAACGTGAGATGATTTTGCGTGCTGATCGCCGAGCCGAAGAACGCAGACGCTTACTGGCTCGAAGACGTAGTGGTGATGTCGCAGACCCAGACAATGCTGATAGTAGCGGTGATACTGATCCGGATGGAGGACCTGCCGGTGCCGAGACCAACCCAAGATCTCGCGGTCTCGGTGGATACCGCAAGAGCAGTGAATTGGATGTCTTGTCCAACTTTCCAACCAAGCCAGCATATTACGACGAACAAGACTCAGACTTTGAAGACGAAGATCCAGAGATTGCAAAGCTCACACGCAGCGTCCGCGTGTCGACTCTACCACCATATGTCGACAGTCGACCAACGATCAAGACATACTTCAAGATATATTCACCCAGCAAAGGTGGACGCATGTTGAGTGTTTACGAGAGCGCACCGGATACATTCAACTTTAGCCAGAGTTGGGGATGGAAGAGCAGTACGTTGATGCTTGATGACGGTATGCTTGGGGATGAAGTCCACCCTGATGCAGAGATTCCTGTGAGGGATGCGAACAAGTTACGATTTATGATTGTCATTGGCAATGTTTGATGTTTTTTCTTTATCCATAGCGAGGTACATGGCGGGATTACTGGTTGCAGGAGTATGGAAAATGTCAAAGCTTTTCTTTCTTCTCCATGGCCGCTTCAAGCATTTACTATAAGTCTCAGTCCAATGCTTTGTGCGATACCCATCGCGCACAGCAATTGATTGCTTGTCTATGGTGGCCATCCCAAGGATGCACTTTCAACGACTTTAGAGGAAATGATTGTAGCAAAAATTATCGAGTGAGTGACCTTTTAAACAGAAGCATTGTTACCAAAGCCACTTCTTCCATGTGCCATCACGGGCGTGCGGCAGCAGAGGGGGCAGAAACACCGTGTCTTGCAAACACAAGCACAAGGATTTGCTGGTAGATGTGTGGGTTAGATGGACTTGAGGAAGTGTGAGTTCGAGTCTCACTCGCTGCGACAACTCGTTGTTTTCGAATGAGGAATATGGGTTTTTTCCATGCGAGACAAAGCACCTGAAGATTACTTCGCTTCCGACAAGACAGATAGATCACTCTCCCTTTTGCTCTTCGGTTCTCCTCTCTTTCATGACATTGATCAGTACCTTTTCAGTCAACCACTCAGGTAACAAACTCATACACCACCACTGTACTGCATGTCTCCACCACCCAAACACTGCAACTTGTCCACATCCAATCCTCTGCAGCGCAAACTCTGCCATCTGCAGGCCTGTACAAGTAAACATGCCTTCTGTAGTTTTATTGCCCCCGCTAACCACATTCGCTATCACGATTGCCAGCGCTTCAACTCCAGAATTCTCGGCAGCAAGCTCGGAAGAAAGCGATTGGTGTAATGCGTAATTGAAGGCTTTTGTGGCCGAGTACACGGAGAGGTAAGGTAATCCGCGGAACCCGGTTATGGAGCAAGTACTCATAATTAGTGATGGCGAAGACTTGGAGAGTAGAGGTAGTAGAGCACGGGTTAGCTGGGTGGGAAAGCGCGAGTTGAGGTTTATCATCTTGTCCACATATGTCGCGTCGACTTCTGCAAGCGTCCCGAAAGAAGGACTCAGAGGTGCGCCGCCTACATTGTTGACGAGTAGAGTCAGGGGTCCTGGTAGCGTTTTGCAGGTTTCGGCGATTGAAGAAATGTCGGCGTCGATGTCGAAGGCATCTGCAATTACAGTCTTGATTTGGACTTCTGGGTACTGTCTCTCCAGTGTCGATTTCAGGGTAGACAGTTTTTGCTCATTACGACCGTGGAGAAGGACATTGATGTTTTTGGCGCAGAGGGCGTGGGCAAAGCCTTCGCCTATTCCGTTTGTGCTGCCGGTGACTAGGGCCCAGGAGTTGCCCGAGGGGTTGTAGAGGTGTAGTTGGGAAGGTTTGAGGTAGATGCTGATGAAGGAGATGGCCTTGTAGGTGAGCAGGAGAGCTGTGGCCGCGCCGATAACTTCTAGAGTTTGAGTTGTAGACATTGTGATAGTCGTGATGAATGGCATGGAGATGGAATGTAGTAAGCGAAGATGAAGGTGATGTTCGAAACAGAGATGGAGATCGGCAGGGCGGGGAAGCCAGGGTGACTACGAAGACTGGTGACGTTTAGTCTTTACCTCAATGACAGTGTCAAGGCAGTGTGAGAGATATGAGGGTGCATAATTTGATTATCAGGACTTCGGTGATCATTAAGGGTAGCGATCTTGCTGAGTGTTTGGACGAACGTGAACTTGGTCCGGACACAAAAGTGCGTTCATGGGTATATCGAGTGAGTGTGAGGCTCTAAACTCCGTCAACGAATTGTATCAAATAGTTGTGAGTTCACAAACGTGCTATTTCCAAAATCAGGAAAATCTTTTCTGGTTATAACTTGCTGTCTGTTGACACAATTCACTATTCTAAACATTCATCGGGAGTTTGCCGCGGCTGGCTTTGAAAGTGACAACGAAGGTGTTGGGCGTCGGATTTCAGGTCTTTGTCAGGCTTCAGAACCCAAAGATTGACTGCAACCGACGTCCTTCGTTCCCAAGACAATCACAATTGCTACATACATACAGCCTTCTCGAAAAGGGCAAAAAGGATCGAATGGGCCCCACCGGGATTCGAACCCGGGACCACTCACAGTCAGACCATCTGGGATGGCGGTTTTACCCGAAGCAAGTATCGTACCACTAGACCATAGGGCCTTCGAATGTAGAGAACTTGATTTAGATTCGTCCATAAAACTCTGAAATGGATCATCAGCACAAACAAATCACTGCATCGAGCGGACAATATCAGCTCCCGATCATCAGACACCGCACAACCGGCTGACAAGCGGTCAGCTCGAATGTTTTCTGCATGATTGAACAGCAAGGCTGCCACATGGAGAGGAGTGGACAATCGAGTGAAGCTCGAACGAAACCTGGATTTCGTCGGGGACTCGAAGTCAGGCGAGACGATCGCAACTCTGTTCAAGATTGTGCAGGAAATGCTGGACGTCGCACACCTCTTGGTCAGGCGTTGTGATAGACATGCCTTGTCAAGACTGGAGTTGATGCAAATGAGTGCTTAATATTCGAGGAAAGAAAATCTCTGACAGTATGCTTCGCTGGCCAACACTTTTGTCTCGCGAGTGCCCTCCGGCCCGACCAAAAGGTCTCGTCGCATGCGATGATCTAAACAAGGAGATTAGTCCAAAGCAAGAACGATTGTACGGCACAATTGCCGCGATACAGTGCTTCATGTCACATTCTGAGCCAGGCGACAGCTCAGTCATGCATCACAATGTTTTGTGCCATCACCGTGGCAATAAAGTGACGTATTCTCCTGCGATTTACGTCTACTAGTTTTTCATGACCCTTCTCCATGACTACCCACCATACTGTCGACCAACCTTTGTTCTCCTTGGTCCATCGTCCCATCACAAATTCCGAGTCATCACGTTTCCAGCATAACGTGAACCTCTTGCTTCAGAAAGAGAAACGATCAAAGATGGAAAAGTAATTTGATTTCAGTGCGAATGCGCCGTCTGCGTGCGTCCCATACTACTACCTTCAACACAAGTACCTCAGGCTTCATCACCCCCCCTAAACCTGGGGCTGGCGTGAAATCGCAAGAGGTTACAGTCCCAGCAGCCTCCCAACAAACAACAGTCAAAGCAATTTCTCGAGCAAGGATGATAGAAAGAGCTTCTCAGGGCGACAGACTGCCATCAAAACTGCTTGGTAGAAGATCCTGCTCCCTCAGAGAGTGTCCTGATAGTGTCCTGAACGCATTCGGTGAATTGTGCGCAGTCGATGACCAGATGCTGAGGCTGCTGTGGTCTCGCTCTACCCTCCCCATTCTTTCTCCATTGATGAGCTCTTTCCTCCATGAAGTCATCCCAATCCTTCGAAACAAGATTGTCCCAGCGGAGATCGAACGTTTCCTTACTTGGTAGGGATATATCTCAGTACTATAAAGCGATTCGAAGAGCTTTGAACACTCATCAGTTTCTTCCACCGTCAATACTGAAAGGTAAACTCGGTCTCCCGCTCCAAGGATTGATACTGCAGAGTTGCTCAAAAAGGTATCGTTCCCTCAAGGTCTCTTGATCCTCCTATCTGTACGTTGATCACGATCAGAGGGATCGTCGGGTCGAGGAAGCATATCTGAGCATCCGGATCCCGCAAAGCATATGACCTTGTGTCATCTTCAAAGGCTCGATCGCGAGGGTCCACGTCTCCACACTGAATTCGAAAGCGACGAGCGCAAAGCTCAAAGCTCTTGTCGAAGAATAGACGTAGGGTCTTGTTCAGCGAGGATCCGTCTAGAGAGGCCCTGAACTTGTGCCCAACGTTTCTTGCCAAGTGGGTCGCCAGAGGACATATTTTGCTAAGAATCAACTCCCTCTTCAGACGGCATCGCCCTCGGGGTCTCGCAAGATATTCGAACTTGATCTGTGCATCTGGGTATTCGGCTGCCACTAGATGACGCAGCCGTTTGTGTACATCGGGCTTGACTTCATCAAATACCAGCTTGCCACAGATCTTTGAGGCACAGGGATGTATTTGCTTTGGATTTTCGCATGTGAAAGCCTAGCGTATGAGGCTAAGAAGTTCGGCGCCTGTAAAGTGGTGTTTATGATTGACGATAGACAATATGAGAGACAAATGTGTGTGGGTCGAAGCTGCAAAGGAAGGAAGGGAAAGTCGCGGACACAACACAGATAGTCGAAACCAGGAACTCAAACTTCTTGATAGAAATGAACTAGCCAGACTAGGTTGCCGGAAATTGCCAAGAGGCAACCTTTATAGACTCACAGCAGGGATCAGATCCAGAGTGGCGTATCGGCAGCTGGAAGCACATTTTTCTGGCTCAGCGTATCATGATTCTACGAGATCGATTCATGTTCTATTATCTAAGTATTCATCTAGAAGGTCTTGCTCGGATTGACGTTTGAGCATTTGGTGGCAACAAAGATGAGCATGCTCATACGTTACTAGCAGAGTTCTGAGGCCCCAACCAGCTCTCACGCATACTTGGGAGATCCTCATGTTTTGGACCTGCTCAGCTTGAGCGATGTTCTTGCAGCGATTTCCTCATACTGCTGCATTCCTCTTTCCAACTTGATCAGCTTCGTATTCATCACTTGATAGATAACTCCAGGTACTGTTGTATCATTGGCTTCTGTGCCACTATCCTGTTCAGCTTCGTGGGAGTCATCGTTATTCGTGTTCACCATAAACTCCAGCAGCGATTCGCCCTCGATGACGCACCGGAGGAAGAAGCGATCATGTGTGACGGCCAGGATGGCCCCTTTGTATTCGCGCAAAGCCAATGCGAGAGCCTGGATTGTATCTGAGTCCAAATGGGTGGTGACTTCATCCAGGATAAGAAGGTGTGGTGGTTTCCATAGGACCTTTGCGAGTGCTAAGCGAACTTTCTGGCCTCCAGACAGAACCCCGATGGGCAAATCAGAAGCCACTCTTCCGGACAGCCCGAGCGACGAGAGTAGACCGCGAGCTTCTCGCTCGCTCAGATGCTGGTCAGAGATGTCCATAAGATGTTTGAGTGCCGTTATATTCGAGCTTCTGGAGGCAATCGCGTCCAGCTCCTCTACAGCCTGTTGAGAGTACAAACCAAACTGGGCTCGACTGTGCCGCGAGATTGTACCTTTCGACGGAACAATGGTCTCAACTGCTCCTTCCATACTCGACATTATCAAAGAAATTAGCGTAGACTTGCCAGCCCCATTAAGGCCAACTAGACCCACTCGCTCCCCNNCCAGATGGATGGTAAGATTGACATCATGCAGGATGGGGATGGCTTTGTCGTTCTGCCAATAGTTAAAGTTGACATTCTCAAGAGAAACAAGATATCCTGAGAAGCGTGGATCAGACGGAACAGTAGGAAAAGCCATTCGAGGTGGAGGGTCAAAATCCGGGACTTCTATGGCGTTGCGACGAGTGAGGTGAAATCCTGCGAGATCCCTGTTGAGCCTAAATCTTGTACCTTTGACCGAGGTTTGCATGCCTGTGCGTTCGTCTAATTTCTTCTTCCGAGAGACTGCTTGTTTGAGCTTCTTGTCATCGCCTGAACGCCGTGCAGATCTGACATTGTGCTCTATGGTTGTTTCCATGTGCTTCCGTTGTTTGTCTTGGGCTTCCTCCATCCGGCTCAGGTGTTTATAGGTCTTCCATCTGATGAGCTCGTATCCGGATGGGTTTCCTCTAAACCTTTCTAGGGTGAGATTTCGAAGAACGATCGACTCTTCGGCGACACTGTCTGCAAAAGCACGGTCGTGGGTTACGACTACAACAGTGGTTCTATGGTCGAGCGTATGGATATATTGCTCTAGCCAGATGATGGAGGGCAGGTCCAAAANATTGGTTGGCTCGTCGAGTAGAAGCAAATCGACTGATTGGCATAGCGCACATGCGATTTTGCATCGAGTCTGCCATCCTCCAGATAGATACGACATAGGATCATCTAGGCTATACGCGGGAAAGCCAAGTCCGAGCAGCACAGAGCGGGCTCTTGCCTCAGCTGCTGGAGCGTCCATCTGACTGAGNNCTTCAGTATTGCAGCATGAACCGCTCTGGTGGGAAGTGAGACTTACTAGTTCCAACGAGTTTTGAATTTCGGCGAGCATCTCGAAGGCACTTCGCGACTCCTCGCTCATACTGGCTGGATCCTTCAAAACTATATCCAAGGCTCCAGATCTGCGTTAGTGGTCAATAAACCGGACCGAACTTGTACACGTGGATTCTCGAGATCAGACTCACCTTTCATTCGCCTGAGCCAACTCTGCTTCCAGAGAAATTAGCACCTTCCGCGCCCGAGAGCCCCGCGCCCCGCTTATCTTCTCAGACTTCTTCCTAGCTTCGAAGACTTCACGTTCGAGGCGTTGNNGCGAAAAGATCTCTCGATATGCTCGAATGGCGGCAGTGGGCTCCTCGGTATCCTCCACTGCTGTTGACAGTTTCCGAGCCTCATGCAGCAATCGCTCACGTTCTGTGTCACTGCGCATGACATGTTGAAGCACCGTTTCGTCATTGAACGCCTTAGAATCAGTGTCCTGTTTCAGGGTTATCTGACCCAGAAGGAGCACCCGGGCAGCTCGAGGCAGACCCGGGATTAGACCGTCAGCAATCGCTCGCAAGANAAGCTGGAAGATTTTAGCATTGGCAGGTAGTACAGTCTGGTGGCGTGCGTTTAACTCACTGGATTTCCCGACACCATTGCGACCCATCAGAACATAGTGGCGGCCTGATAGCAATTGGAATTCGGCATGATTTAGTATCTCATGGTCGCCAAGCGAGATACTCAGATCTTTGATAGTGATCTAACAACTTCAGCAAATTTTCTCAAGTACGCGACTAGGGCAGGACAGTATACCTCTGCAAGAGCAGACTGNTTCCGCTGCATTCTCGTGGAACCGACTTTGCTGTGCAGTCACCGTCAAAGGAGGCTCATCAGATACAGTATCGTGGTGAATTGGTAACTTGGATTTTACCATTTCCCAATGATATACTTTGGTGTGCTGAAAGGTTATAGTTATGGGGGTCGGAAGATATATTCGTACTCTTTTGAAGACAGGTTGTACGTAGTTGCATGGTATTTATAATATTCCTGGTGTAAGTTGTTGCCGAATTCTGTCTCAATAAAGACACCGGACCGGCGGTGACTTTGGAGCGGCGATCTCGAACTTTAAATTCTCGTGCTCGGCCAACGTCAAAACACCATTGTTGGGCGTTGTCAGGCTGGTTAGCATGGGAAAATCGACAGTCCCAGGGCTTGCTAGAGCTACTCCGACTGATTGTCGGGTGATTGTTGTGCTTGAAGCATTACCAAATCCAGCCAATAATTCGTGCCGAGGCGGATTGTTTCATGAGAATCCGAAGCACTTCATTTTGCCTGAACTACACAACAAAGGCGAGATCTCAGCCTCAAGTCACACTGGGAGAGATCACCCTCGACTGCTGTAAGGATCACTTTTGTCTCTGAAACCTTCATGAGCTCTTCCACCATCCCACTCCCATTAGCTTAGAGTAGAGTTAAGGGCGTGCTTGAGGTAGACCAAGGATTTCTCGTCTTCAACATCGTTCTGCCAGTCGGCAATGATCGAGAATCGATTGACCCTACTCTAAACTCTCATGATAACGTTCGTACCGACGTGACTCTCCTCTAGAGATGTGAATTTTCTTGTCCATTTCTGGCCTTCGTCCACGAACACGGTGTCAGCAAGAGCCCTGGGGTTTTCTGCAGACAAGTTATCAGCCTTGTCGTGGAATCTCTTCTTCATGTCGATGGCCACACAGATGTCGAGGACGAAAACACTGCAAAACATCACAGTGGGCGGAAGGCAATCTTGTGTCTAGAAACATCCAGAGGTTGATGCAGAGTTGTCAGAAGTATAACCTCAGAACGAGACCTGCTTGCCAATAGTGTATGGCATCTCTTTGAAGATGGTGAATTAAGAGACAGGGCGTGGTGCAATCCTCCTGGTCGCGCACCGGACAGTTGATACAAATTGGAAGTCTTGTGCTGGTGCCCATAGCGACACCAGGGCTCATGGGTGGTTAGATACATGCTGCTTGATCTTGTCACATTTGTGAACAGGATAAATCATATCTGGTCAACAGCAAGGTCCACTACTTGGAGTTTCGTCCTCGGGTGGGAGTTTTTCTCATTTGCTGATCCGCAGATCAACTACATCTCAAGCTCCCCTCGAACTCAATGGGAGAGTTCTGCATTGTTCAAGATGGGTCCAGTGACCACATTGACCCACAACATATATGAATCCATGGGAAAGGAGAGATCGATGATTTTATTTGTATCTGCGGCCACAATCCTGGTTAGTTGGTTATGAGCATCATATACAAAACAGCGAGGTGAGCCCAACGGTGACTTGGGTCTTGTTTTCTGGTGCGTAAATGTCTCAATCTTGCGTAGACTCTATGTGTTTGTTTTGCTGCAGGATCGTTGATGCAGGATTGTTGAGACTTCAGAGTGAGATAAGTGGTACCGAAACATCTCTAGCAGACGATGACATCCTTGTTGAAGTGGACTCTCTCAGACTGTATGCCATGCCCTTATGCAAAGCTCTCAGTGGCAAAACACATAGCTCTTGAAGCATTGCTGCATTTGTATATAAGTTTGATGCCGGGGTATTGCAAGAGGAGAGAACTCAGGTGCGGGCTATGGCGCTTTGAAGGCAGAAAGTTGTGATCGCCTGGTAGCTTTAGTCCCTTTGCAGACCAGTCAAAGTCAGAAACTACGAGCACGAGAAACTCGTGGTAGAAGCAGGCATGTTGGGGTACTCGTATGTCCTCAAGCTGCAAGCCGAGTTGTCTTGACGCAGACCCCGAGCTATGGACAATTTCGAGGTGGTTTGCGTTCGTCTTCTTACTGAAGGCCTTGGTCAAGCATGTATGGAGAAGTACTTGGTATGTAGCAGCAGTAGAGACGTGTAATCGCGAGGTGTCAAGGTCGTCTGCATGGTGAACGAAGATGTCTTTGGATAGATAGATGGGATCAGACAGTATACATAACGATGAGGAGAGCGAGATGATGATGCATGCTCCCTTCACGCGCAGTCCTGTTGATTTCGTCAACTTCTGTGGTTGTTGCGAGATAAGAGATCCATGTGGAGGGTCATCCGTGACGCTCATGACTGGGTCGAGATAGACAACGAGACCAGAGAGGAAAATATAAGCATACCATAGCAGACGAATGCCTTTTAGTACAAGTCCATGATCGTGATGCCAGAGAATGCAATGATGAAAAAAGCTGAGTACAGGAACAAGACCAACATATATATCCAACCACAACAAAGAACACCTTTTCCAGAGCTTTCTAGCTCTATCACAAACCTGAAGCTTTTACAAACACCAAGATTCTTTGTATGGCTGTGTCAAGTTTGTTTGGAGAATCTTCAAAAACTCACGGCAAACAATCAAGGCGGTTGGACGCAAATCTTTTCCATCAAGGCGCGACCTTCAGAGTCACTTTCGAGGTTTGACTGGAAACCAATGGAAAACACAAGCGAAAACATCGACTCCCACGTACCGGCGCGAACTAAGCCACACCAAATTCTCCATTCTGTGTAGTAATTCAAAGGTTCCTTGTCACAAATAATGTCAAGTTCAAAGCAGGCAATCATGCCAGACCTGCTTTAGAATAGATTACCTCGACTCTACACAGTAAGCAATCCAATCAATGATGCCGGGTTCCTAGGACTTTTGTGTTCAATCAACAAGCACAAAATCCCGATTTCCTCCCTCTTCCACCTCAATCTCAAGCGCTGGCAACCCATACGGCCCCAGCAGCGCCTCAGCAGTACCCCAAGTCCATCTCGGAATCGTGGCTTCATCACGTAGCTCAATAGTATAACGTTTGCCGACCTCCCAATTACCTTGATATCTCTCATACAAACTCTGTCGGGAAACGTCGGATGTATTGAAGTGTGCTTGACCCTCAGCTTTGTGGTTGTCTAAGAAGCGTTTGTCGTCTTTGTTCTCCTCGAAGCGCAGATTGGCAACAAAGTCGGCGGGTAATGGGCGCTGCACGGGCAGCTGTAGTGGAACATTGGGGTAAAGAGTTATGAGGTGTGGGGGCATCTCGTCACTGGTGTCCCAAATGCGCTTTGTGAAGCCGTAGTCGAGCAGGCGTTCCCCTAAGGAATACACGCGATTTGGCCTTCTGTTCGCAGGGCCAATCGACAACTCTACAGAGGATCCGGCTTCATGGATGCGTAAATATGAGTGCCAGTCTGATGTGTCGAAGATTGTGCCCGCAGCATTCAGCGTCAGTGGTGCTGAAGCATGAGAAGTGATGAACAGCTGGATCGGCGAAGCAATTGCTGCATTGGAGCTGAGCTCTGAGTCGACCAAGATACGCAGGGAGATACGGGGACTGGTGGAGGAGGACAGCGACCTAGTAACGCTCTGAGTGTGAGAGCCGAGGGCGAAGAAGGTGTGAAGCATATCTCCAACAAGCTCCCATGACCCAGGATTGAATGTGTAAAGCTCAAGGCTGTCCGGCTCGCCGGCGTACTTGTCTTGATGAGTTGATATGTGGTCAAGGTCATCTGCATCATAATCTAGTCGTGGAGAGGAGGATGGGCCTGGATTGGAAAGAATGAAGCTTGGCCCATCAGGCTGGGGCTTTGAAGCGTCGAGACACATGTATACATCTCGGTAAATCTGTAGTGGAGGTCCAGCATAGCTGGAAGGAAAATATGATGATGTGTCCGATTGGTCTCTGGAGCTCCTGGCTCGTGCAAAGATTGAGGAAGCGGTAGACATGGTGGTATTCGGATACAAATGCAGAGTCCATGATATGTCAGCCAGCAGACCTGTATTGAGCCGCGTATAGACTTTCAATATGTCCTCGGATGATATGTCGCGACCGAGTACAAAGAGGTAATAGACAAAGCGAGAAGGCTGGCTCACGTCGTACCGTAGTGCTGTATAGGGGAGACCTTCAGGATCTTGGCGCTCCTCAGCGAAGGTGCCATTCATGTGTACACTGATGTCCTCGAAGTCCAGCGCTTCATCGGCAGGCTGGTCCGAGGACGAATATGGTTGTTCATATGTAGCAAGCGTCATTCCATTGACGGTCTGATCGGGACCACTCTCAGGATAAAGGTTGAGATCAATCGGCCAGCCTCGAGCAAGATTCTGTCCATCAAGCAGCTCCTCGATAGTTGTCGTTCCCTGGTCAGACCACTCGTCTCTGAGGCGAGTCGCTAGATGATGCCAACTCTTATATCTCTCAGCCGTCACATTGAAAGGCAGGTGGTCTCTCTCCTTTGTGTATCGAACCGATAGCAGTCCCTCCTCTTTCCACTTGTCGGCGTCAATGACCAGGAAACAATTCTTGTCGGGCATGTAAGGTGCCTGGAGACCCAGCTTCCTGAGAGTTTTCTGCTGTTCGTAATGGTCCACGCATGCGAAGATGTTGTCCTGAACGGCAGTGAACAGCTCGAGATGCCAGCACGGGTCGGCCAGCTGCTGCTTGTGGAGACAGGATAGAAGCTGGTCGGCCAAGACCTCATCGGCGGCCAGTGTGTCTGCTCCTCGGATCAGATAGACGTGAAAGGGGAAAGGCGGAAGCGGCGAGGAGTCGCCATTTGTGCGTGACCAAGCGATCTTGACTGGGGATGAGCCATGGCCGTCAAGAGTGCGCACCAGCGTCTGCGTGTCCCATGAAGGCGGCGCGCCAGCCTGTTGTATCGCTTGAGCTTTTGTCCTGGGCATGGCTGTACAAGAAACGTCGACCGTCGAAGATGTCTGAACGGAAGCTGTTGCAAGAAGATATAAGTAAGCCAGACTCGGGAGATTCTGTTTACGCTACTTGTCCCCGAGCGTGGTCGCCGCAGCTGCCTTTGCACGTGCATGGCTCGTCAACCTGTAGCCGAATGTGCGCACATCACGCTGAATCGACCCGTAAATTACTGCTGCTACTGTGTTAGTGCGCGATGCTATCGCAGCTCACAAGAACAAATTGACATGGCCGTCGTCGACCACTGGAGAAAGCCGAGCCGAGGGCGCTTGGCGTTCATGCCTCACTCGAGTATGATGATTCTGTATAATCATACATCTGCATAACATTTGTCCCTCCACTGTGGCCTTGCCCCTACAACATGTGATACCTCGATTTGATAAGAAGCAGACAAGCTATAGAAATGTCGAGCCTACAAAGAGAGCCGATGAGATGTGCTCACTCGGTCAAGACCGTCCCTCGGGAGTCCTGCGCAGCACTACTGCATCACTCCCCTCACTGGTGCTGCTAAGTTGTTGCCGCCCCACGCTGCATATTTCGACCGTGTCGCTGTTCCTGCCTGCGGCTGCGGGAGCTTCATCATATTCGCAGTCAGAAGCCCGCTGCCGTGAAACTCGTTCGCGATGAATGCCTGAGCTCTTGCCTTCAAGGTGGATTTCGTCTTGAATTTCTCCAACATGCTGTCCGGTGCAGTCCTCCTCCACTCGTCAGCCTTGACGTCAATTTGAGCGAGTACCTCGTCAATCCAGAAGCACCAAAGACTGCGCAGGCTGCCGTTGGCCAATCCGCCATTTGTGTTCGTGTGTCTCAATGGCTCTTCGTCGTCGGCCCATGCCGCTGTCCTCCATTGGTAGTTGTTGTCAAAGTCCTCAAGAGCTCGCTCCACAGTGTATGCCGCAAGAGAGAATTTGTCCCAGATGCCCGGCATCTTCAGGTAAGCAAACACTCCGCCATTCTACACCAGGGATTTTCATTAGTCGTCTGCAAATGCTTGATACTTCAAAGGAAAAATACGGGTCAGAGTAAGAAAACCGAAGACTTACGTTGCGGACCCTGCGGAACGTATCCACTCCGTTATCACCTGGGTCATCACCTGTGTTTGGAGTGGCTCCTTCGAACCATTTCGCCTTCGGTCCATTGATGGCACTGCTGGTGAAGACGAGGGCAGCGTTGTTAGATACGAAGGCTGCCATTGCTTCTAGCAACGTTCTGCCCTGATTGTCTGCATAGACAGGCATAGGGGCAGGTAGAGGATATCCAGGGTCCAATGGTCTTCCAATGAGTACGACACTTACCCAGTCGTAACCTGCTTGTTTATAACCATATCTCTCTGGACCCTTTCGACCCTGATTTTGGAGGAAGTTCAAGAATCTTGAGAGAAGCTGGGCTTCAAAGATATGCTCCGCTATTGTTTGTCAGCATCATCAAATAAACAGGACGGTGTATCTGCGTACTGGCAAACTCTCCGATCGGGCGTCCATCGACAGTATTCTTGCCCGCATCTTTGTTCTTCTTGGCCACTTCGGCAGTGCAGACACCATTTTCCGAGATGTCTTTATAATCGTACCATCTTCCAATGTTCGAAGGAAGACCATCTGCCGAACAACTTGGATAGTAGTTGATAATTACGTCAACAGCTCTCGTACCTGGGGGATATTGCCAAGCAAGCGGTTTCGCAGCTCGTTTGACACGTTTGTCGAGTATAACATCGCCAGACATCCAGCGTTTGCTCACGCTTTCGAAGTTGCCGACACAGGCTTCGAGACCTGGGGCTACTGGCTCATATGCACATGTAGCTCCACCGTCAGCACGACGAGTCAGGTCTGTGGACTCGACCGACTCATCATCTCCACATAGTGGACAACCGTATGTTCCGTTGTTTGTTTCTTCACCAGGACACGATAGTCCAGATTTGAGACGTACAAGGGGTCCGATAACATCGTTACGCTTTTCGAAAGAGTGGATCGCTGGAGCGCCGATAGCAGTGGCGAGATGGTCGGCTCCGAGAGGGAGAACGTTTCGTTTGTGCTTCTCTGATTTGGCACAAGAATCGCCTTGAACGATGGGGATGGGCTCAGTCCTCTGGATGCTGAAGTGATCGGTGCCTAGATCCCATCCATAGATTTTTGGTGCAGCGACCTTGGCGTAGAGCTCCGCTCCTGCCTCTATGCCATATGTAAAGGGACAGCTGCCTGATTGTGTCGTGGCACCTGCTGAGAAAGTAATGAAGCCATCCGCGACCAGATCAACTTTGCAAGAATCCACTTTCCAAGAGGGATTGAACTCGATGCCGAATGTAAAGGTCGGTTTGAGATGCACGGAGAGGGATCCATTGGCAGTGACGCTGTAGTCAAATGTCATGTCGTTCAAATCAGCTTGCGTGCCGTCAATGTTGGGAGTACTCAGACCCTGGGGCTCGAAATCCTTATTCGCCGCTGGATAGGTCTGCTGGATATCCCATGAACCAAGAGCCACATCTGCTTGGAGATGGCCGGCTACCTCGACACTTGCATCGACAGAGCCAAAGAGACGGAAGTTGGGGCCGACTGTCATAATACCGGGCACGTTGAAAATCGCGCCTGGAAACTGGTCAAGGCCAAACAACTCAACATCCTTGGTGTCGAAAGTGGCGGACGTAAGCGCGTCAACAGTGAACGTCGCTGAGACTTCACCGTTGTTCTTGAAGTATAGATGCGAGCTGGAAAGATCGGGTGGGATTGTCAGGGTTGATACAATCGTCAGGCCAAAGGACGTCGAAACTTTGACATTCGCTCGTGCCTCGGCTTTCAGGTTGGCCTGAACCTCGACGCCCTTGAAATTGCAAGGTCCGTACTGTTCGTTGATGAGGATCGCAGTGATGGTCTGATCGACGGTGTGTTGAATCTCGAGACCTCCACTAGAAGCCACGTTGAGTAGACCCTTGAGCCAGTCTAGGACGTCCTCGCCAAACCATCGTTTATGAAGATCCGACGACTCTCGTGCACCCATGTGATAGTCGTCTCGCCACTCTTCCTCAAGCCAACGTCTGTGGTTGCCTTTGTGGTCCTCTAGCGAACGCTTTCTCTTGCTGTTTCCAGCCTTGTCGACCACAGAGTCCCAGTATCCCTTTTCGTTGGAGAAGTCAAGTCGCATTTGTGTGTCGCCAAAGTCGCGTGGAACCAGGGTGAAGTCGTAGTTGAAGGTCAGATCATGGACAACTGCATCTTCAGGGAAGCTTCTTTTGTTCAAGTGATCCGGAAGAGTCTGGTTCGAGGAGACCTGTATGCCATTGGCTACGGCATACTTGCCGGGACCGCACTTGTCGGGCATCTCGATGATGGTTCCTGGTACTCCTTTGCCCAGGTGGATCTTGTTGCAGTTGCTGTTTTCAGAGGTGTCGGAACAGATCATACGAATCGTGTGTGTACCCTCGCTGACATCGTCAAAACAATCGAAGAGCTCCCAGTGGGATCCGTCACGCTTGTCGAGCGATGTCTGGATTTCCTCAGGCGAAGCAAGCACGAAAAATCCGAAGGCAGCGTCGTTGGGCTCATCATCGGAAGCCTTGACCTCGCCTCCCCAGGTCGGATCCACCTTGAGCTTGTATTCAGCATCCGCGGTATCCTCGTCTGGTGCATCTGGGAAGAGATAATCCAGAGGAACGGGAAGGAACAGAGATTGACCGTCTGCTGGATCACAGCAGTATACTCTTTGTCTTTCCAAGTGGACACCGCAGGTCTTGCCTTCGCCGCTCTTGCTTTCGGCCAGCTGCACCTGACTAATCGTGTCGCAGTGATTGTCGAAGCAATTGCCCTCTTTGCCATGCCATGCACAGTTGTTCCAACGCTTGGCTTCAGTCGGAGAGCAGCAGAAGACTCTGCCAAACACGAAACCTTCATAATCGTAAGTCATGTCGACATCGTCGTTCTTGCACGAAAGTCCGTCATTCCAGTAGCAGTCAATACTCTTGGCCTGATCTATTTCACAACAATAGAACTTGAGGCCGTTCTCGCAGTACTTGCCGTCACCCCATTTGTTGGACTCCATCGCGACCTCGCCAGGTTGGCAATGACCTGCTCTGATTAGCTCGCATCTCTATCTTCCAGGCACAACAATCACCTACCGTTACACTCACTGGCATCTCCGCGCCATGTGCACTTCGAAGGATCCGGCGATGAGTCGAGAGGACAACAGAGCTTGCTATCTTTGCCCTTTGAATGTCTGGTAAAGGGCTTTGCTCCACCGCAAGGTTGGGATTCGACTTCTCTCTCGCCTGGATCGCAAGAGCCGCCACAGTCAGTGACTCTGCACTCGCCGTGGGTTGCATCTTCCCAGTAGCTTTTTTTTGCTGGCGGCACGGTTGACAATGCTCAACTTCTTGGGGTAGATGAGACCTTGTAAAGCCTGGAGATCATCTGTGTCCTGGTCCACGGCCCTAGAGAGGATCAGATCATATATCTGATGTCTGTGATAAAGAATACTCTTACCAGACGAGCATACCACCGAGTCCAAGTTTGTTCGCATACTGAATCTTCTGCTGGAATGTTTCCTGGTCATCATAAGATACCCATTGATCTTCGTTCCAGGTGACGTATTTGACAGCAGCTTCTTTGTCATGATAAGGCGTCAGATTGTGTTGGTCGATGATTTGCATGATCTCTTTATAGGATAATGTGCCTGAATTCTTGGTGCATGCTCCTTCGGACGCACCGCCCTTGAAAGTGCATCCCGGCTTCCAACAGCCTGAGTCCGCAAGCTGGAAGGAACGTCCATAGAATCCGATACCGAGATTGATTTTCTTGGGGTCGACATCGTTGCGCCAGAAGAGATCCATGGCTTGATCGATTTCAGTCAGGTTCGTGTGGGCATAGACGTGGCTTCCGATGGGATTGGTTCCATCCCATACACCATGCAGATCGTACGCCATAACATTCATCCACGAAACGTACTCCATCATGTTAGTCAAGTCGAAGTGTCTGAGATACCAATACGAGGTTGGTGCAGTAAATGACACCACGTAATCATAGGAAGTCTTTTTGATGGCCTCTTGGAGCTCCTTGAGCAGTTTGGTAAAGTTGACACCATCCTCTGCATGTCCGCCTCTGTAATGATGGTTAGCAGCGCATGTACAAAGGCCCGAGTCCGAGGATGGTCTGGAAAGGAATGTTACCTATCAGTCGCACCAGGGTATTCTGTAGTTTCATGGTCAGTCTCAAGTTACAGAGAAAGTTCACCACACGTTCAAGACTCACCCCAATCAAAATCGACACCGTCATATCCATATTCCTGCAGGAAGTTCAGAAGATTGGTGATGAAAGTCCCTCTCGCGGACGCCGATGACACAATATCATGAAAGACCGGCTGCGTGGCCGTGTTGTTGTCGTTAAAGGTCCAGCCTCCAAGCGCAACAATAACCTTCAGACCAGCATTGTCGTCTTTGAGTTTCGCCATCTCGGTGAACAAATCCATATCCAGATCATCCATTGGTGCGATCTCAAAACTCTCAGGGGTGACATAACCGAAAGAGAAGTGTAGATGGGTCAGGTCAGCAATTGGAATGTCTTGGAAAGTCATGCCGCTGCAGGTTCTGTCATGGGCCCAAGCCTCATAGTAGCCAATGATTCGGGACTGAACATCGCCGCCCGAACCTCCGGACTAGGAGTTTTGTCAGCGTATCCCTAGGTGCCAAGATGGAATATGTCACTCACAGCTGGTTGTTTGCAGTTGCTCTGACATTTGTCTCCACAGAAATCTGATGTTGTGCCGCAGAAGCCAAATTCGCTGCAGCAGACGTTCAGGGGACATTTTGTGTTTGGGACTTTAGCGTATTGACCACACTCTGCTTTGGCATCGCAGTTGCTCCAGCACTTGTCGTTCGGTGATATACCATTTGTTCCACACGAGGCAGGCCCATAGCCGCAGTAGCCAGTCTTTGCACAGCAGGCGCCGTTGCTACAGGGTTTGTTCTCCCCACACGAGTAGTCTTCGGCTCTTGCAAAGACGTTGACCCCTCCGACTGTCGGGCATGTATCCACCAGAGGGCTAGCATCTCGAATCTTGACCGAGTAGTCGAAGAAACTTGGTTGGAATTGAGCCGGATTCAGACACTCGGCGTGTACCTCATCGGATACAACACGAGCTTTGTGAGAATGAGTGTGGTGATGCAAACGCTCATGTGCGAGGTGTCTGCCATCAGAAAAGTGAATAAGAACGCTGAGAAGGAGCGTAAGAAGAAAGAAGAAAGACGACATGATGATGTTTCCGAATGAATGGATGGTGCAAAGGCACCTTGGGGAGAGGTTCGAACAAGTGTCGCTGCAGAACGTACGGTGAGATGTCTTGTAGTTTTAAGATCTTTGTGCCTTAGTGGGAGCCCTTGTGCAGCCGAGGGATTCTCGTCAAAGTCTTCTAGCCATCAGGTGAGTCGTTGGAAGGAGATCCATATGGTATTAGATTGGCCTAGGCAGCCGTCCTTGTGGAGACTCATCTCAGTTGTGGACATGAAGTCGGCGACCTCCATGAAGGATTAAAGCTAATGCCGCCAAGCGACTGGGCTGTATAGTGCTGATCAGAGCCCATAGTGCCACTGATGTGGAAGGGGACTGGCTCGTTATCTTCTCATGAGTAAGGCGAGCTGAGCGGACCATAAAATTGCACGCCTGATTTCGGAGCGGGAAAGTCGGCGATTAGGATGTGATTTGTGACTATCTTATTCTTCTGCGATACTTTAGGCCCCTGGAGTGGTACTTGATTCAGCAATCAGAACACGCAAAGATTGTATCGTGTTAGTCTTTCTCAATTACGGCGCACATCCTTGTGATATCGAGTTGATGATCTTTGCGCTTACAAGGGCGATCAAACAACGTCCACAGTGCTTCTCGCTTGCGAACGTGCAACTCCTCCACAGTCGAATTGATAATCAGGGTTCTACTGCACCTGTTGATCTGTGGTCAGTCAAAAGTGGGCCGACCCGGCAGGGCCGTGGATCGACTGCTCCACGACAACCCTATAGGGCCAGGGTCAAGATGGTTTCCCCTGAACTAAGAATGTAGCCAAGAGGCGCCATGGAAGCTTACGGAGCTTCTATATCGTTGACTGCAATAAGGCTGTGCTCGAAGATAAGACATAAGTGCATGCGAGATTATCATCTGCCTCTTGCACATGCGCGGTGTTTAATCATCGCGTCTTGCTCAGCCGCCGAGTTGCAGGCGAGACGGCAGAAGAGTGGAGACTGAGTGACTCGATTGCAGTCAATAATTGTGCGTATAGAGGTTGGTGGAAGTTGTAGATTGAATATGATCATCTAATACTGCACTCAAGCGAGAGTAGTCGGGCTTAAGACGGGTCCCTCTGCGAAAAAATATGGAAAAGCAGGCGCATCCCCGGAGGCTTGGCCCCGGCTTGGCACAGGCCTGGGGCCCGCCTTCCGGTAAGCTTCAGGCTCAGCTTCGCATACTCTCCGACCAGTCACTGGTGATGAGATATCACTACTCCTCATACGAGTCATCAACCTTGGACCAAGTTAGATCAATGTCGTATTCACGTGTCGATGGTGGGATGATTGTCGTTCAAATGTTCGAGTCGCCAACACACCGTGCACGTCGATCATATTGCTTCAACGCGCCATAAAAGCGGAGGATTATAACGCCGACATGATGATGGTCGAACCTGCAGACGGTACTTGAGTCGAGACGATCTCGCGTGTTCTAGACAGCAATCTCGTGTCAGCGAAGGATGGAAGACTAAACGATGCAAGAGTCCTGGCACATCCACAATTGATGAATGCTTTTACCGAGATACGCGCACGATCGGTCTCGGCGCGAGAGGTCATCACCGGAGTACATCAAGGATGGCATCCATCCTATGCTTGTACTCTGATTCTGCTCTGATCAAACTACTTACTGCTTTTGGCCTCGAAGATGAAGCCCCTAGCGTCCATTCATTTCACCCTCGCTCTTTTGCCATTCTTTTGCGTTACAGTCCACTCGATTCAATATCTGACTAACAACACCGCGCCTACAAACATCAGTTCGGCTTGTAGCAATGCACTCATTGCTGATATAGGTTGCGGAAAGCTGCTGCCTTTCCTCAACATGGGCAAGTACTACACCGAGACCATCTTGGAGCCATTTTGCACGGCAGACTGTTCCTCTGCTTTGGCAAACTACCAAGCATCGGTCAGTTCAGCCTGCGCTGATCAAACTTGGGAAGGCTACTCGGACGACTCTGAAGATGATAGCGTTGAACAGAGTGTCCCGGTCTACATTATCCCTGATGTGCTGCGCTACCTTTATAACCTGACTTGTCTCGTCGATGATGGGCGTTACTGCTCGGCTGTCGCACTTGAACGTGCCCAAGCAATAGGTGCGTACTATGCCCGATCTATCAGTTCNTCAGCTGACAAGAAAGACAATTCTACCTCTATAACCTCCGCATCTAGTCCTGCGCCCAAATCCGAGCTTAACGAGTGCGATATGTGCTTCATCAAGAATCTGAGATTGCAGGCTGGGGCTCCCTATTTCGACGGCCCAGACCTAGCGAGCGTCTATTCTTCAAAGACATCCAGCTGCGGCGTTACTGGGTATCCGTTGACGACTTCTACAATCTCATTGCCATCGTCAGTATATTCGATCTCGCAAGTACTTACTTGAGCTGAATCCGAGGCCTTTCTGTTTAGATCTACCAGTGCAACAACCACATCTACTGCTCCGACTTGCACTGGCACTTCCTACACTATCAAAAGTGGCGATACTTGTCAGAGCATCTCCGAATCTCAAGGAATAGGCACAGACTGGTTGTTGAGCGACAACTCCCTTAAAGCTTTCTGCTACAACTTCCCCAAGTCAGGAACTCTGTGTTTGAGTAACACGTGTAAGACATACACTGTCCAAGCCAATGACACTTGTTCAGGTATTGCATCAGCCAACGGTATCACCGCTGCTCAATTGAGGTCCTGGAACCCTTCGATTAATGTAGGTTGCAACAATATCGAAACCTGGGTTGGGTACCAGATCTGCGTCGAGAAGCCCGGCACTCCGTTCGTAACGGCGACTGCCTCCTTCAGTGCGGTCACAAGTGCTTCGGTCGCAGCGTCAATCCCTACCAACGTCGCGGAAGGGACGAACACGAAGTGTGCGCGATACTACGCACCAGTCCAGGGTGATTACTGTAATCTTGTCATCCTCAAGTTCGGCATCTCTTTGCCAGATTTCCTGATTCTCAATCCTGAGATCAACGCAAAGTATGTAACAGAATGCGCAACCTTCTATCGCTTGACTAATTCGTTCTTNTCCAGTTGCACCAACTTATATGCGAANCGAAGCGTGAGTATTGATACTCTCTACCTCCGATGCTCAATGCTGACTATGATAAACAGGTACTGCGTGCAGCCCGTCGGCGACATCAACGACTATCCGGGAGCTAGTGGCTACCTGTCTGCTGGCGTCACAGCTACCAAGTCTATCAAGCGCTACTCAGTGTTCCCTTCTGCAACAGGAAGCTGGACGTCGAGCAGTCCGATCGCGACCAGCACATCACTGCCTTTCGCCAACGGGACCAGAGAAGACTGCGATGTATATCTCAATGGAACTGACAGCCAGATAGATACCTCGGTGTTTTTCGATGAGTCTGCTTGCGAGGTGATAGCTGACATTAGAGGTATCTCGTTGGACGATCTGGGTTTCTGGAATCCAAGTCTCGACACAAATTCTAGCGATTGCGCACTTGAGCCTGGACTTTGGTACTGTGGATCGTGGGGAGCGCCCTCGGGTGACGACGACAGCGANCACTACAACCAATGATACCCTCCCACTCCGCGTACGTGACAGGAAACTTGAGCTTTTTGCGGATGAAACAGGCGCTGACCAGAAAACAGAGTNGGCACCACTGCGAGCTGTACTTGGTACACGGATGCAATAGATGGAGTGACTTGTAAAGGCATATTGGATGCCTACGAGCTTACCATTGACCAGTTCTATAAGTGGAACACTGACGTGGAAAGCGACTGTTCAGGCCTGTGGCTCGGTGAGTCAAGACGTTGGGGAAAGCAGAGAGCATACAATCTGACAATCAACAGGATATCGTTACTGTGTCGAGGGTCCAGGATATGTTCAGCCNNCACAGCGACATCATCTAGTCTCTCGACTGCTATCACGAACACAGCTCCGGGAGCTCCCGGTCCAACTCAAGATGGTATCGTGAAGAACTGCAGCAAGTATCTCGAAGCCAATGCTGGTGGCTCATGTAGTGCATTTGCTTCCCGAGCTGGCGTCGACTTGAGTCAGCTCTACGCCTGGAACCCAGTCCTGGGATCTAACGGCGAGAATTGCAACACTCAGTTCTGGGGCGAGGAATACTATTGTGTCGGTGTGTCAAGCGCAGCCACAACCTCAGCTACGACGAGCAAAGCTGCAACAAGCACGAGCAACAGTGCAGCTGCCCCCGGACCTACCCAATCAGGCATCACTTCATCTTGCAACAAGTATCTAATGGCTAATGCGGGCGGTTCTTGTTCAGCGTTTGCATCCCGGGCCGGAATCACTCTTCCCCAACTGTACAGCTGGAACTCGGTCCTG